ATGTGACAGGTCTTTGCAAAGACCTCACCCTTCCAGACCATATCTTTGAGGGTCCCCCATAGCCTAGGAGTCAAAGATCACACTTCAAAATTGGCCCTTCAAGGCCCTTCCTAAGTCTATCCCCGCCTTCTCTCCGTGACTCCTCACAAGATGTCCCTAGAACTCCTCATAGAAGCTACGAAGGCTTCCTGTAACCTCAAACATGACAGGGAGTTCATGTCTCCCAGTCTGTGTGTACCCTGGGATGCTGACTCCACCCCTGATTGTCTAACTCTTTCCTCATTCTGTATAAACTCTCTGTGTGACCCACCCTGATGCCTACTGTCCACCTAGATCCCACCCTGGAGCTTGTCCAGTGATCGTCAAACTTGGCTGTATTTGCCCAGGGAATTTTCCAGTGTCCACTGGATGTCTGGAGTCCAGAAGGATAATGAGGATGTTTAGAAAAAGGAAACAAATGGGAGAGGAAGTCCAGGGTATGCCTGAATTCCTCAGTGATAAGGACCACAGGGAGTTGCCCTGGCTCTGTCTTCCCAAGGGCCATGGTTGACCAGATGGCCAAAGGCAAATCTCTGGCAAAGGATTAATGCTACACAGACTAGGGTCAAAGACTTGGGTCCTATCTGAGGATGTGACTTACTGGGTGACCTCAGGTCCCTCACTGGGTCACTATTTCCTCTTCATTATTCCAGACATGGGTGTTTTATACAACTAAATTTTGGCAGACGGGTTAACTAACTGGATACCATACCTCTTCATGGTTCACAGCTAGCCAGGATTCCAGATTACCCCGGGGGCTCCTGGATCCATGCCCCTCTCCTCTCTCTGTCTCAAAACCATGCTCTGAAGCAGTACGTCTGGAGGGACAGTTGCACGATGTCAGTCAGAATTTTATTAAAGAGTAGCGGGCAGAAGTGGCTAAGAACTGGGTGCCCCATAGTAATTCAAAAGGGAATATCTGGGGAGATGGTTGTTGGTAACCTGTTTGCCTTGCAAGAGAAAAAAAACCACTTCAGTTAGATCCCTGGAACCCATGCTAAAAATAAAGGAAGACATGGAGGGAATAAAGGAATGAAGGAACACAAAACTGGGTGGCTAGCAGGAAGCTGAACTCTCAGTGCTGGATTCCTGGGGCTTGCAAACCAGCCAACCCAGTCTAGGCCATTCTAGGCCAGTGAGAGTCCTTGTTTCAAAAATAAGGTAGACAGTTCCTGAGGGACAGCACCTTAGGTTATCTCTGGCCTCTATGTGCACATTTACAAATTGGTGTGCATTCATGAGTGCACACACACACACACACACACACACACACACACATGAATATGCAATCTGTGTGCTCATTACTCTGGCTTAAGAAGACTCCCTCAAGAACACTCCTCCATTGCTGGTGGAGTGAAAACTTGTACAGCCCCTGTGGAAATCAGTATGGCGGATTTCTCAGAAAATTAGGGATCAACCTACCTCAAAGATCCTGCAATACCACTACTGGGCATATACCCAAAGGAGGCACATTCACACCACAAGGACATTTGCTTAGCTATGTTCATAGCAACATTATTTGTAATAGCCAGAACTTGGAGACAGTCTAGATGCCCCTCCACTGAAGAATGGATAAAGAAAATGTGGTATATTTACATAATGGAATATTACTCAGTGGTAAGAAACAACGACATCCTAAAATTCACAGGCAAATGGACAGAACTAGGGGGGAAAAACACTCTAAGTGAGGTAACCCTAAGAAAGACAAATATAGTATGTACTCATAAGTGGATACCAGACATAAAGCAAAAGATACCCAGTCTGTAATCCACAACCTCAGAGAAGCTAGAACCCTCTTCCAGAATCAGATGGAAGCAGATGCAGAAATCCACAACTAACCAATGGGCTGAGCTCCTGGAGTACAATTGAAGTGAGGGAGGAGAGATAATATGAACAAAGGAGTCAAGACCATGACGGGAAAACCCACAGAATCAGCTGACCCGAGCTAGTGAGAGATCACTGATTCAGGTCTGACAGATGGGGAACCTGCATGAGACCAAACTAGACTCCCTGAATATAGGTGACAATGGTGTGGCTGGACAATATATGAGGCCACTGGCAGTGAGTCCAAGATCTAACACTAATGCACAAACTGACTTAGTGGAGCCTGTTCTATATGGAGAATGGGCTAGACACAGGGGTGTGGGGTGGAGAGGTGCCTTGGTCTTGCCTCAACTAGATGATGGGACAGAATTAGACCTCCTAGGAGAGGTCTTACCCTCTCTGAAGAGCAGATGGAGGAGGGGAGAGTGGGGGGAGCAGGAGGAAAGAAGAGAGGGGGAACGGGATTGGAATGTAAAAAAATACATTAATAAAAGATACAAAAAAAAGGAAGATCCCCAAAAGTGAGGGACAGCCATTGTTCTGTCTTCAGACCACGAGAATGGACACTTGGAGCTCCTGAGGTAGGAAAATGAACTAGCTTGAGCCAAACACAAGGCTGTTGGCTCGTGTTGTGGGAAGATCTGGTTTCAGACATAGCCTGCCTTCACTGTCAAGCAGTTGTGCTGGTTTTTTCCCCTCTCTGTCTCCATCCTGCCCCCCCTCATGTTCTGTTTGTCAACAAGATTACCACAGAAGTCCCAGCCTCTGGTCCTCTGAGGTTTCTCCGAGCCGGTGGGGAGAATTAAACCCGCTTGCCTCCTAGCTTAATCCGAAGTCCCAAGAGTGTGAGCCTTCTGGCTCAGAGGGGCCTGGCTTGGGCAAGGGGCCAGGCACTGAGGCTGGGACTGCTGTTTGGTCTTGGTCCACGCCGATCCCCTGGCAAGAGGCTTCACCAGGAGCGGGGGTGGGGGGTGGGGGCGTCTCCCTGGCCCCAGAGGAGACGAAAGCCCTGTGGGTGTGCTTGTGCACAGAAACAGCGGGTATCCACCCAGCCCACCCGGCCTTCGTGTCACGGCTCAGTGTGACAGGAGGTGAAAATGTGGGGAAACCCTGAGAGTCGGGCATGAGGCCAAAAATCCAAAGGCATCTGGCCGCCGGTAGACTGGGCCTGGGAGGGCTCCTGGTGAGGGAGCTGTGTGCTCTCAGAGGGGCAAGGTGGAGCCGAAGGCTGGCCAGCCCCAACTCCCTCTTTCGGAGGTCACCTCCGGGGGACCGTGGCTACCCCACTTCCCACCCCTGAGGATGTGCCTGCCCGTCCCGGACCCCCTAAGCCACATCTCTACAAGCGCCCCAGATGGAAGAGGTGAAGCGTCTGATCCCTAGGAGGATGTGCCGCGGGTGACCGGGTCTCCCCCAGGCTGCCTGCTCTTTGAATGGCTCTGCCCCACGATGCTCCGCGACCGTTTTGAGGGCCGCTTTCCATCTGCCGGGTCGAAAAGGGCTTAGCAGCCGTGTCTGGACCCCAGCTGGCTAGGTTACCTTTGCTTGATATGTGGCCTCCAGTCCTAGACCAGTGAGGTCTGGATGGCAGGGGCATGCCAAGGAGGAGGTCTTCCCACGGACCCGGGCTAGGACCAACAGTGCCAGATGGACCACTTGGTGACCTGGGAAACGGTGACGCTCACGCGAATGAGAGGACTATTGGGGTGGAAGGGACGTAGTGGCCAAGCCTCCCCTTAGACCGCTGTGGTGACGGTGTGGAGAGCTCCCTGCTGTCTGGGTGCAGAGCAGTCACTGGTGTCGACCCCCTTGGAACACTGGTCCCGTTCTGTGTCCTTTGATGCCGCAGGCCAGGAGGCCCCCTCCGAGGGGGGAAATAGAGGGAAGCCTCTGTGTCTGTGTTGTTTCTTCCGCGGGTTTACATCAACCGACAAGGCTGAATCGGGCATGGGGTGGAGACTGATGTCCATTCTCCACGCAGAGACTTAAGTGCAGGGTGAGGGCAATGGAAGGGAGACCTGGGATCTCTAACAGTGAGGTCTCCCCTGTGAGCTCTACCTAGAGCCCTGGTGGAGACCGTGAGCTCCACGCTGGGTGTTCACCACAGCCTCAGACTCTCCAGCCCAGGCGGGGACGAGGAAACCGGCAGAGGATTGCCAAGAATGGTGACTGCTTCCTAAAGTCAGAGGCAGAGGGAAGCTGTCCTGGTCCAGCTGTTCACCCGCAGAGGCCTCCGCCTTCTGCACACCCACAAACCCTCAACACCTGTCGCTTTCCGCTTGGTCCCAGGCAGCTGCCGGTCAGACTCATGCCAACCCCAGTGTCATGTAACCGCCATGCTGCCTGCTACCCAAGGCTGCTCCCGGGCCCCTGGCGTGCTGGCGGGCAGGAGAGAAACAAGGCCTTCCCCATCCCCCTCCGACTTTCCAGAGGTTCAGGAGGCTGCTGGGGTCTGGGGGCTTCTTGTGGGGCCTCACTGACTTGCTTAAGCCTCCCTGGTCCTGGTAGAATCTGTTTTAGCTTTTGTCTTTCTGTGATGAAGGAGGTGGTGCGAGAAGGGTCAGTATCCCTGCCCCATCATCACGAGCGAGAATGAACAGAGGCTACCCAGACGAAGGAGACAACCAGACTCCTTTGTTCTGTCCCGGGAGCTGGAGGCTGGTGTCCAACACCCTGTAACAGGGAATCACTAGCATGGCACCGCAGGACAGAGTAGCAGGAGTTAGTGATCAGCTCAAGAGTCTAGGGGAAGGCTCTTGGACCTCTGCCTGGGGTAGTGCCCCTCTCCCCCGAGTCCGGATCCTTAGAGAAGCAGCTAGCCTGAGATGGTCCTCAAGGCGGAATCTGGGGGTCAGCGAGAAAATTACCCAGGGCTGAGAGGTAGGGGTTCAGTCTGGGGCTGTTGTTGGGTACCAGCTGGAGCTGGGATGAGGGCTCATCTGGGCCTAGGATGGGTTCAGTCTGGGGCTGAGATGTGTCGTAACCTGAGGTTGGGGTGGGGTTCAGTCTGAGGCTATGGTGAACATCCAAGTGTGGATCCTCGGGTTGACAGCGGTTGAGCCTCGACTGGCCCTGCTCAGTCCCCTGCTCCTCGAGTCCGTGGTTGAGGCTGACATCTCTGTCTGCTTTGTCCTCAGGGCAGCCGGGCAGCCAGCCCACAGCAGGAGTGTGAGTACCTGCAGATGATTGAGATACAGCGCCAGCAGTGCCTGGAGGAGGTCCAGTTAGAGAATGAGACCACGGGTGAGTCTGACCTGGAGAGCAGAGACGCCCCAGGTCCCCTTGCGTCACCAGCCCGGTCCAGAGCATGCGCCTTCCTTCCCCAGCCGTCAGTGGGATGGGGACCAAGAACAGGGATCACACCACAGAGATCGGGGGCTCCTGACCCCGCCCAGGTCAGGCGGGACGTTCCCTGCTCTCATCTGGGAAGGACACTGTAAACATTGGCTCTGAAAGCACAGACAGTTCTGCCTTTAAGGGGTCCAGCCACGGCTGCTGGGCTACCTAAGGTGGGAGACCTAGGGCGCTCAATGGCAGAGACTTTCCATGATGAGTCAGGTGGGTTCCGTGAGTCCTTGCCTCTCCCCCCAAACCCCTCGGGAGCACCCTTGACCCTTGACTTACCTAGAGCGTAGGTGAGACCAGCCGGCCAGACTCTGCAGAGACCATCAGGACAAATGAGAGCTCTGTTCTGCTTGGCTTGGTCACCCAGGGCAGAGAAAACTTGCAACGGTGGGCGGGTGTAGGGAAGCAGAGGTGCTGGAGGCTGGCTGAAGGCTCCAGCCATCGAGCACTGCATCGTGGCAGAAGCAAAAAGACAGCTAGGCCTCCGTCCTGCGTCGTCTCCCCGGGCTGTGCTCACTGTTACATAATGGGAGCGGGGAGCACCTGTCCAGCTTGCTGCCTCCCGGGGCTGTTACGCAACCTTCGAGGGCTCCTCCTTTACCCTGGTGCAAAGGCTGCTCATAGCGTGTGTGGGCATGTAGTCTCACAGATGGGCCTGGCCTGAGCCACGCTTCATGGCAGGGGTAGCCCCTGACTCCTGTGACCCCGAGACAGAGGCTTGGGTCAGTGGGTAAGCAGACCTGCCTGCACAGTCTGTGTGCTCCACCCTATGCTGCCGCCTAGCTGCAGAGTGGTCTCAGCAGGCCTCGAGATCGTGGAAGAAACCCCACAAGTCCAGGTTCCAGGCCCCGGTCCCCCACCACAGCTCCTCTCCAGACCTGTCCCCGGAGTGGGGACTGGCCACCCTCGTGAACCCAGTGAGGTCACTGCTGGCACGGGGTGCCTGTGGAGTGCCGACACCCGGTACTCAGCAACCGGCCCGGGATCTGGAAGGGGCCAGGCGCAGGTGGCGCAGACGTGGGGCCTGCCCTGACGGCTGTTGAGGCTCTGTACACACACGGTCACGGGGGCACGCCTGACCCATGTCTGTCTGAGGCTGCGGTGGCCTTCCGGCCGACCCCCTGCCTGCCTTTGGGTGCCCCTGTGTGAGTGCGCCAGGGTGTGTTCGGTCTTGTGTGCTGCGTCTATGCGTCTGCTCACTCTGTGGCCTCCCCGTGCCCGTTCACGTGTGTCTGCGTGTGTGTCTGCGATCAGTACATCTGGGAGCACATGTGAGTGTGTGTCTTTTTATATATATAGGAAATTATATAAAGTTGACTTACCGGGGACTCTGTGCCTGCCTCTCTGTCTGCCATCTCAGCCTTAGCTGCTTTTCCTGTTGGGATCTTAGCCCTGAATGGGCACACGGGGAAGTCTCCCAGACGCACAGTCATTTCTAGAAGCAAGGCATTTTCATGGCGTCATTCCTCCATGCTTCCCAGCCCGACTGCCCCCCCAACAAAACCAGCCCTGAGGCGCCCCCCTGCAAGGAGCTTCCCTACAGGCCTCTCTGCCTCAGTTCCCTGGCCTGCTTGCTGAGCTGGGCCCCAAACCTGTTCACAGCACGGTCTTGGCCGTGCTGCGCTTCTCTGAGGCCCAATGCAGCGTCCCCACAGGGCACGCACAGCCCAGCGCCCTTCTCTTCCATTGTCCCACCTCTAGTGCCACCCAGCACCCCCGCCCACCCCACCCCCACCCCCGACACTCTCCAGCTCAGGCTGGCAACTCTGAAAGCCCAGGTCTGGCAGAGACCCAGACACAATAGCTGGCCTGCAAAACAGGGTGTGCCCAGCACTGTCAGCAAGGGTACATAAAGTCCAGCAGCGGCCAGTTTCCCAGAGAAATGCTACCCAGCCCTGAAAAACAGGAGAGGAATGTGTGAACAAACAGGCACGCGCGCGCACGGCTCGGCCACACCTCATCCTGCCGCCTTGCCTCCGTTTCCTCGTCTGTGAAATGGACGGGTTATATAAGCTGGTTACTTAGAGACTGAAACAATGTTGGGACATTCCAAACCTAGTGCGCTTGCTGATGTTAACTGAAACATGCCATGCATAAATCACTCAAAGTGGCGGGCCCACAAGGAGAGAGGATGCACTCTGGGTGACTTCTTTAGCCTTGGCTGCAGGTGCTGACTCCACGGCTGCAGGGCCCCCATGAGGTCCCGCCCCCAGGACCCCGCTCCCCTCCTTGGCTGCCACATGACCACAGCACTGAGGGTCGGGAGGCTCTTCCCCCAAGTGGGTGCATCCCTCCACCTTCCGAGGCCCCTTTCTTGAGAACCTGTGAACCTTCGGACCTGGGCCGATCTGGGCTTGGCCCAGCTGGCATTGACTTTGACTCTGGGGTTGGGTTTCCTGAGCCAATCAGTGGGGCTGGCGGCATTGCAATGGGATCTCTCTCACTCAGGAGATCCCAGGGACACCCAGTCTTGGAGACCCCCTGGAGACGCCCCTTGGCATCCTCACTGCAACGCTTTGCAAGCCCTATAAAGAGCAGCCGTCCGCGTGCTCCGCTGTACCCCAGCATCTTACGGGAACATCTCCAGCGCTGCCTCTACCATTGCAAAACAGAGTCAGAAGACGCATACTTGTGTTTTTAAACAATGACGGTCTCTCACGGAGCCTCTTGGGGATGGATCTTGCTTTTTTTTTTCTTTTGAACGTGGATTAATAGTCTTGTTTGTGTTGAGAAGGCAGGTTCAAACTGTGGGGTTGAATTGCTTGAAACTGCTGCCGGTAATTTGGTAATATAATATTCTGAAATCTAAATGTCTGTTTTCTTACAAACCATAAAAAATGAAGGCCACTCATTGTGCTGCTAGAAATATATACGACGCTCTATAAAAGAAAGGGGGAAAAAACCAGAGAGGAGAGTGATTTATCTTCAAATGCCGTGTACATGTGCAGACGTGATGGCAGTAAAAGATAAAGGAGACAGTCTGAAGGTTGTGCCTATAAATATAAGCTCTGGGAACCAGGGAGCTATAAACGTGGATTGGAGCGTACAGCTGTGCTCGCCACTGACTCAGACACCATGGGCAGGCACGGCAGTGGGTGACATGACCTTCTCACGCTTTGACCGGCTCTCGTTAAAAAGTTCAGAACCAAAGGAAAACAGCCTCTGTCCCCTTTGTCCGGGGAACTGCTCCCCCCCCCACCCCCAGAATACTCCGCAAGGTTAAAGCCACCGCTCTGAGTACTTGGATGCCAAAGCCTCGGCTTGCGTCATTCAAAAAGACTGACGCCTTCACAAGTGCCCAGTAGCCATCCAGAATGAGAGACATTGGGCAGAACCAGCGGGGTTACCTGCCTGGCAACTCTGGTGCTTGTCTATCAAACGGGGATGTAGCTCAGTGGGCGGTTAGCGTGCACAGCAGGCCCTGGGTCTGATCCCCAGCATCACATAAACTGGGCTCAGTGGCGCACGCGTGTACCAGAACTTCAAGGTCTTCCTCGGGGCCAGCCTGGGCTACACAAGATTGTGTCTAAAATAAAAGAAATGGTGTCATGTAGGGACGCTCCGTCCCTTATGGAGAGAGGATCCCGTTTCCTTCCCGTCCGAGTAGGGTCTCTGCAGCCTGTGCAGGTGTGGCCTCCACTCAGGCAGGAGCCACTCCGAGGAGAGGAGGGGGAAGACCGGTGGTCACTTGTGCCCATTTGGTGACATGTGTCCTCTGCTTTCACCCCCACAGGTTGCAGAAAGATGTGGGACAACCTCACCTGCTGGCCAACTACTCCTCGGGGCCAGGTGGTCATCATGGACTGCCCCCTCATCTTCCGGCTCTTCTCCTCCGCTCATGGTAAGAGCCCTGGGCTGAAGGCCAGGAGCAGGGCCGCGTGCTGCCCGTGGGGCCAGCGAGGGGGTTGCCACTTAAGGAAGGGAGGAAGGGGCAAGGGAAACCCAGGGGGCTTCACGGCCAAGAATGGCATTGAGAGGACTCGTGGGATTTGATTAGCTCTTCACATGGAGATAAGCGTGTGGGAAGGGCTCACTAAATATTTGCCCAGGGATTGATAACTGATTGACTGGCAGGCCTGATTGGGTTTTGCCTCCCGTGTTCTTGTTGTCTTGGCTGTGACTCAGTCTGTCACAGCCTGGAGCAGATGACCTTTGGGGACCTAGGAAACCGCCACACAGCTTTGCTTGCATGCCTTGTCATGTTCTGTTTGATCAAACACTCACATGTAAGACAGAAAGGGAAAGGTGGCCCCCTTAGGGCCTCCAGCCCGCGTTCAGTCAGCAGGTGAGGTGCCTCTCATCACTCCGAGCTCTGCGCCACACGGTGGGAAGGGACTTTGGGAACTGTCCCCATGCCTACCCTCTGGGTGCCAGTGGGAGGCACCTTTAAGTGAGAAATAGACAAATGCATGTTACACGGGCAGAGGTTCTGGAAGGGAGGAGATGGGTACGCTAGTGATGAGGACCTGGGGGGGGGTGAACAAGCTAGCCCTTCCTTAGGTACAACCTGAGTATGAAGATTTGAGCCCCCCAGGACCCAACAGCCTGATGACCTGGTGAAGTGAACAGCGTATGCAGCAAAACTCTATTATTATTGATTGTTATTATTAGTATTGACCAGTTAGTAATAGCCCACTTCTGGAGCTGATGGCGAGTATGGGAGGCTGTGGCTAGTGACTGGAGGTACAGGAGAGACTGTGGATGAAAGCAGTTGGCTTTCCACCCCGTTATGATCTCATAAATAAGATATCACCGCAGAGGGGGGCATTTCCAAGAGTGGATAGAGGGTGAGGCCACCCCCACTCCTGTCCTTCGGGGTAACAGGACTGAGGGAAACGTGCCCCCTACAAAGAGTCTTGGTTCTGACGACGGAAGATAAAATCCCAGGGTTAGAAGGAAGTTTTGGGGTGGGTAAAATGCAGCACGTGGGCTAGGGAGATAACTCGGGGTGGGGGTGGGGGGTGGGGGGTGTGAAACTCTTGCTGTGCAAGCATGAAGACCCGAGTTCAGATCCCCAGCACCCGTGTAAATACAGACATGTGGAGGGCACCCGCAGTCCCAGCATTCTCAAGACAGAGACTCGTCAAAGGCAGAGCTGACGGTCAGATAAGCCACTAAGATCTCCGTCGGTGGGCTAGGAGGTGCAGAGCCCAGACGCAGTGCCCAGTCTGGCAGAGGTACAGGACCATTGAGGCAAGACGTATGACCATGTTCAGATGGATGGACAGACAGACAGACAAGTAGAAGAATGGGCAGGTGGACAGAAATTCGAGGGGGCCATGCCAAGCAGTGGGAAACACGTTGAGGGGCAACCTCGGGGACAATGAGGCATTCTCTGTGCCTGGGCACACACACTGGGTGTTCAGATGACAGGTCAGCGGGGGCATCAGAGCATTAGGTGTCCTGCTCTTTATGGGGTTCAGGTGAGGGGGGGTTTTCAGGCCCTTCATTGCATGGTGTGTTTGATGCCTGGTTCTTCTGACATGGGCCCCCGTGTTCTTAATGTGCTCCGGTAGGTGTAGGGCATGACGCCCTCCTGTTTGCATGACTAAGCCACTCATCAGTCTGTGCCTCCGGGTTGACGCTATACAGGTGGTGACTGTGTACGCAAGCCAGAGCCTTCCTGCCTCTGTGTTTGCGCTTAAAAAAAAAAAAAAAAAAGGAGCCGAATTCCGTTTTGTAAAATGCAGTCACAGTAACATCTGCTCTGAGCCTGTCATCAGGCCCCTGGTGGCCCTGAAGGAACTTCTCCTCACCTCAGGGGAACCCCAGAGGCTTGGGTCTGGGAGTTGGAGCCCGGGGGCAGCACCCGAGCATGGAGAGAACGAGACTTACGTTCTGTGCCCTGTGCCCAGCCTCCTGGTTCTAGACTCCTCCCTCCCTCTGTCACCTGCTCCCAGGACATAACATCAGCCGTAGCTGCACGGAAGAAGGCTGGTCACAACTGAATCCGGGCTCCTACTACATTGCCTGCGGACTGGATGACAATGCATCTAGTCTGGATGAGGTGAGGGGAGGCTCGTGCCTCCGAACACCCTGAGGCCCACCTTCCCCAAGCTCTCACTCCTGAAGCCTGTCCCCTGGATCCCCCAACAAGTTACACACGTGACTTTCGTAAGGACCACACCCAAGGGGGGGAGCCTGTCCTCAGAGCAGCCAAAACTGAAATAGGACCCCTATGCTGGCTTGTCTCTCTACATCCATAATCCCAGCGCTTGGGAAGCTGAGGCAAGAGGATCATGAGTTTGAGGCTAGCCTGGGCCTCAAGCTGGTTTGCCTCTCTGTGTCTGTAGTCCCAGCATTTGGGAGGCTGGAGTTTGAGGCTAGCCTGTGTTGTACAGGGAGACTCCTCTCTCTCTCTCAAAATTCTGTTTTAAAAGACAGATGAGTGGTTGACAAGCAGGAGCTGTAGGTTCCCCATGCGCAGCAGAAAGACCCCGTTTACCCCACCTCCCTCTGGGCACAGTGTCCATGTGTCTGTGAGGACCGGGGCTTAGCGGTCACCACTCTTGGGAGCCCTGAGCGCATCTCCCCTGTGCGAGGCAGAGGCACCAGGAGAGCACACAGCCAGCCCATCCCCCATCGGCAGTCCCAAGCCGAGGTCCCCTCACTCCTACCCAAGATCCTTGCCTGCCTCCCCCAGCAGAGACAGACCGAATTCTACAGTGCCGTGAAGACGGGCTACACCATCGGCTACAGCCTGTCCCTTGCCAGCCTTCTGGTTGCTATGGCTATCTTGAGCCTGTTCAGGTGAGGCCTGGCCCTGGCAGCTGAAGCGAAACGCGTCTATCTTTTTTTTTTTTTTGGTGGAGCCCCAGCGTGGGTTCCCCCCCCCTTGTGTCCCGCCGTCAGACAGCTTACAGTCCCTACCCTTGCCTCTGCCAGGCCAGCCACGCCAGCCTCAACAGCAGGTGGCCAGCATGAGGCCTCTAGAGTGATCTTGTCCCCTTTTCCGTACACCTGAGGGAGAGCCTGCCAAAACTCTCTCGGTGCCTAGGAGGTCGGGGACTGGGGGTTGTCACCTAGGAGGCAGGGCTGTAACGTGGAGGTCACGTATCCCCCCACACCTTGCCTGAGGCTCGGCCCCGTGCCAGTCAGGGGTGGTCCAAGGTCCCGTCCGCACCCCGATGTGCCTGCCCCCGCAGGAAGCTGCACTGCACACGGAACTACATCCACATGCACCTCTTCCTGTCCTTCATCCTGAGGGCCACCGCCGTCTTCATCAAGGACCTGGCTCTCTTCAGCAGCGCAGAGACGGACCACTGCTCTCAGGGCTCGGTGAGGACCTGCCTGACCCCACACACACATACACACCCCTGCTCCATATCCTCTGTATGCTTGTGTTCCTTGTCTTCCTCCTCCCCCTCCTCCTCCCTCTCCTCCTCCTCCTCTCCCTCCCCCTCCTCCTCCTCCCCCTCTCCCTCCTCTTCCTCCTCCTCTCCTTCCTCTCTCCTCCCCTCCTCCTCTCCCTCCTCCTCCTCCTCCCCCTCCTCCTCCTCCCCCTCCTCCTCCTTCTCCTTTTCTCTTTCTCCTTCTCTCTCTCAATCTCGGCCCCTCTTCTGGGGACAGAACCCACACACCCTGACCACTCCTCCCCTCTCAGCGGCTGCAGCTGCAGCAGATTTCTGGATCATCTGGAAGTTCACACATCTGCCTCCATTGCTAAGAAATGCACACGTCATGGCCCAGAGGCTCCACACCTCGCGGTCGGGGCCCACAGCCTCATCCTGCCTCATCACTAGTTTCTGGTGTGACCTCAGGCAACTCCCTGCCTCAGTTTCCCCATCCATGCAAGTCCTCCCCACATTCCTCCCAGCTCAGCTCTCTGCTCTCTACAACCAAGGTGCTGGTCCCCGCACCACTGGCCTTCCCGACCTGCTCTCACTGACCGCCTCCCTCAGCCCAGTCCCAGGCGTCCCTGAGGTCAGCAGACTCAGGGAAACTCTGAGGAATTCATTGCCCGGCACTGGAGAGTCTGTCTCTGTATTTGTTACTCTTCTTTCATTGCTATGACAAAACGCCGAGAGATGCCCTGTAAGGAAAGAGAAGTGTGTTTGGGTCAGGCGTGAACGTGCAGTCCAGCATGGCGGGAGAGGCGTGGAGGGTTTGGGTCAGGCGTGAACGTGCAGCCCAACATAGTGGGAAGGCGTGGAGGTAGGCATGTGGCACATCTGTTCACACGACCCACGGTTAGGAAGCAGAGAGAGATGAGCGCCATGCTCAGCCCACCTTCTCCTGTTTATTGGGCCTGGGACCCCAGCCCATGGGACGCTGCTGCCCAACTCCTCAATTAACTAAATCTAAACACCCCTTCTCTCTCAGACGTGACCAGGGCACGTCTCCTGGGTCTTCTACCTTCTGTCAAGTTGTTGATATTAACTATCATAGTCTTCGAGTGACTCAGAAGATGCCACCTAGGGGACGGTAACGAAAGCTCCCTGCTGTGAGGTGTTCTAAGGCTAGGGTGGGATCTCCAGAAAGTAGGAAAAGCCAGGGTAACCACACACTGGGGCCAACTGCATGGCCAGGGTGAGGCCTGCAGCCCCAGAGCTTATTTAGCGGCGTGGCCAGATGTGGCTTTCCCAAGCCAGGTCACGAGCAGCTCTGCAGGGTATTCTCATAAGGCTGGTAAGGCAGGCCTGCAGCTGGAGAGACTAGAGTGTGACCCAGGAAAGGACCTCCCAGTCAAAAGGAGCAGAGAGAAGGCTGCTCCATGGGGATGCCTCACAGCCCGGGGCCTGAAAGGGAAGGGAGGCAAGCCAGGTTCTGTGCGTAGGGGGAGTGAGGAATAAAAGGCTCCCCTGGGAAGCCGTGAAATGAGTGAGGGGGGTTTTGAGAGGAGACAGGGGCCCAGAAGCCCTTTATTCAGGTCATGCCAACTAGGCCACACAGAGTCCCTTGAACACCCTGCTCCACGTCTCCCCGATCTCCTGTTGTCCCTTCCTGACCCGGCCGTCTTCCCGCCAGTTCCTGCGGCTCCCAGAAGGAAGATCCATCCCACGCCCCTTCTCCTTTTCCTCACTTTGGTTGTGGACACCACAACCAAAGGCGACTTGGGGAGGAAAGGTCCGTTTTGCCTTACAACTTAACAGTCCACCGTCCAGGGAACTGGGGCAGGAACCCGGAGGCAGGAACGGAAGCAGAGGTCATGGAGGAGCGCAGCTTACTAGTTGGCTTCTCGCGGCTTGCTCAGCCCGCCTTCTTACAGCGCCCCTGACCACCTGCCCGAGGGCAGTGCTGCCCATCACGAGCTACCCCATCAATCATCAGCCGAGGAAGTGTCCCACAGCCTTGCCCACAGGCCACGTCGGTCGGGACACTCATCAGCTGAGGTTCCCTCTCCCGAACGAACGGACAACCGGCTTGGGTCACGGCGACAGAAAACGAGCCAGTAACCCTGTTCTACCCTCCCGTCAGCCTGCTCTACACAAAGTGACCAGGGAACTCCTGAAGTCTCCAGCAAGAATTCATCCCCAGGGTCCCATCTCCCCAAACCCTCACTGGAGGACAGGGCGGGGAGAAAACGGGCTGAGTGGGCAGAGGGCGAAAGGAGAGAGTAAAGAAGGCAGGGTCATCGGGGCAGGGGGAGGGGGACAGGCAGGCGGATATGTAGGCGGGCTGCCTGAGTCCTGGGCAGACTAGAAAAAGCGGGGGCGGGGAGGGGCGGTGCTCTGTGGATGGGGGGGGTTAACAGGTGGAGAGACCCTTTAAACAAGCGAACAGGGAGACGGTCTGAGTAGGTGGGTGGAGAGACAGACAGCTAGGTGAGTGGGTGGGCGGGTTGGCGGATGAGCACACACGGTTGGTGAGCGGATGTCTGGGTGGTTAGATGAATACATAGCTGAGTTGTTATGAGTCGGGAGGCCGGTCCGTGGATAAAGCCAAGCATGGCAGCTCGCACCTGTAATCCCGAAGGCTGAGGTAGCTGGCCACGAACTGGAAGGCAGTCGGGGATACATCGTGAGTTCTAGACTGGCCTGGTTACAGGGTGAGATTGACGGAAAACACAGTCAAGCATGTATAATGCGCACACAGAGAGACAAGTCTCTGGCGGGTGGGCGAATGGGCAGGGGTGCAGGCGGGCAGGAGGCGTGTCGACACCTTTTTGTCGCATTGTGACGCCATGCCATTGCCGACCAAGCTCATGCTGGAGAACCCTGAAATCCAGTTACCGAAAATACGACCAGGAAAAAAAAAGATCTCCTAACATTTTAAACAAGTTTACCGTTTTGTGTTGGACTGCATCCAGTGCTATTCCTGGCCACACGCAGCCAGTCACAGACTGAGGGTTGGACATGCCCAGAGACACTGGGATCTGTAGCCAGGAGATGCAGAGAAGACACATTGACAGATGGGTAATTTAAATTGCCAGCTTGGCCCAAAGTGCCCACAAATATAAATCACGACCACAGGAAAACCACTGCATTATGGTCTCAAGGTTGGGAACTGACAACGATGAGGTTGGCTGGGTCACAGCTGCCTCGGTCCCTGCAGCCAGAGGTTGGGCAGCGAGGGACCTGCCGTCCCTGAACCTCCCTCCACACCTCCCCGCAGGTAGGCTGCAAGGCGGCTGTGGTTTTCTTCCAGTACTGCATCATGGCCAACTTCTTCTGGCTGCTGGTAGAGGGCCTCTACCTGCACACCCTGCTGGCCGTGTCCTTCTTCTCCGAGCGGAAGTACTTCTGGGGGTACATACTCATCGGCTGGGGTACGGCACCAGGGAGGGGGCAGGGCTGGGAAGGCTCCCTGGGAGGTGGGAGGGTGCAACCCTAGCCTACTTATGAGGCTCTCCACCGGCAGTGGTGAATGCCCCCAGAATGTGTGACCTTGGGGCAGCCCCACCTCCCAGTCTTCCCCGGCTACTGTAACGGCCATACAGCAGAGGCTAGACCAAGACATCCATTTCCCTCTTCTGACCCTGACACTCATGGCCGCTGCTAATCTATAAGGGTTTAAAATCCTAAGAAAACAAAGAAACCTGTCTAAGTGGCCCCAGGCCCTGGGGCATACAGCCTCAGTAACTCTTGGAGTCTTTACACGGTGAACAACCAGTACAACTGGGTAGTAGCCCTGAGAGTCCGTCTTTCTCCCCCCCCACCCCGGCACCCTCTGGTTCCTTCTCCAAACCCCTCTCCCTGTGCCCCCTGCCCGTTTCCTTCTCCTGCATTCTTCTTCGGCCCTCACAGGGGTGCCCAGTGTCTTCACCATGGTGTGGACCATTGTCAGGATCCATTTTGAGGATTTTGGGTGAGCTGCTGTTCCCATCCCCTCCCAGAGTCCCTGGGAAAGATGATAACTGCCCAGGCTTGGCAGGTAGACAGACCACAGCACCAAGCCCAAAGCGAGAGGCTGGAAGGAGAAGTGGGGAGTGGCAGACCTGTGCTGGGCGGGGGTGGGGGGGGTGGGGGTGGGGAGGCACAGACCTCAGGCTGAGGACTCCAACCCCCTGTGCTCTCTCTATCCAGGTGCTGGGACACCATCAACTCCTCGCTGTGGTGGATCATAAAGGCTCCCATCCTCACCTCCATCTTGGTAAGCCCCCCCTCCCCCACTGAGCCCAGCGTAGACAACCAACCAAACGTAGGAAATGGGCGTTTAGGTCAGAAAGGAACCTCAGGGTTCTGTCACCCTCCCATGCCTCCAGTGCCCCCTCTGGAGCAGGTAAGTTGGAGGGCAGGACCTCAGGAGAGTCCCGAGGCAGGGTAGGCGATGTCCTCCAGAGGGAGGAGCCGCTGAGAGCTGCTTGCTGTGGAGGGGAGGCGGAACCCTGGGGGAAGACAGCCCCAGCCCCCACCTCCTGTAAGCGGCCAACAGTGGGGGTCCCTCATTCAACAGGTGAACTTCACCCTGTTTATCTGCATCATCCGAATCCTGGTTCAGAAACTCCGGCCACCCGATGTCGGGAAGAATGACAGCAGCCCATACTCGTAAGTGTCAGCCCAGCACCCCAGCTCCGGACCTCCGCCCTGGACCCTCAGATCATCCCCAACACGTCACTCCACACAGATAGGCATGACTCTCACCCGTGGCCAGGCTCAGCGCCCACTGCCTGTCACCAGGCTGCCCTCCTGACTCTGTGCCCAGCATCTGCCATCCCCATTCCCATCCAGTGTCCTTGAAGTTCAAACCTGCTGCCCCCCCTCCCAGGGGGGGGAGAGGGAGCTTGAGGGGAGTGAAAACCTGTGCCGCTTTCTTCACATACTGTACTCAGTCCCTGGCCTGATCCTGGCAAGGAAAGGGGACACAAGAGATGTCCAGCAGGTGATGCTCCAAGGAGCTCCCATTCCACCGTGAGGCAGCCATGCTCGGTGCTCCCCCGGTGATAATAACCGCACTTGCAGATTTCATGCCGGGCACCAGCTAAGAGGTCTCCATGCATCAGCCCATGTCACACTCAGAGTCCCCTGTAAAACGTTCCCCACTTCGAACAAAAGGCAGGTGCACACTGCCTCACCCTCTGAGGTTTAGGGTGCACCACTATGGGTAGGAAGAAAAGTGGTGTTCACTTTCCTTATTGCTGCAACAAAACCCAACCAGCGATTGCAGGAAGGAACAGTCTATTTTTGCTCAGAGTTCAAGGGTGCAGTCCATCATGGCAGAGGCACGGCTGCAGAGGGTAAGGCAGAGAGAGAGAGAGAGAGAGAGAGAGAGAGAGAGAGAGAGAGAGAGAGGGAGGGAGGGAGGGATGGATGGATGCTGGTGCTCAGCCCACTTTCTCCTTTTTGTTGAGTCTGGGGCCCCCAAGGCAGAGAGAGAGAGAGAGAGAGAGAGAGAGAGAGAGAGAGAGAGAGAGAGGGAGGGAGGGAGGGAGGGAGGGAGGGAGGGAGGGAGGGAGGGACGCTGGTGCTCAGCCCACTTTCTCCTTTTTGTTGAGTCTGGGGCCCCCAAGGCAGAGAGAGAAAGAGAGGGAGGGAGGGAGGGAGGGAGGGAGGAAGGGAGGGAGGGAGGGAGAGAGGGAGGGAGGGAGGGAGGGAGGGAGGGAGGGAGGGAGGGACGCTGGTGCTCAGCCCACTTTCTCCCCCGCCATGGGATGGCGCCACCGGTAGACAGGGCAGGTCTTCCCATTCCAGTCCCATCTAGAAAACCCCTCTCTCTGACATGCCCAGAGGCTTGTCTCATCCATGTTCTAAATCTTGTCAAGGTGACAGTTGGGGTTAGGGGGGCCACAGCGTCCACGGGACAGTTACTGAGTTCGTTTCTTGGAAAGAGGATGGCTATCGCCTGTGCTGGGCACTGGGGAGACCAGCGAGTTCCTATGGGAATCAGAACTTACAGGGCAAGGAAAGACACAGAAAACGTGACCAGGGTGCCTATGCAAAGGCCTGTGGGTCCTTCACCAGTCACTGTGGCAATGGAGGACAGAGACCCACCAATGCAGGCCAGATAAGCCCAGCAGTCCCACAAGGGCCATCCAGCCCTGGGGTCCTACGTGTCCTTAAACTGGCCTCTGTTAGGGGAATCTAGACTCCCCCGCTGGAGAGTCACGAGTTCCTGGGTTTGGGATTCTATTCTGGAATCCTGTGACTTGTCAGGCCTGAGCTGGTGTGATAGCATCCTGTACCCAGCAGGCTGTGTGGGCAGAACACCACCCTCCTTCCCAGAAGACATCCTACACACACTGGGGTGCCTTGGGTGCCTTACCTTAGCGCCCATGTTTCCCAAAAGTTCAGTTGCAGTGGGGCTAGGCTATGGGGGACAGAACCCAGACTGGCCGTGGCCGGGTCTCTGTGGGTAAGATGGAGAGGAGCAGCTGTCACGGGCAGAAGGGGGAGCTGGAGCTGGCAATTCCTGAGGAGGGGCTGTCGGTTCCCACTCTTCAGTTTAAAGAAAGCCTCCATCTGTCAGCCTCCGAGTGTGGGATGGGTTCATGGCCAAAGGGGTGTGGCTGGGAGCCAGGCCCGGGAAGGAGGGGAAGGACCAGGGTGCATCTGCACAGAGCTTGGGGAGGGATCTCAGCACCAAGGCAGGAGAGGCAGGGGCAAACGTGTCCCCCTCCCACCCACATCCCCGCCCCTCCCCCGGGGCCTAGTCTCTGCCAGGAATCAGGAAACCGGGGCCCTCACGTCCTAGACCAGCTATCGGGTCAGTTGTGTGTACACATGGAGGGACAGGTGAGTGAGTGCCAAGGGGGAAGTCTGGCCCTGCTGGCACCGGGGTGGCAGGGAGACAAGCTGATTCTTTGGAGCTGGACTCAGGCTCGGGGAGAGTGGCAAGTCCCAGAGACAGGGTCAGAGCAGAAGAGCAGAGGCCACAAGTCTACCCCGATTAACCGGATGGCCAGGCGCAAAGCTGAGCGCTCATCACCCCCCCCCCCTCCGGCATCCAGGAAGACTTCACTCCTGAGTTCTCGTTCCCAAAAGGAGCTAGTGCCCGTGGATACACCCCAGAGCATTTCCAAGGAGACAGCGTCTCTGATATGGCTGTGTTGGACATGCATTTTACCCCACTCTTCAGTCAGGGGATACTGACCAGGAGTGGGGAGGCTGGGAAGACTTGCCTCTATTACATCCTCAGCAGCCTTCCTCCAGAAGAGAGAGAACGGAGGGAATTTAATTCTCTCATGTGCTTACCCCCAGGGGACAGGAGTCAATGTGGGCGTGACATGGGGGTGGGGGAGCCACTGTTCGTCTTCACACGGTTTGGTCATCTGGTCTACCCATGCCCATCTACACATGCAGATTCACACACCCACAGCCCCCCTCTCCCTCTCCCCAGGAGGCTGGCCAAGTCCACGCTTCTGCTGATCCCCCTGTTTGGAGTTCACTACGTCATGTTTGCCTTCTTCCCTGACAACTTTAAGGCCGAGGTGAAAATGGTCTTCGAACTTGTCGTGGGGTCTTTCCAGGTATGAACGTGAGATTGGGGAATTCACCTGGGGCTGCCATGGGCCCTGGACTGCAGATTCCGGTCTTTTTTCTTGTCAAAGTGCTGGTTAAGTACCTACTTTATGTCTGCTGTCTTCCTTCACCAGAGGAGTAAAGGGGCTGTGGAGAACCAGGCATGGGTTGGGTGGGGCTGGGAGTGCCTGGGGTCTCTTTGCCTCACCTCTCCTGTCCCCTTCTTCCTCAGGGTTTTGTGGTGGCCATCCTCTATTGTTTCCTCAATGGCGAGGTAAGCACCTCCCAGGTCTTGGTGGCTTGGGACCAGAACTCCCAGGCTCAGGGTCTACAAACCTTGTTGTGATCATTGAGAGCAAGGATAGTCTAAAACTTGCGTCTCTGGCGCATGCCTTTAATCCCAGCACTCGGGAGGCAGAGGCAGGCCCATCTCTGTGAGTTCCAGACCAGCCTGGTCTACAGAGCGAGTTCCAGGACAGCCTCCAAAGCCACACAGAGAAACCCTGCCTCGAAAAATCAAAAACCAAGCTGTAGGGATTTTGGACAGATCTGGTGGGACAGGTATTCTGGCACTCGGGAGTCACGGAATACTGAGTGTTACACAGCTCAGATGGAAAGGTATCCTGGAGCTCGGGAGTCACAGAATACTGAGTGTTACAGCTCAGGTGGAAAGGTATCCTGGAGCTTGGGAGCCAAAGACTACCACAGGATGCAGTAAGAGTAGCAGCTTACAGCCCTGCCTCAGGGAGAGGCTTCCCCAGTGTATCACCGGCTCTGCTCCCGCAGGAGAGGGTCTTCCAGTTGGGGATGTTTGCCCAGTGTAGCAGTTTTGCTCACGCAGGAGAAGGTTTCTCAGGCGAAGTTGCTACAGTTCAGCTCTGCTCCCAGGACATTGAAGAGCAGAGTGTAATAACTCCTCTGTGCCAAAGAGAGGTTTCCCCAGCCAAAGTGTTACAGCCCTGCTTGCTCTGCTCTGCCCAGGGTCGCCTCTGCTCCGCTGCAAAAGGAGGTCTTCACCCAAAGCTCATTGAAGGGGTTTGTTGGGAGGGAAGAATCCAGGAGAGTGGCTGCCCTCTGCCAGAGAAGCAGAGGACAGCCTGGTAGCGTGAACAGACACAAACTGAACAGACACAGGGTTTATATGGGGCTTCCAGGGTGGGGATTGGTCAGATTTTAATCTCCTGCTCAAGTATTGGTTAGTTTTCTGCACAGGGTTAGGGTCAGACTTGGCTCTGGTTTTAGGGCCAAAGTGTGTTTCTTTCTCTGGTCCTTTTTAGCCTTTTGGCTTTAGTTTTAGGGCCAGAGTGCATTTCTTTCACGGGCTCTGATTCCAGGGACAAAGTGTGTTTCTTTGGCACTGGTTTCAGGGTCAGGATGCTTTTTTTTTTTTTTTTTTTTTTTGGTTTTGGTTGCAGGGCCAAAGTGTGTTTCTTTGGCTCTGCTCATGGTGTGTTTCTTTGGCTGGACCCTTTTCCCTACACAAGCAAACAACAACAACAACAAAACTTGTGTCTCTCAAGAGCGGTTCTCTTGAGCGTGTAGCCCCCTCGATGCCTAGGGTGTCACTTTAAAATGTACCCTGAGGACACAGCCTGAACTAAGAACCCCTGAGTGGGGTTAGGAGCCGGCTCCTGTGCTCATCAGAGGTGGAGACTACTTCCAGCTAAGTGTGTGTGGGATGAAATGGGGGGTCACACATTGAGGGAAAGTGTAGTTGCAGCCACAAGAATGCACTCAAGTGGCTGCCTGGATGAAGAATTGGGGTACACTCCCCAGGCAGCCGCCCTCTGGCCTCCCTGTACGGCGTTTTGTGACCTTCATGCCAGCTTCCCTCTCCCCAGCTCTCCTGAGTTGAGTCTCTGACTCCCAACCCTGTGCCAACTCGGCTCCTCTCTCAGTTTAAGCTAGGGAGTATCTATAGCTAGCTTAACACGCCTGGAAGGCCACACGGTACAGGGCCTAACCACCCTTTCCCACCCCTAGGTGCAGGCAGAGCTACGGCGGAAGTGGCGGCGTTGGCATCTGCAGGGCTTCCTGGGCTTGAGCTCCAAATCGCAGCACCCGTGGGGAGGCAGCAACGGCGCCACGTGCAGCACGCAGGTGTCCATGCTGACCCGCGTCAGCCCCAGCGCGCGCCGCTCCTCCAGCTTCCAAGCCGAGGTCTCCCTAGTCTGACCGCCAGAGGCCGCCAGGCCCCTTCGCACCCTCCCCACGCAGGCCCCCGGAGCCGAGGTCTGCAGCGGTGCCGCTAGCTCAAACCTTTGGTCTGTCTGGACACACTCCTTTGCTGCAGCCAGGACCCGGTCCATGCGAGCTGGAGAGCAGGGAGATCCAGCCCTGGAGGATGCGGGGAGGGGCCAGCATCAGACCCCGCCTCCAGAGGCCCCTCTGCCAGTCATGCGCACAAAATCTGCCTACACCTCCTGGCAAGCAACTGCCTGTTCTCAGCTTTGGGACTCTTGAGGGCAAAGAGCTTCTGCCCAGTTCGTGCCTAGAATTCCACAGTGGCCCTCAAGTCGCTTTGGGTTAAGCGTTGCCAATGAGAATCCCTCCCTGAGGTACTGCTTTTATCTGCCAGCATCTCCGGGTGGGTGAGTTCCTCTACCTCAGACAGATACATGGTCGTGACCTGGAGTTTGGGTTTGGGGACCACAGCTGTGCTGTGATCCTCACTCGGGATAGAATTGTCCCAGCGTCGGCTATATCCGCGGACCTGGGAAGGGAGACGATGGTCCCAGCCAATGCTCACCAAGTGGCTTTGTCTGTCACCAGCCTTATGCACAACCAAAGCAATAGCGAGCTGCCCGCCCTGGGAGCTCATCTACATGCCAACCACTGCAGCACGGGCCAGAGACGTGGGCCCACGGGCCCCTTGATCCTGAGGTCATCCTGAGGTCACAGGTAGGGAAACTGTCACTAATGCCAACATAAAGACTACCTTTTCACATACCGTGGCCTGCTGGGATCTCTTGGGGTTGAATTACCAGAGATGTTATTGCCCTTACAGCCACACGGCTTCTAACCCAAGCTAGGGTGTCAGCAGGTCCCCGTCAGAACTGCACCAGGCTTGTATGACAATAACTATTGGCTCTGACAGGCTTAGTTCCCCTGGCTGCTGTGTGTCACCCTGCTCCAATGAGAGATGGCTCACTAAAGCCAACACCCTTCTGGCTTTGGACAGGGCCCCCACATTTCCATGTGAGCCTTTGACTCACACCTGAGTGTGAAGAGTTTGTAGCCGGCCCCATTGTGACCCTCACCCCCTAAATCCAGCTGGAAGGAGACAGATTCTGCCTTGGACCAAAGCAAAACAGCCAATAGGCCAGTGAGAAACAGCGAGGTTTCACAATTAATCCTGAAAACACAGCAAACAGAATGCAAAGGCCAGGTCGCTGTTGCCTAGAAACCAACCAGGAGGAATTAGATCAGAGCAACTGTCCCGGCCTCGGCGGCACAAGTCAGTGAGGAGAGGCTGGGTGACTTACGGATAGGTTAGACATAGCCGTGTGGCAAAGCAGGTGACGTCGGTAGATCAGCGAGGGCTTTGTGCAGATGCGTCTCTTTGGCTCCACTTTGCAAACGTGTGGAGTTGTCTTGTTGGACATGCCAGACGTGGATGCCGGGCTGGTGCACAGAGGTCAGGATGGGCTAGCAGAGACGCAGGTCTGCCTGCAAGGGTCCTTCAAAGGCTGCGGACACTCAGGACCACCCCAGGACAGATCAGAAATAACCCTCTGAGGCATGCGGAAGGCCAGCGGGACCCCCATGCCTAAATGAATGGTCCCAAAAATCTCCCCAGCAGTCGTGTTGCGGCGTGGGGTAAGTCACAGAGCAGTTACCAGTCAAGAGGACAAAGAGTGAGTAAAATTCAGACCCAAGATATGTTCAAGGAAGGAAGGCAGAGTTGGGGCGCTGACCAAGGAGGCTTAGGAGGTGAGATGCTCAGTGGAGGGTGTGCTGGATAGAGAGAGGCTGGAAGCCTTGGTTGTGGGGCTAAGAAAACGTGTGCCTCTGTCCTAGCTTAGCGACAGCCGTGGGGCAGGGGTGACTACAGGCAAGGCTATCCCAATCCCATCTTCCCCTGCCAGCTCTCCGGCTCTGCCAGGTGCCTGTCAAACCAGGCCAACTCATCTCTAACACCATCTGGTGGACACTTCACAGACTTTACCAACCTTGACTGCCTTCAGGCTTAATTCTGTCAAGTGGGTTTCTCACGGGGAGGCAGCTGATACAGAAAGCAAGCCTCTGAATGAGCTCCCAAGGGTGAGGTAGAGGGTGTGGTGAGGCTCATACCCAGGCCAGCCCCACACCTCCCCTCAGATCAAACCACCCATTTCGGTCCTGCCTTGACCCGAGGAACCTGAGGGAAACCAGACTCTGGTGACTCCCTCAAGCTGACCCTACCCTCGGTCTCCAAGGGCAACGACCAGATAGGTGTGGACGGGAAGCTGTACCATCTGAACCCACAGAGACTCTGCCCGCTCTGTGGGGAAGGCCTGTCTGCAGGCAGTCTTTTCACTCTGGGGCATGAGCTGTCCGAGGAGGCTGGTCCACCAGCTAGCAGAGCACCGCTGAGGTGCTTGAGGGCTAGGAGAGGTCTCAGGGTCCCAAGGGGACATGTCTGGGTGTCAGGGACACCTGAACCCAGCCCAGTAGATGTTGGCGGTGCTTCGCAGGTAGAGACAAAGAGGTTTATCAGGCGAGGTCGAGGGATGGTGGGGGGTTAATTGGGAGAAGGGCCCGGGGTGTGTGTCTGGAGAGGATGGTAGGCCATCAGCAGGAAGGGGAGGAGGCCAGCTGGGGAGACGATGCTGACTGTAATGTCTGCAGGGTGTCCGAGGAGGGACCTGTTGAAGGGACAGATGGTGGGAAGACCAAGGCAGTCCCTTGGAAGACACAGTGGGTGTAAGGGCAAGTAGCCAGGCACCCCCTCGGGGTGTGCGGGGCACAGCGGGGTGAGCCGTCTGGCTCAGCCCCTCCATCCTAGCTGCCTCGCAAGGTCTTGCTTTAATGAGCAGTGGTGAGCTTCCCTCCCCCCATGTGGGAACAGGCATGGCTCTTATCTCTCTGGGGGAAGGGGAGAGGGGTGGAGCCACAGCTGGCAGTTATTAAACACCCCGCTCCGGCCAGGGATGGCCGGGATATTAATAGCCCCGGGAGTCATTGACTCTGAAGACAGAATAACTTCAGCCGGCCAGAGGGATGCGTCAGGAGGCCATCTTGGCAATGCCCCAGCCTCTGCACAGGGCAGACGGGACAGCCGAAATCCAGAGAAGGGAGTCGTTGTAGAGGATGGTGTTGAGCCCGGCTCTCCAAATCCCACAGTCGTGCCTCAGAGATCCTGTATGTTGTCAAACACTGGATCGTCAAACGTTGGATTGTCTGGGTGTGCCCTACCTGGACATGCGAGACGAGACGAGCCAGCCGGCAGTCCCGATTCTGTCTTCACATGTTGTCCACATGTATTTTTTGCATTAATTTTGATATTTTAAGATACCGCATTAAAATGTTACTCACCTTGGTCCCCGCGCTGCTGTTTCGTTTGCTGGCCTAGGTCCGCACTCTCAGCAGCTGCCTCCCTTGGTCACCCTAGTCCCTGTCCCAATCCCAGGAGCCCCAGCATCCCTGACTTCCGGGGTGCCACGGCGGGAGACACATTGAAGAGCTCCAGGCCGCCCTCTGTGTGGCTTCCATAAGGGACTTCGCCAGGGTGACGCCAACGGGATGTGGCAGCCCCAGGGATGACCCAGCAACTCTAGTCCGAGTCTGCGTAGACCCCAGTGTTCCCGCTGCTCCCCTCCGTGTGTTGGCTGTCCTCGGTGGCTGTAAGGTGCATGTCAATGGTCCAAGCTCCACCACCACCACCACCACCACCACCACCACCACCACCACCACCACCACCACCACCACCACCACCCCGTCCTCAGAAGCCCATCCATGGGAACCGAGGATACGCCTCGTCGGAAAGCACAATCCACCCAGATCACCAGGATGAGCAGGACAGGTCACCAGGCCGCCTTGTCAATGCCCCAGCCTCCACACAGGACAGGAGGGATAGTGAATAACCAGGAGAAGGCATTCAACTTGACACAAACTCTAGGCACCAGGGACTGGAGGACCTTAGTGGAGGAACTGCCCCCACCAGACCGGCCTGCAGCATGTATGTCTGTGGGGTGTTGCTTCGTTAACGGGTTAACTGACGGAGGGTCTAGCCCACTGTGGGTGGAGCCACCCCCGGGCAGGCTGGCCTGTGCCGTATACTGAAGCTTGCTGTGTAGACACACAGGGAATAAGTCAGCAAGTAGCATTCCTCCCTGGTCTCTGAATCAGTTCCTGCCTCCAGGTTCCTGCTTGAATTCTTGCCTTGGCCTCCTCACCTTCACTCAGACCCTCTTCTAGTCAATCTGCAGCTTCATTTGTCCATCCCTGAAGGAGTGGGGGGGGCCTCCTGTTTCAGTGGTGAGTGGCAGGGAGGTCACGGAAGTGAGCCTGCAGTGTCGCTGGTGACAAAGCCGGTGTCCCCAGAGTCAGGAAGCAGAGAGGGATGAAATGCTGGCGCTCCACTTGCTTCCTCCTTTCTGACTCAGCCCGGGACCCCGGCCCATGGAGTGGAGACACCCACATTCTGGTGGGCTCCCCTCTCTCAGTTCAGCCTTTCTGGGAGTGTCCTCACGGTCACGCCCGGGGGGGGGGCGTGTCTTCCAGGCCTGTGCAAATACAGTCATTGCCACCAAGAATGACCATCACATTTGCTCGCCACTCGCCCTGTGCGAATCTAAGGTGCTGAGGATGGGGGCGGGGCAAGGCTGGTAACGGTGGTGATGAATGAGGACAGTCACGGGGGGGGGACAGGTTGGGCGGGCAGAGTTGGAGGAGCTTTGTGGTCAGATAGGGTTCTCCCAAGGCCTCCTCTGGGCACTGATGGTAAGATGGGGACAGGCTATGCCCCCCCTCCTGATGAGCAGCGTGTTTCATGCTCACACAAATCAGAACTGGGACCCAGACACCTCAAGGCCAAGTCAGGTCAGACTCGAACAGGGTCTGAGCAAAGAGGGACGGGGGTGAGGTAGGGCTTGGGTCTCAGGGTCGTCTTCTTCACAGGCACAGCTCCTGGAGAAAGGATGGGGCTTTTTCTGAAGCCCTCCCTTGTTGCAGCAATGACCAAGGGCCACAGACTCCATTCGTGTACGTAGACCAAGAGGTCCCCCACCCCAAGTTCAACATCCTCTGTGCCAAGTGACAGGGAACGGGCAGCTCTGGAGAAGACTAATATTTACTCTTCAAATGGGAGCTGGCATGGGCTGTTTCCTGTGGTTCGCCCGAGGATGGACACAACAGGAGGCCGTCTGGGAGACAAGCAGATGTCCCCTCAGATACCAGTGTTGAGACAGGACAGTGCCCGTGAGATGGGGACAGTGTGTTCTGAGGCTGCCCTGCACACCTCCGGGACACAGCTCCCGCCCGGCCTTTGTAAGGCCTGCTGGACGGTCCCGTGAGAAAGTTCACTCTGACTGGCCCCACGTTCCTTGCCTCTGGCCCTTGTGGTGATCCCTGGGGCCTTGGAAATACGCCTGGAACAAGCCCCCTGGGCCATGGTGGTCCTGGTCTGCTTCGCCAAACCCCCGCCGTCCTGGCTGGCTTCACTTCCCCAGGCGTGCACACTCTGGGCTCGGGCTATTTCTGGGGTGGGTGGGAAGGCTGGCTCTGGGGCACCTCTGTCCCCCTGCAGCTGGTCCACGTCCTCTTGAGAGACACACAGTGGGAGAGCCTCAGCCAGGGAACCGCCTCAGATGGCCTGGATCTGCGGGGGACAGTTCCGGGGAGGGGGGTTGGGGGTTGGGAGGGTGCCCACTGCGTCTTCTCCCCCTGAGAGCTCCCACTCTCCCGGAAGCACACCCTTACCACTGCAGCTCCTGTAGCCTCTGCTCTGGCTCCTCCCTGGTCCCAGAAGCAGCCATGGGCACTCTTCCCGTTGTTTTGACACAGGGTCTCACGTGGCCAAGGCCGACCTTGGACCCCCTGTGCACCGAGGATGACCTGAACTTCTGATCCCCCTGCCTCCTCTTCCTGAGCGCTGGGACCGGAGTGTTGAGCCACCATTTTCACTTATTACTTGTACCAGATGGGGACAGCCTTCCCTTCCAGGCCAGGAGACACATCTCTGGGATGTTCTCTGACTGGCTTTCTAGGCCAGGCCTCAGCTTCCACACCTAAGCAACAGGACTTGTCTACCTTCAGATCCCCAAATCCAGCAACTCAAATGACTGTTTCTGGAAAGTGGCTTTGGCCGCTCCCAGTGGCCGGGACTCAGGACCAACAAAGGAGAGGTGCTGGGAACGCACACTCCTAATGGCTTAGGGGGCTGGTCCAAGGAGGCTGCACCAAAACCCTTCCTGGGGATTTTGTCAGCTGTTCCAAAGCAGCCACTGACTAAGGATGTCCCCAGGTTGGGACAAGGTGGCGTGTCCGGTCGCTGCGCCTCCTGGTGGCCACTCCCCGGGTCTACAGAAGCCCAGGACTCTGAGGTGACTGCCAGGCACGGGCAGACAGCAAGGCAGCGGCTCCGGAGCCTGCAAGCTGCCGGGCCCCTAGAGCTGTCTCATCCCTGCTGCTTCCGTTAGGGACCTGTGCCACAAAGCCTGAGTCCTCAGACCTGCCCGGGCCACGCGTCACGTCTCTCACCTGTCAGGTGGCTCACAGACCACCTCAGGCCAACAAAACAGACCCTGACCCAGAATTCCCCGCACACATCCACACACGTGCACTGGTAAACGCTTTAGATTTATTCTCCACACACTTCTGAATCTACCTCGCGCCATTTTAGTATACACGGTATATGAACAGCTGTACGACCGGAGTACGTCGTCTCGAGTTTCGGCACGAGAATGTGAAAGTGAAAATGTGCCCACCCTGTGCTCAAAATAGAGCTTTGTTATTGATTGAAAAGTAGATTATAATCTGGGCAGCAACCCTGGGGATGAGTGTGTGGAATGAATGGTTTTGCCTTAATTAGCCTTGATTTTTTTTATTTTTTTATTTTTTTTTTGTTCGTAGAAAAACCCACTAAGCCCAATCAAATCCTAGGGGCTGAGTCATACAAAGAATTCATTAGGTAACATTTCTAAAGCAATCTAAGGATCATATCAACACAAGGGTTAAAGATCACACATAAAGCAGCAAACATGGGTCAAAGGGAAAGAATGGGTTTAATTTAAGGCAACTGTGGGCCACGGGCCTGCCCATCACTTCCTATGGGCAGGCATTTCCCTAGCCCACTATAACCAGATGCGAATAGCAAGCCCCCTTCCACAGTTGTCCTCCTGATGTCTCTCCCCAGCCACACAAGAGGGACAACGCTGCTTCTGGGTGGAGGGAGTGAGGGGCCGGGGTTCTCCTTGTTGACGCTGGAAACACACAGTGAAGTCTGATCCAACGTACAGACCAGATTCCTGGGATCCTAGAGCGGGTGCTGACGACTGTCCGCGCACAAAAATCCAAGAGGCGGGTCCAGGGGCAGAAGGCAGCCACTTCCTTTCCGGAATAAACGCCACCTTGTAAATGTTTGGACACAGGTGAGGTCTTCTGCCTGCTGCACACACCCAGTGATCTGGCCGCCCTCTCTTCCTCTTCACCAGAGCCTCTGTGGCCACCTGCAATTCTCACAGGAGCATGCTGCGATGGCAGAGTGGTGCCCCTGCCCTCCTGCAGGTGAAGACGCTGGGGATGGCAGGCAGGGACTTCCACAGAGACTGACTGGGAGAGCAAAGCTGACCTCTAGGCCGCTCGGTTGGCTGACCCGTGTGGCCCTTCCCCCACTTCACCTCTCAAGGGCCACGCCTTGTCCTCTTCCTCCACCACTCCCGGCCCTCACAGCACACAGGTAGAAAGGCCCCACACCCGAGAGGGACATTCAGGCATGAGCTCAGCAAAGGACTGCTGGGCACAGCTGACAGCAGTGTGCACGCCTGACCGCGCCCGGCCTCTTTTGTTAGTCATTCATTGTCAGACGTGTGGAGGAGACGGAAGGGTGGCTGTGCTGGTGTTACAGTGAGCAGGCAGCTCCTTCAAGGGGCAGCACGGTACGGGTGTGAACGGAGGCTTGGGCCTCACGCCGTGTCCTATGCTCCAAGCGGTCATTTTCTCGGGCCTGTTGGCTAAGGCAGCCCCCAAGAGGGGATGACTGCCAAAGTGCTGCTTCTCCTGAGCTCTGAGCCAAGGTGAGACAGGGTGAGACACTTCGGGAGCCAGCGTCTCTGCAGGGGTCTGGAGGCAGGACGGTAGGAGGCGGAACAAGGGGGAGAGAGGGAATATGCCGCAGCCAGGAAGGGAAGGGGGTCAAGGGAAATGCCCACAGTGCGTGTCAGCAGGGCTCACAGACAGCGAGAACCACAGCCAGGGGGTCAGCGAGGCATCCAGGACAGAGGGGAAACTCGAGCCCAGGAAAAGGAAAGTCAGGCACAGTCCCCCATCAAGACAAGGCCCACAAGACAAACTGTCTGCTTCCTGCCCTGGGTGCTGGGCCACTCCCACCCGGGTGTCGGCAGAAGCCCGCAGTCTGTGGGCATCCGAGCAGGAGCCCCTGAAACAGTTTCACCACTGCTTCGTTCGGGCCAGCTGGGCAGCAGCAACTGACCACTCGCCTAAAGACCAGAACGGCAACCGGTGCCCGGCAGAGAGGAGCACGCCTGTCTTGGAACCACTCTCCTGGCATCAAAGATTCCACGGGGGCGAACTACATCTAGGCCAGAACCAAGTAACCCCAGGGCCCGGGGTTTCCCGGGGACTTTGTGACTGTCAGCCGCCTCTTCCTCCAGGGAGGTGAGGCTTCTAGGCTGGATTCCAGTTAAAGGTTTCTCTGTCTCCTGTTTCCCTCAAGGGTGCCTCTTCCTTCCATTTACGACGGCCTGGAACCCTGTCTAGATGATAATTCATGAGCTGTGTCAACCAAGTGTGGACAACACCCTCACTAGCATCTATGGGGCATGAAGCGTCTCAGGGACCGCTTCATTACCGCTTGTGAACTGAAAACCACAGGCTGAGACCCTCGAGTGTGAGGGTCTCCAGACACAGGCTCAGACCCTCAGTGTGAGGGTCTCCAGACACAGGCCAACACAGGCTGAGACCCTCAGTGTGAGGGTCTCCAGACACAGGCTCAGACCCTCAGTGTGAGGGTCTCCAGACACAGGCCAACACAGGCTGAGACCCTCAGTGTGAGGGTCTCCAGACACAGGCTCAGACTCTCAGTGTGAGGGTACCAGACACAGGCCAACACAGGCTCAGACCCTCCAGTGTGAGAGTCTCCAGACACAGGCCAACACAACGCCACACAGGCCTAAAAGGAAGACAATACACTTTTTAGGCTGATTTTTTTTAACTTACTTAAAAAATTTTTTTTGAGTGTGTGCTTTGAACTAAAAGAATTCCCTCCTCTCTCTGGCTCCCTCTTTGGCCGCTTCAAAATCCTCTCTCAGGAAGAGTGAGCATTTGCCTGCACGGTATACATACAGTTACACAGGCGTGAGATCAACACACACACAAGGTGGACGTTCACACCCAAGGATGTTGCCAGTATTGACATCATACCCAGACAGTGTTTGATCAAAGATAGAAAAATCTCCTCTGGGGAAACAAGGCCACGATAGCAATACTTCCCCAGCCCAGTTCTGAGTCACAGAGGCTCTCCTAAACAAACAAAAGAACTCTCTAGCCCTACACCCTCACCTTCCCCACTGCTCGGGAACTTTGGGGAGTCACTGATGGGTCAGCCCACACAGCCGTGGGTGCGCTGTCCCAAAAACAAGCCGGAGGGGTGAACCCCAACATGGCTTCTTGAGTGCCACCAGACAGTCACCCTGGAGATGCGGGGGCTCTTATTCAGAAGCACACCTTTGCTGTGCGGCACCGGTCAGTTGCACGGGGCTGACACCTACTTACTGCCTGTCCCCAGAACAACCAGGCCCTCGGTCTGATCGAGATGCTATAAGGGGGCCTCTCTAGGAGGGACGCAGGGCCACGTCATCTCCAGCAGTGCTACCGTGACAGGCGCTCAGCTGCCACACACACACAGCTCCCCGGTTCATCAGGGACCTCTGAACCCCAGCAACTTCCCACTCCTCTCTGCCCCCCTGGAAAGGACCCTGAAGCTCTCACATCTGCTCATGGCCCGTGTGCTTATGACCCAGTGATATTGGTTATTTAATTTAGAGATTTTCAGGTAGACCCTGCAAATAGATGCAAACCACATCTGTAGCCACGGTCCAACCACCATAAAGGATCTCTGTAAATAAAATAAGCTCGGATCTCCTTAGCATTTCCTCAGCCTGCGTTTACCTTCATTCTAAATGAGCTTCGATTTGTACCCAAAATATATTTTAAATATCCCAAAGGTATACCGAACCCAAGTTATCAAAAATGTAAACAAGATTTACCTAGCTTATATTTATGAACCATATTTCCAAGCTTTTAATTTACCCTGAACTGACACTCCAAGGAAAACCTACCAAAGTTACACTGAAACTGCAAATGATTTCAACTGTCAAGAGTTTCCTTGCAGACTCCTGCCAAGGGCCAAAACTACCATTCTGGGACCGAGTGGTCTGCAGTATCATTTGATTTAGGAGGCCAGAGCGTTGCCGCTCCGACCGTCAGGGATGCTCTGAGCAAGCTCCAGCTTCCGCTGCCCCGCCCTGTGCCTCTTCTGCACAAATGCTCCATCCACACAGACCTAGGCTGCAACCGGCAGCCCCGGGCCCTCCGCCGCACCTGCCGGGATCTGTGACCTCAGGAGCTTCAAGGACGGAGATCTGAGGTGAAGCTGAGAAGCAGGAGTGGAGACAGACTGGCCTTCCAGGGGCGTAAAAAAAAAAAAAAAGATCGAAGGCTCCATGCGCTGCATGATGCTGTCCTCACACTCCGTAGTCGGACTGCCTCTCCTGCAGTTGTCTGGTCAGGATCTGGTACGAGGACAGGGAGGCCACGCCTATGTGAAAGAGGATTTGCCAGGTGTTCCTCAGCCCATGCAGGTACACGTTGCCCAGGCAGATGAAGGCCAGCATCAGCACCACCTTCAGAGTCCTGGCCGGACTATAGAACAGGTACAGATAACACTGAAAAGAGACCGCGATACGTCCAGTCAGAGAGCGGCAGACAGCCTCAAGTCACACGCGGCCACAAACAGCAGCGTGGATGCACCTGTTAACTGACACCTGTACGCATGCGCCTACTACTGGCACCTGTACGCATGCGCCTATTAACTGAGCTCGCTACCGCGAAACTGGGGACGGCGGCTGCTAATCACGGGATGAGCAGGAGGAGATTCTAAAGGACGAAACAGGTGTCACCGGAGGAAGGGTGTTAGAGACACACAGGCAGATGTCCAGACTGGAGATGCAGAGGAGAGAGACATGCAGTATGTAGGGGGCAGATCAGGCAGGAAGGCCCTCCCAATCCTACTGTGACTTCTGCAGTCACAGCCACGCTAGGTGTCACTGCTCCCTCAGGCATCTGCTTGCAGTCCCCAAAAGCAGCCAGTCAGGGACTGCACCCACCTGGACGATACAGGCCACGGACGGAATGAAGAAGGCCAGGATGTTCCCAACTTCTTCCTGGGCAACCTGAAACAGCAAAAAAGGTTTGACTGAGGCCGGGCGTTGGTGGCGCACGCCTTTAATCCCAGCACTCGGAAGGCAGAGGCAGGAGGACCTCTCTGAGTTCGAGACCAGCCTGGTCTACCGAACGAGTTCCAGGACAGGGTCCAAAACAATACAGAGAAACCCTGTCTCAAAAAACCAAAAAAAAAAAAAAAAAAAAAAAAAAAGTTTGGCTGAAAGGAACCTCGGCGGCGCGGAGTCTGTGATCCCCACTTCACTGGTGTGGACGCCAGTACAAAGACGCCTGGCCAGATCCGGGGTTGGCGTGTGACGGTTTTTCCCAACGGTCAGACAGACCATGCGTACTCCTGCCCCGGGCCTCCATGCTGCATTCTCAACATGCAGTGTGTTAACATCCCTTCACCACTCAGGACCCTTTCTCATCTGTTAATGCCAAGCTTCTCCCAGAACCTTCTGCCCCCGGCGACCGCCACCTCCTCAGTGCTGTCCCTGCGCGGTGCCATCAGAACCTCAGGGCAGGGTCTGTCTGAGCCACTTTGCGGGCCAGGCACCAGTTTTACCACAAACAGCTGGCAGGTGCCTGATCCACACCAGGCACTGCTCAAGGATGGGATGTGATACCAGCCCAGGGGTTTTCAGGCTCTAATAAGGGCCTGGCGCCACTCCTCAAAGGGGTCAGTCCACGTCAGCACCCACAAGGCACCTCCTGGGTTCAGCACCCACAAACGACCACCCTTTAATCTCCAGTCAACACCTAGCACTGCGGTGGGCACTATGGCTTTATCTTTCCTATTGACAACTCACATGATACATTATGATCATGGTTTCCTCTCCCTCACCCCCTCCCAGATCCCCCTTAACTCCCCACCCAACCAACTCCATGCTTTTTTCTCTCTTTAAAAAAAAGCAATATAATACTAACAATAAAATAAAAAAGAAAATGAAAAAGTATAGCAAACACACATAACCCCAAATCCATAAAAACACAAAATCAGAAACCATAATCAAAAGGCTTAAAAAAAAAGTCCATACAAAGCAATGTGAGACAAAAATCTATAAAAGCACTATGGCTCTATCCTTAAAAATAACAACTACCTGCTTATGCTAATAACAGTTCTATTCCTTTCACCAGTTTTGAAATACTTCCAAAAATATTTTTAAAGAAATATTTGCAGAGAGCATCGAGACAGAAAGTTGCTTCGCCATCTGTGGCCAACAAAAGGAACATTCGCCTTGTGCCAGGGATGTGGGTCTCTGGCGAGAGAAGACTCTCCTGTGGGGCCACACACCACGTAGTGGGAACATCTTTTCCTAGAGCCTGGCAGTGTGAGCATCCTGCTGATGACAGAACCTTGGTTCCTAAGGGCTCAGCGGCGACCCAGAGTCCTGGCAGCCAGCTGACTGCTTCTTAGCAACATCCCAGAACTGCCAAGGACAGCCGCAAACGGATCTTTCCAGATGTGTTCAACTTACTACAAAGAGCAATCTTTTGTTCTGGGTTCTTTTATCTTATACTCTACCTTGAGCTGGCCCAGAACTCTTCTGTAGCTGACATGTGGTATGAAATTCTGATCTCCATGCCTCCCCTTCTCCGGTGCTCGGATTATGGTGGGTGCATCACCATATCCAGCTTATGGATTACAATTCCTAAAGTGTTCTATTTGAATTTTTGACATTCATAAAACCTAGCTGTGCCAGGTGGCAGTGGTGTACACCTTTGACCCCAGCACTTGGGAGGTGGAGGCAGGCGGATCTCTGTGAGTTCAAGGTCAGCAGGGTCTGCAGAAAGAGTTCCAGGACAGCCAGAGCTGTTACACAGAGAAACCCTCTCTTGAAAAACCAAAAAAGCAAAAACAACAAGAAACTAACCAACAAAACCCTAACCGCTTATCGACCTGACAAAAACTGTGTCCCATCCTCAGCCTCGGTCACTTGTCTCTCCATTTGGACTGTAAAGACGGGTTGGGGATTCAGCTCCAGGGTAAAAGGCGCATGCTGAGGCATCCATCGAGTCCTGGGTCCAATCCCCAAGACCACCAGAAAGACAGACAAACATGTAAAGTGGGTCACCTGTAAGGAGTGCTCTGCCAGGTGAACTCCACGGACGAGGTTCAGCGCGGCGCACATGATGTTGAGGACGAGGGAGAGGACACCCAGCGCTGTCACTGGCTCCATTCGGAGATTCAGAGCTTCACGATAAAAGGAAAGGTGTCTTGTGAGAATTGTGTCGCCGTGATGGAAGGGAACAGGACACCAACTAGACCCGTGCTAACAGACTCACGACGCTAAACACAGAGCCGCAAGCGCACATCTAAAAAGCAACAGGAGCTAGCAGGGCCCGCCGGAAACGGATGCCGGAAGGGGTCTCAGAAACAGAGGTGAACTTCTTCCAGGAAGAAGGCCCTTTTCATGTCAAACACAAATCTGTTAGCACTCAGTTGCCCTTTTATTTTACCCAGGGGTGGGTGACTTGCCCCCCAGAGGGGTGTCCAGGGATACCTGCAATTGCCACCAGGAGAGGCGAGTGGCAGTGGCACTGCTAAGCATCCTGCAGGACATGAGATGGCCTAGTGCAGGGTCACCCGGTACTGCATGCCAACAGGTCAGGCTGAGATGCTGGGGGCAGGGACCATCCGGACGCCGGGGGCATTGCCGCCACCACCTCAGTCTCCAGTTTGTAAACTGCCCTGCTCTTTCCAGTGAGGACAATGTGCAGTGTCACATGGGTACCCAGAGAAATTCACAGCAGGTGAGTTCTTAAATTCTAAAATGCCCAGGAAGAGGAGGTATTCGGTCTAGCACAGTCTGACTGTCGGGCTACAACTGTAGCCAGGATGATAATGGGAACACAGATTTGCTCTCCCCCAGAGGTCACCATTAAGACAGATTCTGGCTCACAGATGCTGTCCAGCCCGTTCTCCTGTCTGCTCCTTCCTAAAGTATCCTTTCTGGTCCTAACGTTTCCCCGCACATAACACACACACACACACACCCTGTGAGCCACAGCCCAGCTAATGCTAATGTTAGTGTGTGTTAGTTACCGCAGAGCAATTCCAGTTTCTGTTAGAAAAGAACATGCTACCTGTGAGGACTCTAGCCTTGGGACAATTAGGCAGTGGAATGTCCTAGACATGTGGGTAACTTGGCGCTTTGGGAATTTGCTCCTCTTCTCTAAGTGTTTAAAAACAAAACAAAACAAACATTAAAAGGGGTTCCCGTGTCCTCGCCTGACAAGAGAGGAGCCTCCTTCTTCAAATCCTCCCAACATAGTAAACCAGAGCGGCTTGCTGACTCGCAGCTGAGCCAACCTGGTTTAAACACAGCAAGCCGAAACCAAACATATTTAATACGCCACTTAAATTTCAAGCCGGGAGTTTAGTGCAGAAGTTTTAAAAATTAGATTGTTAGAGTGTAGGCGGCTCTTCCAGGAGATGCGCCATGGCACGTGTGCAGAGGTCAGAAGGCGAGTAAAGGGAGTCTCCTACCATGTGGTCTTCAGAGATCAAACCCAGGTCCTCAGGCGTGGGGGCAAGCCCTTACGCACAGAGCCATCCCACTGGCCCCCACTTTTCTTACTGCCCTTGTCCAACAAGAGGGCTGGGGCTTCCCAGAGCAGGCTCCCAGTAATGTTACGGTAAGCCAACGAGGGGCTCCTGACACAGTAATTCCCCTACCTGTGAACTTCACCTTGAGGAACGACCTTCCAAGTCAGGCTGGAAACCCCAGCATGCCATCAGATTGCTTCCTTGAAGCAAGCCACTGTCCCAACAGTAAGGCTTCTGTTTTGTTTTTATGACAACCTCGTGGAAATAGGCTCCATCTATATCCTTCCCAACATATTTGATATGCCACCACCAAGCCAGCCCATCTTTCCAGTGGGGGAAAGTTTCTACTCGACACGCATCCCTTCATCTTCACCGGAGAAGAACAGGCACTTACCGGGCTCAGGGTGCACTGGGGCGTGGCCGTTCAGCACGCCATTCGCCACATCCGTGCCCTCCAGGGACAGCACTGCTGGAGGCTGGAACTCCAGCTCCCCCTGAATCTTTTCCAGGCCACTCTTCATCTGGGAGGAGCTCATGTGGTTAAAACGCCACTTTGTGTTCTGAATGACACTGTCTGCAGAAAGAGAGGCCCAAGTTGAGCGTCGTCGGAATGGGTGCTCCAAGACAGCATGTGGGGACTGAGGCGCCTGTTGCTAAGCAACTAGTGAGTCAGCCAGATTCCGAACTGAGTCAGCTATGGGAGGTCAGGTGACTACTATGCATTGATCCTAGTCTGATCCGATTTTTCAAAGCAGAATAATTAAGTGTGGCTGCAGAAAGACTGCCAACCTCAGGGACTCAGAGTGGGCAGGAGGCACTGGACTGAACTTGGAAATGGGGATGGCTATCCCTGATGGTCTACATCAAAAGTGTTTTGAAAACAAAAATCACAAAAGAATCGGGCTCTGCTGTACAAGCTGGGATGCCACCCTTGGAGGCGTGGGTTGCGTTTGCCAAGCCAGCACAAGCTGGAGTCATCCAGGAAGAGGAACCCTTCCAGATGAGAAATCGCCTCCAAGAGACTGACCTATGGCGTGGGAGGGCAGAGCCCACAGTGGGTGGTGCCACCCCTGGGGAGGTGGGCCTGGGCTGTACAAGAAAGACAACAGAACAAGGCATGGGGACAAGCCCTAAGCAGCGTCCCTTCTGTATTTCAGTTGACTCCGGGGTCCCTCCTTGAATTCCTGCCCCGACCCCCTTCGTGATACACGCACGCACGCACGCACACTGTAAGACAAATGACATTTTTCTTCTCAAGGTGCTTTTGAAAACACACTAGGAAACAAGTTCTGGTTTCAATTCTTTTAGTTATATTACTATTAACCCATTTCGATAAATCATGACTTTTTTTTTTAAGCCAAGGGTTCATATAGCCCATGCTGGCCTCAGACTTGCTATGTAGCCAAGGATGGCCTTGAACCCCTGACGGGCCCAACTGCTAGGATTACAGGTGTGCACCACCCTGCCTGGCCTAACAGGCTTTTGAGGTAGAACCTCACGTGCGTTTTGGAGGCCCAGCCGCACACAATTCTCAAGCCACCGTCTGCTGACTCACAACAATCACACACTAGGGAGTCGCGGTGGTGCCTGGGACCCAGCTCACTGCTTTGGAAGGGAGGCGCATCCAGAGATGAGGAGGGAAGAGAGAATACAGCCCCACTCCTCCAAACTAACTAATGCGAAGGGAGCACACCAGGGACAGGGACACCCAGAGGCGTGCTCCCATCCGCTCCCAACCTTTGTAGAGTATTTGTGTGAAGATTTATTGCTGTGACTGGCCAGTAGCCAGGCAGGAGAGGATAGGCGGGACTTCCAGCAGAGAGAGGAAGTCAGGGGGACGAATCTAGGCGTGCAGGAGATGCCAATGGGACGGGGAACAAGTCGGACACACGGGACAGAGGAAAGGTAGCCGAGTCACGTGATAGAATGCGGATGAACAGAAACAGGTTAATTAAGTTATAAGAGCCAGTTAGAAAGAAAGCCTGATCTAAGGCCATGCTTGCATAATTAATAGTAAGTCTCTGTGTCATTATTTGTGAGTTGGCAGCCACAAAAGAAAAATCCGACTACACCCAACGGCCAGGCAAGCGGCCGCTGAGGGAAGGTAAGAACTCTGGCAGTCACAGCCAGATGGCCTACGTGCTGACCTCACACCTGACTGCCCGCACCAAACACCTCCAGTTCATCCCAGAGACTGAATATCCGACACCCTCCTCTCTCTGACTGCTAGGGCGGTGGTTCTCAACCTCCCTCAGGCTGCGACCTTTAATACAGTTCCTCGTGTTGTGGCCACCCCGCAGCCATAAAATCATTTCATGGCTACTTCATGACTGTAATTTTGCTACTGTTATGAATCATGATGTAACTGTCTGTGTCTTCTGAAGGGCCCTGCGAAAGGCCCTTCAGCCTCCCCAAAAGGGTCGTGACCCTCAGGTTGAGAGCATAAAATGAGCCATCCTTGGCCACATGTAAGCACCTTCACTGCGACTCCCAGGCTGCGCTCTGTAGACTTGGGAATCGCTTAGGCCCTTTCTGGTTGAGCCTGCACCAAAACTGTCTTCTGCCAGAGCAGGCCTTGCCAGCCTGCCGAAGGAAGGGTCAAAACTCCCCATTTCCAAACTGCCACGGCCAGATGCTTTGACAGAGTGCAGAAAAGAAAATGTCGCAGGAGTGTGAAATCACCACAGAAGCTGGGGACGTTCCCCCCGCCTTCCGGACTTACTTGCCACTACCCAAGGACACCCCCTTGGGCAGTTCTGCCCCAGAGCTGGTGTCAGCATGACTTTCTCCAAGGGTGAGGCAGGAAGTGAGGTTGCTGGGCACATCCTGTCTTGGGCAAAGCGTCCACAGACGGGTATCTGTGGGTGTCTGTCACCCATAGGTGAGAGCCCCGATCCGTCTGGCCTAGCTCGGCACTGCACGGGCTACGGCTTTCTGACCCTAGCTTCAGAGGCCTGTGGATAGCTTCCTCCCCGCTCCCCGCGGGCTCTGAAGACACAGAGAGCCACCGTGGTCGGCTTCGAGGCCACTCTGGCTGCTGTGTAATCAAGGGCACGTGGCTGAGCCTCCCACGGTTTTCCTTGACGGCGACGGCCAAACCTAACCTTCTGTTCCTACGCACGTAACTTCATGTGTGAGGAGGGAGAGCACCAAGACGGCTACACACCGAACTCAAGAAAAGCGTAGGGCCGGGAGGCTAGGCCAATGCGCGCGGTGTCGTAGGAGGCCATGAAGTCCCACCACAGAGTCTCCAGGAAGCAGAAGGCCATGGCTGCTGGGCAATGGCGTGAGCAGATGGCCATGCAGGCCACGTCCCCCGATGACGAAAAACTGAAAGAGAAGGCGTTGTCTGAGCCGCCAGGGGACAGGGCAGGTCCCCCACCTCATCTCTGTTGATGTTGCTTCTGCTTCTCTTTGCTTTGCTTTAAAGACAAGACCTCTCTACGTAGCCGAGGCTGGCCTTTAACTGGTGAGCCTCCTGCCTCAGCCTCCTGCGTGCTGGGGTTACAGGCCCAGACTTGGTGCGCACATGCACATGCAGGCAAAGCATTCATACGCATAAAAAATTTTTTTCTTTTTGGTTTTTCAAGACAGGGTTTCTCTGTGGCTTTGGAGGCTGTCCTGGAACTCGCTTGATAGTCCAGGCTGGTCTCAAACTCACAGAGATCCGCCTGCCTCTGCCTCCCGAGTGCTGGGATTAAAGGTGTGCGCCACCAACGCCCGGCACATACGCATAAAATGTAATAGATAAATCTAAATTTTAAAAAAAGAGTCTAAGAGAAGACAAAGGCTGACACGACGGCTCAGCGCATCATGGTTCTTGCTGCCCAGACTGATGGCCGGGTTGCATCCCAGAATCCACACTAATAAGCTGGGTACGGAGGCGGGGCAGCTGTGATGCAAGCACTCCCAGGGCAAGAAGGGAGCTGGAGGCAGGACTGCTAAGAAGCCTGCAGGCCAGCTAGCCTGGGACAACGAGGGAGGCTTGACCTTAACACAGAGGGAGGGTGGGTCTCCGTGTACACGCACTATGGCATCTGAATTCATGTTTACACATATTTGTGCACACGTGCATACACACCACATGATAATAAGTCCGTTTTAAAAGAGAAATGACTGTCGGGCAGTGCTGGTGCACAGTCAGGCAGATCTCTGAGTTCAGGGCCAACCTGGTCTACAGAGTGAGTTCCAGGACAGCCAGGGCTACACAGAGAAAGGAAGAAAGAAATGACTAAGCTTCCTCCGTAACGACAAGGGTGACTATTTAATTCGAAACATAAAGAAGCTAGTGAGTTGGGGGTGACTCACAAGGAGAGCCCTGACCTGATGTGCACAGGTGTTGGGGTCCACCCCTGGCGCCATAAAAACAAGCAAAAGGAGAAAAGACAAGAGCAGAACATTTCATAGTCCAGTTTTTTACAAGTTACCAAGGTTGCACAGATCTGATTATGATGCTGTAGACATTTTCAGGAAAAGGGGAGTCCTGTGCAGAGCTCATGTAGACAGTGTGAGGAGGAGGCATCAGCAACTCAAGGGGTCCTCTCCACAAGGTGGCAGCTCAGGTCTCCAACTGGCTGCTTTCAAATCCTGTCTCTACCTGAAGCTTCCTTAAGTCGCTTGACCTCAATTCCTCCCCTGTAAAGCATGTGACCCTGCCTGACCTGCCCAACCTGCCTGACCCTCAGAGCCTCATAAGCCACTGGAAGCATAGGAGAGTGGTGAGGGTACAAAGCATCCACAGCCTCCAACATCAGCATCACTGGGTACAAAGCATCCACAGCCTCCAGCATCAGCATCACTGGGTACAAAGCATCCACAGCCTCCAACATCAGCATCACTGGGTACAAAGCATCCACAGCCTCTAGCACAGCATCACTGGGTACAAAGCATCCACAGCCTCTAGCACAGCATCACTGGGTACAAAGCATCCACAGCCTCCAACATCAGCATCACTGGGTACAAAGTATCCACAGCCTCTAACACAGCATCACTGGTACCCACCACGGGCTTTCCCTGTTCTATTAACTCCATAATCTATTTCTCTGGTTCCCTCCCTTATGAGACTTCAAGTTATTTGAAAAGAGCCCCCCCTCACTGTGCTGCGCTGTGATCCCAACAGCAGGGGAGCGGAGGCGGGAGGAGGGTCAGGAGGTCAAGGCCATCCTCAGCTACAGCCTAGGGACATGGCTTGGGGAACTCTTGTGTCTGGGTTTCTCTACTCTCATCCTTTTCCCTCCCCGGCATTGTAATGCAGCTCCTCGTCTTCTTCTTTCTGCTGTATCTAAGTGAAAAATAAAATGACTAAAGGGGTGCCCGCTGGGGAGAGCCAGGTCTCCCCACATACGAGGGTATTCTACCAACAGCAGACAGATCGGCATGCCGAATGGGGGTTCTGGGGGTGGACATCCACTCCTTCCTGACTCTGTTGAGACCATACACCACCTGACTGCTGAGATCATACCTTTAACCTTTAACCTTTTAACCTGCGCTGCTCCAGCAGTGCTACCCCAGCATATGGGTGAAATGACCCCAACTTTGCTGACATCCTGGAGAAGTGAGTACGCTCACTTACTAGATATTGAAGTCGCGGCTTTCTGCAGAACCTCGGCCTGGGTACTGAGCCAGCCTCCGGGCTAAGGCCTTGAGCTGCCTCCGGCATTCCAGAAACTCCTGGGCGTGGTAAAAGTCAGTGGAGGCTGAGAGGGGCAGTCCATCCCTCACCCGTACTACGCTGGCAAAAAGGATCATGGGCATGGTCCGCAAGCGTAGTCATGAGGACACCTGAGGAAAGCAAGGTCGCCTTGTCAGTGAGGGGCAGGGGATGATGCCAGAGACCCCTCTACTGGAACTGCGAATCATTTTCCCCTGCGCCACTCCCAATTCTCTCTGCTTCCCTTCCTCCCCTCCTCCTCCTCTCCATCCAAGCCTCCCCTTCCCAGAGCTAAGCCCACTGGGATGGAGCCCAAAGTGATGGAGGAGGCAGGACCAGGCTGGGGGACAGCAGGAAGCAGGCTGCAGAGTTCAAGGCCCTAAGGGGACAGGGGAGTTGCCTGGCAAGGGGCACTTCCAGGTCACCCAGGGAAGGAGGCACCAAGCAGCTCAAGTGTCCCGCAAGGAAATGAAGGGAGCCGGAGAGTCTGGGCACCGCTGCCGTGGAGGTGATGGGAGAAGCAGGAGGCAGCTGGGGAGCTGAGGGCACAGCCTCCAGAATGTCTGCCGTGTGCTACAAAGCCACCCTTCGAGACCATGAGTCCCTACAGACGGCTGAAGGGAACCAGTCAGCGGATCGCAGCACGGTAAGACAGAAAGTGTTTGGCAGTGCTACGGGGAACACATCAAGAAACAAGAGGAAACAGCTCTGGCCCTCGTTTGTGCAGCCTTTGGCAAATCATGAAAGGGAGCCTCTGGGATTTGGGAGGGAACCTGTGTTGGCACAGTCACGCCGTCTGCCTGTGACTCTACTGGACACCTGTACAGGACACAGCCTGCACATCTGTGTATGACTCAGCCCTGCAAACAGCTTCAGCTGGTCTCTTCACGCTACACGACCCTCTCTACATCCTGTCTGTTGGGCCCTCTGCTGAGTGGGCATCAGTGGGTTTGCCAGCGGTACTGCCCACGGGGGACAGCCTTACTGCAACACCATAACACACTCCTGGATTCTATTCACCCATGCCCCCCCCTCTCTCTCTGTCTCTTTCTCTCTGTCTCTCTCTGTGTCTCTGTGTCTCTCCCTCTGTGTCTCTCTCTGTCTGTCTTTCCCCCTCTCTCTGTCTGTCTCTCTCTGTCTGTCTCTCTCTGTCTGTCTCTCTCTGTCTGTCTCTCTCTGTCTCTCTCTCTCTCTCTCTCTCTCTCTCTCTCTCTCTCTCTCTCTCTCTCTCTCTCTCTCTCACACACACACACACACACACACACAGAGGAGATCTCCACCCCATTATATTCCCCAAACCTCCCAGGCTTGCCAGACGGAACTGACTTCTGTCCTCTGTCAAATATATCCGCTTTTCTCATCTCCCTAGTTTAGCACACCCCTAGAGACGGCTGTTAAGAAAGTCTTGCCTCAAATTTCTGCAGCCCCATAGAGCCAGGTCAACCACCAGGGGGCACTGTATGCTTTATAGCCTCACATGACCAATGCTGAGACCAACCCCAGAGAGGAGGGGCACCGAGCATGCTCAATACTACCTGCTACACTTCCTGTGTTTGCAATACTGGTTTTTAAAAACATTTTAACAAAGTCCTAACTGAGACAGAGGAAGCACAAAATATCAGTTTGAGAACAAAACAAGCCTGGGGTTCAAAATACTAACTCCAAACAACGTCCTCATGTGGTCTGTATAGCCTTATCTGACATGAAGAAAACAGACCGTGAGTCAACATGACAGAAGAGTTAAGACAAGCCCCAAGCACCCCATCTACCAGCCTGGCGGTGGTGGAGCAAGCCTTCAGCCCCAGCACTCAGGAGGCAGAGGCAGGTGGATCTCTGTGAGTTTGAGGCCACCCTGGTCTACAGAGTGAGTTCTAGGGCAGCCAGGGCTACACGGAGAATTCCAGCCTTGAAAAAGGAGAAAAACAACACTACCGCATGTTAGTTGCCCTGCTAAGGCTGCAAAGGAGGAAACAGGTGCCGTTTCCAGGTGACAGTAACCCTGAGAACCAGTCTGGCCACTCTCCGAAGGACCAGGAAGACCTCAACGTCACCCTAAGACTTTTACTGACCAAACCTGCTTTCCCTCAATAAGGTGAATAGAAGTTCTGACTTAAGCTCTGTCCAGTTACATGAGAGCTGCCAAGAACAGAAGCCTTTAAATCCTCCAAAGTATCTACAATGCTTGAACAAAGGTGGCATTGTGAATGTGTCACCTCTGTCTGTGTGACTGAAATGGCAGCTGCTTGGGGGGAGGGGGAGGGGGGCCGAGGAACTTGACACCCATCCGAGGAAGAATTTTAAAAATGGAGACAGTACTTTTAACACTGTTTCCCTTTGGTAGCGCCCCTTGGGGTGGGAAGATGTAGCTCAGAGGTAGGACTTACAGCCCCTGGGGCCAACATCCAGCTCGGCTAGCAAACAACTACGTGCTTCGGAAGACGGGGAAAGAGTCTGTAATAAGGGGAGGGCTGACCTGTGTGGGCATTCATGTCTGGGAACTTGGTGAGGCAATCCATACTTGGATTAAAGGGCAAGCCTGGAGGCCTGTTACCCCTGCACTCGGGTGGCTGAAGGAGGAGGACCCCTGAATTCAGCTCGGGCTGCAACGTGAGACTCTGCCTCCAAAACTCAGAATAGAAAACGGGAGGTGATGCGGGCTGCTCTGTCCCTGTGAGTGCAAAGCAGGGCTTCTCCAAGTCCTACTAAGCGCAAATAAAGCCCCGGACCTCAGCTGCGGGACAACCATAAAGAGGTTCTAAATGCAGGCACATGCAAGCAAATGGCAGGATCATGGGACCGTGTGTCACACATCTGAGACCTAGTGTTGGAGGCACCAGCAACTCGGAGCAGCCAATGAGGAGAGGGCACAGGCAACACAATCCCATCACTACAACAAAACCTGCTTCCTTTACTCAGAATCAGGATAGGTGCAGCGTCGAAAGCCAGGAAAGCCTTGCATTCGAAACTCGTCTGGAGGATGGAGACTCATGGTTGGAGCACTGGCTGCTCTTACAGAGGACCCAGGTTCAATTCCCAGCACCCACATGGTTGCTCATAACCATCTATAACTCCAGTTCCGGGTGATAAAAGCCCACTTCTGGTTTCTTCAGGTACTGCCCTCATGTTCACATCACACACACACACACACACACACACACACACACACACACACACACACAATTTTATCTGGGTGGTGGTATATGGGCTCCAGGACAGCCAGGACTACACAGAACAACCCTGTCTCAAAAACCCAATCGATCAATCGATCAATCAATCAATCAATCAATATAAATATTTTTAAAGCTTTCTGAGCAGATGGGTGGGGAACTGCGTTATCTATTTCTGTTCACTGAAACAGAAATTAAGTTGGCAGCGTCTCTGCATACTTCTGAACCTGATTTTGAACATTCTCACACAAGAATCCTCTCGGAGAGAGAACAAGGAAGGTTTCCAGGGATGGCATTCTGTGTAAGCAGAAACATGGGTGATGATCAAAAGGTCCGTGCTCATATGTTTTATATAACACATTTTTCTGGAAATAGGGTTTCTTTGTGTGGCCCTGGCTGTCCTGGAAATCGCTCTGTAGACCAGGCTGGCCTTGAACTCACAGAGAGCCGCCTGCCTCTGCCTCCTGAGTGCTGGGATTAAAGGTGTGCGCACATCTTAACCTACTTCCCTCACCCCTAAATCCTCTTCACGGTGTCGGCAGCTCTGGAATATCAGATTATCCCTGCTCTACCCACTGTTGCTGGAGTTTTCTTTCCAGCCTGGTCCCACAGCAGCTTCAGCCCCAAATAAACACACAGACGATATGTTAATTATTAAACTGTTCGTCGATGGCTAGTGCTTCTTACTGGCTAACTCTGTCTTAACTACTAACCCATTTCTATTTATCTATGTACTGTCACGAGGCTTCAGTTTACCAGTAATCTGGCATGTTACGCCTTCGGCAGGATGGCCTTTTCCCATGATCTCCCTCTGCCTACCTTTCCCAGAATTCCCCTAGTCCCGCCTGCCTTCCTGCCTCTATGGGCCAGTGTTTTATTCATCAATCAATAAGAGAAACATAAATACAGAAGGACGTCCCCCATCAACCCACAGACTCTGTGCCTGAACCAGGAGTCACTCTTCAATGTCACTGTCCTCTCTAGTCTACTCTTTAGCTCCCCTCCTCCCCCCAGTCCACCTAGCGTGCAGGCATGGGGGAGGGGCAAAATACAAACTTCACCTAGGAAAATGAGCCACAGTTACCACACAGATACTTAGGTGTGAGTACCCGCCACAGGCACGGCCCTCCTGAGGAAAGCACGCTAAAGGGGCAGCGAACCCTGATGGATTCACTCTCAGCCGCAGACTCCGAGTCCTGATTACCTAGCATGGGATCCTCTAGGCTCCAAGTTGCTTGGGGATGGGGTAGAGAGGGACACAGAAGTCAAGTATGTCATCCTTAAGGGAGCCGAAAACAGAAGGAAGCTGAACTGGACGGCACGTAGGCGACATCACACCCTTCCCTCCACACTGAGCCCAAAGGCTGAGAAGCGATCCAAATCTCCCTGTGTACTCGTGGGTACTGAACCTGCACATTCATCCAACCTCAGGTGGAAAATTTTTTAAAAAGATAGAAAGAAAGAAAAAACACCCTGTGTCTGTACTGAACATGTACAGGCTTGTCATTTCCTAAACAATGCCATGTAGCAACCACATACCACGGCACGCTATACTGATGCTGTCATCAGCACAGGCATTTTCTGAAGCATACCGGAGAATATGCACAAACAGTAAGCCACTGTATACAATGGGTTGAGCCTGACCTCTCAAGGATGCGGGGGGGGGGGGGGATAATGCTAATAAGTGCTCGGAGCTTCCTTTGATCCACTGCCCAGCGAGGAAACTGCTTTTCCTGAGGATTAGGAGGTAGGACTAGGCTTCCACCCCAGACTTCTGCATTCTTTCCACGGCGTGCAGACCTCCAAACCAAACCTCCGGGATCACAGCTACTGTTTCTCTGAAGACTTCCTTCTCCAGAGCAGTACTGCAAACAGCCAATCAGAAGCCGGGTGTGGGGCTCAAACCTGTAATCCCAAGGCACCTGGGGTTACAGTGAGACTCTGTTCAAAGAAAAGAATCTCCGGGCTTGGTTGGTAAAGAAGGAGGCCCAAGGTTACACCTGTTGCAGCTGCCCCTTAAGAAGCACGGCACGGCGGTTCACGAGCTTAATACTAGCACTTGGGGAGTGCTGACAGCAAGGTCAGGAGCTGCAGGTCACCCCCAGCTAAGTGGCACGTTCAAGGCCAGCTTAGGCTGTGACACCTGTCTAAAAAAGAAAAAAAGCTGCCGGGTGGTGGTGGCGCACGCCTTTAATCCCAGCACTTGGGAGGCGGGGGCAGGCGGATCTCTGTGAGTTCGAGGCCAGCCTGGTCTACAGAGCGAGTTCCAGGACAGCCTCCAAAACAATACAGAGAAACCCTGTCTTGAAAAACAAAAACAAAAACAAACAAACAAACAAAAACAGAAAAAAAAGAAAAAAGCCAGTGGTGAGCTCAGCAGTACACACCTTTGAGTTCCAGCACTTGGAAGGAAGAGGCAGGCGAATCTCAAGACCAGCCAGGGCTACAAAGACAGACCTTGTCTCTGAAACAAAACAAGACCACCTGTCCTTACTGCAGTCTGCTCTAAAGTCAGACGCCTTGCGTGGTCACACGCACTGTGGGCATAGCTGATCTGAAGTCCTTTTTTTGTTTTGAAGACAGGGTTTCACTGTGTAGCCCTGGCTGTCTCGGAACTCGATTTGTAGACCAGGCTGGCCTCGAACATACTGAGATCACCTCCCCCTCTGCCTCTCAAGTGCTAGAATTAAAGGTATGCGCCCGCCATCTCTGGCTTGATCTGAAAATTCGTTATGGGACCTCAGGATGCCCTCTCTGTTGTCTGTAAAACATTAAGTAGTATCTATGTTAAGTGATGCAAGTGTCTTCCTGAGGGAGCTGCTGCAACTGAACCCCGCTTATGGGTGTCAAACCACTTAGAACGGTCCCCATTTTCATTCCCTTAAAGTGCTCTTTACCTGGAGAAACTTTCTGTAGAGTCTGACAGACCTTTGCCCTACCCATTGGTTCTGTTCTGTGTATCGCTTTCGCTTTTCTGATCTTATCACCAACTACAGAGTCGGGCACTTAAGTCACACAGCTGCGATCCCAGAACCTGGGAGCTCGAGGCCAAACTCGGGTGACATGGGACCCTCTCTCACAAAACCACAAGCTGTACCAACTCCTTTCATCAGTGGCAACTCTCTTCCTTCCGTGGCTTTGGCTTTGTGCAAGCCTGACGCCCGCCCTGCTCTGTAGGTTCTTTGTCCTGGGGTACCCAAGTCCAGGAAAGTTGGACTTAGGCAGGAGTGACCAGGCCTGGAAGAAACCGAGTCCCGGAAGACCAGCGGGCTAAGGAAAGTTTGCTATCAAAAGAAGAGCCAGGACCAGAGCTCAGGGTACGGAAAAGGAACCGCCGCCCCGCCCCTCCCGAGACACGCCCCGGCCCCGCCCTGGGCAGCAGGCGCAGCGGGCAGGGCATCCCATCAGGTACGCGCCGTGCAGGGGGCCCGGCCTCGGCGGAGTCCCACGCCCCGAGCTGCAGACTGGTGGCCTGAACCCCGTCCCCGCCTCTCCACGCCCTCTTGGCCCGCCAGCCTCACCTCGCCCCGCGGCCGACCTCCACCTCGGCCACCGCAGCCCACCCGTCGGCCGGGTGCAGGTCACCGGCGGCCGGGGCTGCGGGAGGTAGGATGTGGTGCGCGTGCGCACACCTTGAACTCCCATTCGCTGCTGCTAAGCGACGCTCACACCCAAACAGACCAATCGCGGCGCGCCCCCGCAGTTCAGCTGCTCAGACTCGGGAATTGCGTGAATCTTAAAGGGCTGGCACCCACTTGCTCCCGAGGCCTCCCTGGTCTCACATGCTCGGCTGGAGGCCCACGCGTGAGTCTCACCTGGAGCGGTGTGAAGCGACTCCGATGTCTCCTCGATGCCTGGCCCTGAGCGGGCAGGACTCTTCTCCAGAGGCGTCCAGGTCCCGGGTGACTGGAGTGACACTCCCTGGGCGTGGGTTCTTGCAGGCTACGCAGCTGGGCAAGAGGCCCCAGAGAGAGGATCCGAAGAGCACGGCCTCCTGCCAGCTTGGAGGAGGTGCCAAAGTCCGATCCCCGGGCGACACACCCTCGCTGTGAGGCTGGAGGCGGGTAGGGTAGCAAAGTTAGGCGGCTGTTGTTTTGGCGCGTGCTGAGAGCACCACAGTGTGTGCCAGCCAGTGTGAACGCAAGGACCTCCTGACTCCGGAGACCCTGTCAAGAGGAGAGGGTAGGTTCGAGCACCAGGCAGGAAAGCAAGGACTACACACGGGTCGTGCAGCAGAGAAGCATGGGTTCTAGGGTGAATTTACGGGAGCATTTGGCTTCACTTGGGGCTCAGGGAAGGCTTCCCCAAGTAGCAGCCGGCTGGGCGAAGGAGGGCTGGTGTGTTTCGTCTGTGCATGGCACTCCGTGTGGCTGTGGCTGAGGATGTAGCTCTGCTGATAGAATGCTTGAACTACAAAACCCCGGAGCAGCCCTGCCTTCTCCTGTCCCTGGCATCACAACTCCAAGCTCTCCTCCTGCCCTTTGGGTCTTAGAACTTTTGCATCAGTAACTCTCCACTTCCCGGTTCTCAGACCCATTAGCTTCATTTTTACTTCTTGAGGCAGAGCCTTAGGTATCCCAAGCTCACCTTGAACTCACGATGTATCCGACTGTCACTCCGAACTTGATCCCCCTGCGTTCCCTTACTGCGTGCTGGGATTACCCATGTGTGCCTCCAGGACCAGTCTGTGAAGCCCCCTGGAGCTCAAACCCAGGATTTCCTGCCCGCTAAGACAAGAGAGAGCTCTATCCACCGAGCCACAACCCCAGTCCCAGCTGTCCTGATTCTGAGACCAAGTGCAAGTCAGCGAATGCCAGGAGTGACTCCCCTGGTCCTCAGCCTCCATCACCAAATGAGCACATTATTCTCCTAATAAATCCTCATATAGAAGAAACAGCCTTAATAGCTCTGTCTTTACGGGGAAACCTGATACCACTGCAAACAGCAGCTGGATAGACAAGCTTGGGTTCCTCGGAGAGATCTGAGTTGGGTGAAGACTCCTATAAGGCATTTTTCTTGTGGGTGGAAATGGAAACTGGGTTTCTGTAACCACAGACAAATTACAAAAAGAGCACAGGAAGACTTGCAATAGTCTACCATCGCCTCTGGGCATTCCTGGTATTCAAGTTCTGTCCGTAGTCCCCTCCCACGGTGAATCAGGCCTGGTCTGTAACAAGCTTCAGCAAGCCTAGGCCATAACATTCACAGAGAAAAATCTGGTAGATAAAGGAGACTGTCACCTTGTCCACTGTTTGCTCTGTCAAGACAGAGATGCTAGACATATCAATTCTGATTTAGTGTGGCGATGTTTTGTGTTTATGATCTCACAAATAAAGCTTGCCTAAAGATCACGGTGCATAGCTAGCCACACTAGTCAGCCATAGAGGCCAGGCAGTGGTGGCACACACTTTTAATCCCAGGACTCAGGAAACAGAGGCAGACGGCTCCCTGTTAGTTCAAGGCCACCCCGGGTTACACGGAATGTATCCAGTCTAAAAGAGAAACAGAGCCAGGTGGCGGCTGCTCAGGCCTTTAATCCCAGCGCTCGGGAGGTGGAGACAGGAAGGGATATTACTGGGCAGAGAGAGGAGTATAAGGCAAGACAGGCAGGCAGTCTGTGGAGCAGCCGGTCTGACAGCTGACTAGGTTTTTATTATTAATACCAAATAGAATTAATGCTACAATTTAGCCAGTGTAGTGGCTCACGCCTATATTATCTGTATTCAGGAGGCTGGCGCAGGGAGCATTGCCATGAATTTGAACCTAGCCTGGGTGAAATAATGAATTCTAGACCTGCTTGACTACAGTTTGAGACCCTGTTTTTAAAAAGCAGTAGAGCTAGAGAGTTGACTCAGTCGTTATTACTCTTGCAGAGGACCTGGGCTTGATCCCCAGCTACCCACTGTATCAGGTTTTCTTTTAGGCCACCAACCAGTTCCCAAATCATGGCACAGAGACTTCTTAGTTATGAATGCTTGCTCAGCCTTATCTTATGCTTGTCCCACTAACTTATAACATATTCTAACTTGTTTCTCTTCATCTACATTTTGCCTTGGGGCTTTTTACCTTTCTTTCATTCTGTGTGTCCTACTCTGTGTCTGTCTGTCTGGAGGCTGCCTGGCTGGCTGTCCCCAGACATCTCCCTCTCTTTCTCCATTGTTCTCTCTCCTCTCCCTCCTCCTACTTATTCTCTCTGCCCACCAGCCCTGTCTAACCCTCTCCTGCCTAGCTATTGGCCATTCAGCTTTTTATTGGACCAATCAGGTGCCTTGGCAGGCAAGGTGAAACAGTAACACATCGTTCCATAAATAAATGCAGCATAAACAGCTGTAAAATATCTTTACATAGTTAACCAAATGCAGCATAAACAAATGTAGCACATATTTGCCTAGTTAAAGTAACATTCTGCAACATAAGCAAATGCAATGCATCTTTACATAGTTAAAGTAATATTCCACAATATTTCCCCCTTTTTATCTAAATAAAAAGAAAGGTTTGAACTTTAACATAGTAAGACTATTTACAATAGGACTAATTATCTAGTAAGAATTACATTTACAATATCCAGTCCATTTTTATTTAACAAATTCAAAGAAAACACTTTATTATTTATTCTATCTTGATGAGTCCAAAGCTCTGTACCTAATTTACCTTCTATCATAACTAAGGAAAACTGTAACTATAACTATCTCGTCTTCAACTCCATCAAAGACCCCCTAAGGTATCTAGGCTGCTTTAATTCAGCCATTCCTTTTATAATATTTGAGTAAACAGGAAATACATAGCAGATAACTTCCAAAATTAAAGAAATGTCAGAGACATCTGGCTGCCTGGATTGTCACTCAAGGTTCCTCTGAAATATTGGGGTATCCATCTTTGGTCTACAGGACTAGAACATTTGGCAGACTTTTCTATGAAGCAGAATTTTGTCTTGGCAAAGTTCAGCAGTCACTTTCCTTTGTGTCCTGCATATCCACTTTGGATAGTATACTGTCAACCGTCAAAGCATGGACAGTTTCTTGCCCAAATGGCTAGCTTTGCTGCAATGAAAGCAAACTCCATATGGAGGTTCTTCTATTTCCATCATCCTTTTACGTAGAAGATTGGTGCTACAATGAGCAGCTGTGTGTCACTGTCAAGAAAAGCCTTAGGTTATTAAATGTCTTAAATGCCACGTTCCGTAGGTCTCTGAAGCATTTGAAGCATATCTATCTAAAACATGTCTGTTTAACCTTGAAAACATACCTAATATGACTACAAGTTAATAATTATAGATGACTAACTACTAGCCTACATTTTGTAATTATACTATATATATACATATATATATATATATATATATATATATATATTTGGTTTTTCGAGACAGGGTTTCTCTGTCTTGTTTTGGACCATGTCCTAGAACTTGCTCAGTAGACCAGGCTGGTCTCGAACTCACAGAGATCGCCTGCCTCTGCCTCCCGAGTGCTGGGATTAAAGGCGTGCAAGACCACCACCCGGCTTATACATTACATTTTTAAATGAGCTGCATAAGCACAAGAGTAGGAACATACATACAGTATAACAAAATAACTTAAAATTTGTATTGATATACCAAAATCCACACCAATGTAAAATATTTGAGATTAATCATTGTCTTTTTATCCTATATTCCTGTATTCCCCCTAAATGATGACATACATCCATAACCCACTGAATGACCAAAAAACACCCACCCTACCTCTTGGACATGTGGGCATTGCATTCCCTAGACTGCTTCCTGTTGTCTGAGGGTGATGGCATCTTTAGGAGATCTGAGAAAATGGAGATAATGGCCAAGTCCCAGGAAAACTAGTTGTAACATCTGTTGTTCAGTCTCAGAACTGTTCCCATGCAGAAGGAACACTATACATATCACCTGTCTTGTAGTTTTTCTTTATTTCTTTGTGTCTGTAGCCAGGATTTTCAAGAGATCTCCCCCAGTCAAACCTGATCTTCATTAACCTTGAAGGAATCCACAGCCTTTTGTTTCCCATGGAAACAAAAGCAAAACCTCTTCTCCAACACAATATGCTTTCTGAATTCCATTTTAAAGTTGAGACATCCCTAAGGTATCTAGGCTGCTTTAATTCAGCCATTCCTTTTATAACCCAATGCCTCTCAGCAGCTGTCATTAGCTCATCAGTATTCAAAAACATCTAAGTCAACACCACACTGGATCCAGACTCCCTGTGTATTTCCCATCTTTATGTGGCCATTTTCCTTTACATTACTCTCTCTTTAAAGACCTTATTATTTTTGAACTATTTTTTTCTATTACTGTCTATACTCATTTTTTTTTCTTTCTTAAGTCAATGCTCATTTTTTAGACACAGTGTAACCTGTTTAGAGGTTTGCTCCATTTGGGCATGTTTTTACTGTGTGTCTCTAGCCTTCTCTGACCGAATGAGCCAAACCGTAAACTGCTAAGTGACTTTGCATTAGATGGTAGCCCTGAGCCACTCTGGTCTGTGAAAGCCCAGTTTTAGGCTCCAAGAGCCTGGATAAGAGCTGCTTTCAACTGAGAGTTGCATCTAATTGGAGCTGCATTCAAACCCACCCCCCCCACACCCCCACCGAGCTCCAACCCCCCTCCACTCCCCACCAATCAGGTGCCTCGGCATGCAAAGCAACACATCTTTACATAATTAAACAAATGCAGCACAAACAAATGTAACACACCTTTACACAGTTAAAGTCATACTCCACAGCATATAACCATCTGTAACTGCAGTTCCAAAGGATTCAACACATCCACTGACACCAGACAGGCATGTGGTGCACATAACACATCTGCATAAGATAAATAAGGTTTTTTGTTGTTTTTTCGAGACGGGGTTTCTCTGTGTTGTTTTGGAGGCTGTCCTGGAACTCGCTCTGTAGACCAGGCTGGCTTCGAACTCACAGAGATCCCCCTGCCTCTGCCTCCCAAGTGCTGGGATTAAAGGCGTGTGCCACCAAAGCCGGGCAAGATAAGTAAGTTTTAAAAAACAAAAGTAGAGCTAGGCATGGTGGTAGATGTCTTTAATCCCAGCACTTGGGAGACAGAGGCAGGCAGATCTCTGAGTTCAAGGCCATCTTAGTCTACAGCCAGAGAAACCCTGCCTCAAAAGAGTAGAAAAGTCCAAGCTAGAGTGTGTCTCAGTAAGCATTGTCTTACAGCTGCCTGCTCCCAGGCTGATGGGGAAGTGGGCCTCTGGCCAAGGTCTTTTGTTCCCACACCCAAGTGCTGGGATTAAAGGCAGGTGCAAGACACCATCTTAAAAACCAAAATCAAATAAACAAAATGAGTTTTTTTCAAATGTGGATGGAATATTGGTATTTGAGAAGTGAGTGATCTAGATAGACTGTTCCTTCACCTTCTGTCTGGTACACCTGGTGAGTCTCATGCACTACGGTGAATGGAATGGGAGAGGGGTGAGATGTGCTACCTAGATTCCCAGCTCTCCTCTCCAGTCACTGAGCACTCACGGTCATCTTCAGAGCCCTCCATTCCCAGCCTCTTCAGCTCTCCACCCCCACAGTCTCTACATCTGCACGGACTAGTTATCTGTAACTGTACACGTTTGATCTCCGTCCTCTCTTCCAGCTCTTCTGCCTCCCTCCCAAACTGGTCTGGGGACATTTTTAGTCCAGTGTCCCTTCACTTTGTTCATTAATTTAATTTTCACTTCCACAAAAGTTGGGGAGTCCTGGGGCGACCACATCTATATCACTCTATCGCACTTTTCCCTTCTTTTTTCTTTTTTTTGCCACAGGGTTTCTCTGGAGCCAGTCCTGGAACTTGCTCTATGGACTAGGCTGGCCTGGAACCCGCAGAGATCCAACAAGTGTTTGGGGTGAACGGTGTGCACCACCACTGTCCGGCATCTATCACACTCTTTATGGCATACCGATACCCCTTGCAGGGTCAGTCCTTCTGTCCCACCAACGATCCACCTCCTCCTGAGCTGCGAAAGAGCAGCTGCCGCACGAGTCTGCGCTATACACATTGCTCAACCTCAACCAGGGCCTTGATGCCATCCGTCAGACTTCAAGCCTGAGTGAGTCCTGTTCCCTCTGCAGTCTGCTCATCCTCACACTGACGCGTTTCCTCCCCTTCAGGGCTTGTTCTCAACGGCTGGGCCAGTGCCCATCCCCCGCACCTCCCCCTTCTCAGCACCGTCTCCTGCTAAAGTCGCTCCTTCCTCCACCGCGTAAACAGCAGTTGTTGAGGGCAGAGCGGCATTAAGCAAGGTCTCCGCCCTGCTCTTGATGCCTCTACTTCTGCCCGTCCCGCCTTCTGCAGGATCTCTGGGAGAACTCCTACGGGGAGAGAACCTCACGTGGGAACTTGGGAAGCAAGGAGCTCCGAGCCCTGACCCCACTCAGGCGGGTCACCCCAACCTCCCTCATTGAATCCCCATGCTGGGAAATGAGGTGGAAGCTGCGGCTTTGTAAGCCTGAATGGGGGCGAGGCAGGAGGCGGAAATGCACCTATTTTCTCATCTGTAAAATGGAGAAAACACTTTTTAGGTTTGCAACGAGTACGATTTCATAACCAATTTTTTACTCAGGTGTACATGTGTGTCTGCCACATGTGTGTGGGTGCCCGAAGAGAGCCTTAGGTCTCCTGGAGCTGGAGTTAACAGGAGGTTGTGAGCCGGACTCAAACTCGTACTCAAACTCCTATCCCATGGAAGAGCGGTTAAGTTTATTAACCACCGGTCCTTGGTATGCAAATTTATTGACCAGAGAGATTCTAGGCACGTTCAAGTATTTTCCAGGTTAAGAGGAAAGAAAGCTAATACTAGTGCTTTGTAGTTTGATCTGCCTGTAGGCAACACCCTCAGTTCTCACCTCTCTGGAACTAGAGTTTCTTCGGAAAGGAGCCGGGGTAGCCAGGCTGCCGGAGAAGGCGGGCCAGCCCCTGGCTGTCAATCTTCAGCCATGTCCCGCCCCCCAGCGGAGCGCCACAGCCTACGCAGAGAGCAGGCTCGCGGCGTCCAATCACAAGCGACGGTTTCTCCTCGCCCCGCCTCCCGGGGGCGGGGCCGGACTCCTCGGCTCCGGCTCGGCGTCAGCGGCGCGCGCGAGGCCGGCGCGGCTGGCGAGCTCGGATCTCCGGGCTTTACTCGCGGCATGTCGGTCATCTTCGCCCCTGACTGGCTTCGCGGCAAGGCCAAGGTCAACCAGGAGACCATCCAGCGGGTGAGGGGGGTGTCCTGCTGGGGCCGGGCCGCAGCGGGGCGGAGGGGATGGATGGGAGCCGGGTCACGTCGGCGCCGCCTGGCTCGGGGACCCCACCTGATGCCACCCTGCTCTCCCCCCCGTTCGCCCGCTTCTCAGCTCCTGGAGGAGAACGACCAGCTGATCCGCTGTATCGTGGAGTATCAGAACAAGGGCCGAGCGAACGAGTGCGTCCAGTAAGTGCCGCTGGGGACGCGCGGCCGTCCGCCCGGGGGGAGGAAAGGGAGAGGCGGAGGAGGAGGTTACTTGGCCCGAGGGGCGCTGCTTGCCTGTCGTGCTAGCGCCTGTCAGGCTGCAGCAGCTGCGGCAGGAGGATGGCCACACGTTTAAGGCCGGCCAAGGTGACGTAGCCAGATTCTGTGCCGACCCGCCCTCTGTAGGTTATTTATTTACTGCGCAGCACCATGTAGATGGTTTATGGTAGAACCTGGACTTGTATTCAGGGTTTCACATAAGCCCCGTGGGGCGGAAGACAGGGACGCGTCCGGAAAGCTAGGCTCAGATAAGGGCCATTGCCTCCTTGTTCGTTAAATTCACTTCCCGTGTTCCCAAATAAGTCAGTCAGGCCATTTGGTTAACTAGCAGTCAGTCTGCGAGAGATACACGGGACCAACGAAGGGTGAGTGGGGGGGGGCAGGGCAGGGTGGGTGTAGAGTGCCTCTAATAAGGTAACATTGAGTGAAGTCCTGCGCCCCAGAGATAGGCAGGGTAAAGGTGCTGAATATCAGGCCAGATCAAGGAGGCCCCGTGTTCAGAACTTAACAAAGGGAAAGCCGTAGGAGATGGGCACACAGAGTAACTGAAGAATCCTGTCTCTTGGGACCTTGTAGGAATTAGATGGAATCTTTAGAAGGGTTTACAACAGGATCTTGATGTAAATTGTGCTGTGATCACTCCAAATCTGGAGAATAAATCAATCAGGGCTGCCATGTAGACCATTGGGTAAGTAAACTATTGTGGTCCAAGCAAGAAAGTCATGGTTGCTTGATCTATCGGGCATGTGTGTGAGTGAGAGTGGATGAGGTTCCCAGTTAAACAAGGTTGGTGAGGTGTGGTGACCTGTGTCACTCAGTCGGGGGAACACCACCCCGCCACATTCAGCAGGTTCTCTTCTAGCTTGCATGGTTTGTAAAGACAAGCTTCTAATTGTTGTTTTTTTTTTTCCCTGCTCATAGGTACCAGCATGTCTTGCATAGAAATCTCATTTATTTAGCTACCATCGCAGATGACAACACAAGCAGCCTTACAAAGGCGGTGGAGTAATCTTCCAGGAGGCTCCTATGAGGCGTGACTGGATGGAGCCCATCTCCTGTGAATTAGAGACAGAATTGTTAGTAACTAAGCAACTTAGAACATGGGCGAAATGTCCATGCTTCCTTTTAGACTGTGAAGAAAGTTCTACTAATTCTCCTGTATTCTTAGTGTAAATATTTTAGTAATAAAGCAGACCCCACAGTAAGACCGATCCAAGGTACGTGACAACAGTGCTATTATCATTGTCAACAAAATCAATCGTGCTTCTTAATTAGTGCCGTGTAATAATAAATGAGGTGTGGCCGTCTTTCTGTGTCCCACTGACCAGCTCTCAAATAACAATAAGGAAATCTGTCATATGCTTGCCCATCCTGCTGCTTCTGAGGCTCGTGTCTCTCCTGCACCCAGATTCATCTCCTACTTCCTCTCTCTGCCTGGAAGTCCCACCTATCCTCTCCTGCTTAGCTACTGGTGGTTCAGCTCTTTACTAAACCAGTCACACAGTCTACAAATATCCCAGGACAACGATGGACGCTCCTCTTCAGTCTCCCAAAGCGTCTCTGTGTTGTATCCCACATCAGCTAATACCATCACACACCCCTGTTTTTGCCTTTCTTTCAGCACTTTTCTCCTAGGTTATAAAAAAATGCCAAAGTTTCTTTTCAGGGAGAGGGGTTGAAGCAAGTATTCCTGTTTAAGGCTGAATTGCACATTAGAGAGACTCGAGCAAAGGGTGCATTCAAAGCTGAGAGAAAATAAATAAATGAATAAATAGCCAGCACTAGGCACACCTGGAGGGAGAGACAAGGGGTCAAGGTCACCCTGGACTACCTGAGACCCTGAAAAAGGAAGAATGGTTTTTTTTTTTGGTTTTTCGAGACAGGGTTTCTCTGTGGCTTTGGAGGCTGTCCTGGAACTAGCTCTTGTAGATCAGGCTGGCCTCGAACTCACAGAGATCCACCTGCCTCTGCCTCCCAAGTGCTGGGATTAAAGGCGTGCGCCACCAACGCCCGGCTAAGGAAGAATGTTTTTGTTAGCAATGGCATTATTCTTTTTGTTTGTGTGTTCCTTGCTTTTTGAGACAGGCTTTCTCTCTGGCCTTTGCTCTCTTGGAACTTTCTGTAGACCAGGCTGACCTTCATCTCAGAGATCCACTTACCTCTGCCTCCCAAGTGTTGGGATTAAAGCCATGTGCCTCCATCACGTGGCTAGCGGTTTCTTTTCTTCTTTCCTTGGTTTTGTTTTTCAAGACAGGGTTTCTCTGTGTAGCCCTAGCTGTCCTGGAACTCACTCTATAGGCCAGGCTGGCCACAAACTCACAGAGAACAGTGACATTTTCATACATAATGTGTTTGATCATATCCATTCTTACTACTCCTTCTTGACCTGTTCCTACTTGAAAACTTGACATATAGCATGGCTGTAATTTCAAGGCATTTCACTTTTATGCTGTGAAACCAGCCAGCCATAAAAGGATAGACACCAAATGTATCAGTCTGCTTTCCGCTGCTGTGGATACAACACAAAAAAGCAACTTGTGGAGGGAAGAGTTTATTTGGCTTAAACAACCTGGTCATGGTCCATCCTGAAGAGAAGTGAGGGCGGAAATTTGGGGGCAGGAACTGGAAGCAGAGGCCAGGGAAGACTGGGGCTTACTGGCTTACTCTCTTATTAGAAAACTGGAAATCTGTCAGCTGCTCAGCCCAAGAGGCTGGATGGCTCAGCAATCCCAATCTTACGCTGAGGTCTCGAAGATTCCTGGAGAGCTGCTGGTCTTCAGTCTGTTGGAATCCCAGCTAAGTTGCTCCTAGTATCAACCAGCAAAGGACAGGTGGACTTAGCAGTGACAGTGTAAGCAGGCAAAACTCAAAGCTTCCTTCTTCCATGTCCTTTTTATCTGGAAAAAGAAAGGTGAGGCTCAAATTTAGGGTAAATCCTCCTCTTTCAAATAACCCCCCCAAAGTCCCACAAAGGAGTAGTGCCCAGCAGATTGGATTTTAGTTGGTTGCAGATGTGGTCAAGTTGACAACCCATAGAGACCACCAGAACTTGCTTCTACAAACAGAAGGTATTAACAACAACTAAACTGACAGAGGTGTCGTACAGAATAGGGGTGAAGGGTAGAGGGGAATGAGTTTGTGAAGGGGCCATAGATAGCTTCAGTTCTTCCAGATAAACCCCAGTTGGTTGGTGTTGATGGCTGCACCATGAGGTGAATGTACTTCATACCACTGAACGGTACTTAAAGATGCAGGCTTTACAATTTTATAAAAACGGCAGAGGCACTGGTAATCATACGCAGTCATAAAGCCAGGTAACTATGGGTTGGGAAAAAAAGTCTACAAATGGCCGTGGAACACAAGCAGGCCTCCGAGATTTGAGCCCCCACCATCTGACACAGGAAGACTATTGTGTAATGTTTTCTTTGATTATTTGGAAATTTAACGTAAACAGCAGCAGAAGAAGAAGAATCACTGAAGTTGAATTTGCGTTGTTCACATGCTCGCTGGAGCATGGTCAAACTCTCAATGGTCAACCCCTAACAGAAGACTGAGCCTTCCCCACCTCCATCTCTACCAGAAGCCATCAACTGTGAAGAGCTACACTTCAGCATCCTTACCACGACTGTTAATGGTTTTCCTGAAGACTGGATTTAAACATAGAAGTTGAAACAATAGGAAGTGTGGGCATTTCGACAGATCCGATGGACAGGGATTCTGGCACTCGGGAGCCACAGAATACTGAGTGTTACAGCTCGGATGGGAAGGTCTTCTGGTACTCGGAAGCCAAGGACTACCGCAGGTCACAGTAAGCATAGCAGCGCACATCCTTGCTCCAGGGAGAGGCTTCCCCAGTGTATCGGTTCTTCCCGGCTAAGTTGTTACAGTTCAGCTCCTTTCCCCAGGAGAGTAACAACTCGGTTCTGCCAAGGGAAAGTTTCCCCTGGTGAAAAGTGCTACAGTCCTGCTCTGCTCTGCCCTGCCCAGGATTGTCTCTGCTCCGGGGAAAGGAGGTCTCACCCAAATCTCATCCAAGAGGTTTATTGGGAGGGAAGAATCCAGGAGAGTGTTAGAGGACAGCCCAAACAGCCACAAGCTGGACAGACACAGGGTTTATATAGGGCTTCCAGGGTGGGGATTGGTGAGCTCAGATTGGCTAGAGCTCTGTTCAGGGATTGATTAGTTTTCTGCACAGGGTTAGGGTCAGAGTTGGCTCTGGTTTCAGGGCCAAAGTGTGTTTCTTTCTCCGGTCCTTTTTAACCTTTTGGCTCTAGTTTTAGGGCCAGGGTGTATTTCTTTCACTGATTCTGATTCCAGGGACCAAGTGTGTTTCTTTGGCTCTGCTCAGGGTGTGTTTCTTTGGCTGGCCCTTCTTCCCTACAGTATCAAGCCCGCGAAAGAAATAACCAAAGGCCACGTCGTTTCTGGCAGCCTCCACCTGGCTGCCGCATTCATTGCCTGGTCAGACAACCCGGAAATCTCGCGTGATGCTTTGCAAGCGTGGTTGACAGCTTGCACATGCCTGAGGACTTGGGATTGGACCGCTGACTCGGAGGGGCGGGGCCTTGAGGGCGGGGCCGGAGGGCTCGGTCCTTCCTCCTTCCCTCCGGCCACAGCTCCGGGGCTGACCCTCGATGGGGTTGGACTCTCGCGATATTTGCCTCCAGTCTCGCGAGATTTGGCGTGGCACTGGGCGGCTGGCCCGGACGGGGAGGAGGTGGCGTTCCGTTGGTGACGTTGGGCTCCGGCGGCGCCGGCAGGGCGTTCTCCCGCGCTGACCCGGAGCTGTGCGGCCAGGTGAGGAGCTCAGCGGGGGTTGCGGGCGGCGGGGCAGGCCGGGGAGCGGGCGGCGGGCGGTCCCGCTCGGCCGCGCCCCTGTCAGGCAGCCCCGGGCCCCGCCCGGGCTGCCCCGCCCGTCCCGGCCGCTCGCCCTCAGCGCCCTCCTCCCTGTCCGCAGCTCCAGCCGCCGCCGCCGCGCTCGCGATGGGCGCGCAGGACCGGCCGCAGTGCCACTTCGACATCGAGATCAACCGGGAGCCGGGTGAGCCGGGGCCGGGCCCTGCCGGGGTGTGTGGGGAGGAGCGGGCGCCCCGGCGGCCTCCCGTCGTCTCCCGCCGGTCAGCTGCCTTTCCGGCCTCCCGCGACTCCTGGGGAAGCAGTGGCTTCGGGGACGGGCGGCTCGGGATTGCACGGTGGGCAGGGCTGCAGCCGGGCTGTTGTGTCTCAGGAATTCCGTCGTGGTCAGCCTTTCGTCACTACACAGGCATACGTGCACACTCAAGCACACACTGCGACTGCACACACGCACACGTGAAACATGCGTGCATACGGCGTAAACACGCATGCATCTGTATGTAAACACATTTACTTTCCTGAAACACTTGCTCCAGGCGCAGAGTTCGTTTAGTTTTGTTTTCTGAGGCAGGGTTTCCTCCGTGTAGCCCTGGCTGTCGTGGAACTCACTCTGTAGACCGGGGGGGGGGGGGGAGCTCGAACTCAGATTCGCCTGCTGCTGCCGCTGCCGCCGCCCCCGGAGTTCCAAATGGCAGGCAGGAATTTTAATTGGAAGTGTGTCGTGTGATTTCTTGGGCGAGCTTGTCGCAGGTTCTGGAGATGCGTTAGGCAGTGACTGAAGCCGGGCTCCGACGTGTATGTTTACATCCTGTTGCAAGAAGACGGCCAGGAAAGAAAGGGGCGAAAACTCATTGCTTCTAGTAGCGCCGTTCAGTAAGGCGGCGGGGAAAGGCGATTTTGTGAAGATGACACTTCAGCAGATGGGAACCCGAACCGTGTGTGTGTTTGAGATGTGTGCTGCGCAGTGGACAACAGTTTACTTTGGCTCTGGGACAAAGCAGACGGCCCGGTGTGGATGGGTAGAGGGAGGAGGACTCTGACGCGGTGGTGGAGGGGGATGTTGGGGGTTCTGAGCAGAGGAGTGCGTGATCCTACAAGTCCTGTTTCTCCCGGCTAACACTTCCACCCTTATGTCGTGCAGTTCGTTAGGCATTTACCAAACTTACTGTGGAGATTGTTTTCAGAGACCTTTGCAAACCTGAGGCATGAGTCTACTCAGAAAGCAACAGTTACTTAGTAATATAACTCGGAAGTATTTTCCTAGAAGACCCAAGGACCTGGCTTTGATCCCCAACACCACAGATAGCAATCTTGAAAATACTTCATACTGTTACACAATCTTTGCTTACTGCCTATTTTTTTAAGGGCATCTTCTGTTTAAACTTTTTTGTTTGTTTGCTTTCTGCTTTTTGAGACAGGGTTTTTCTGTGCGGTTCTGCCTGTCCTGGAACTCCTTCTCTAGACCAAGCTGGCCTCGAACTCACAGAGATCCTCTTGCCTCTGCTTAGATTAAAGGTGTGTGCCACCACCTCCTGGCTTATTTTTAACTCTTAAAAACAAGTAAGAACCCTGTTATGTGAGCCATGGGCTAACTGCTGAGCAGGGATGAGGGACTGCTGATGAGACAGGACTGTGGCTGCAAGGCGGAAGGCTCCCAGTCCATCTCAAAGCACCACAGGTACCGGCTCAGATTGACTTTGATGCGCAGAAGAGATACAGACATCAAGATGCACTGATGAGAACTGTGTACGCTTAGTGTGTGTTTTCCATTACCATCAATACAAATGCAAAACATTGATTTTTGAATTATAAAACTATTGAATGCATGCAAATACAGATTTAAAGAAGAAAAACCTATGCATATGTATAATACGTTTTCTGTGTAAAGTCAGTAATTGTTCCTATTGGAAATAGTTCTGTCACTGTTCTTTTGTTGTTGTTCAAGATCTTAATGAAGATTAACTTCTTTGATACAGTATTCACTCACATGTCTGTGACTTGCTGATGTAGTATTGGTGGTTTGTAGCTTGTAAGACACTAATGCATGTGTCTAACTTGTCAGGTTTGTGTGCATAGGCACTATTTGCCATAGTCAGAACTCACCTTTCACTCCTGATTGGAAAGTGTGTTGTTTACCACTCTAATGGCAGCTTGAACCTGGGGGAGTGGGGCCTAAAAATGAGGTGGGCTAAAAGCCTCATGCACTAGTCAGCTTCTGTCAGAGCACCAGGAGGGACTTTATACTCCGAGGGTTAGGAGCAGTCACCCGAGTAAAGTGTACAGTCACAAGGACAAGACACATGTGGCAAAAGCATATTTTCCCATAGAGGCACATGAACAAATAATAGCTAGTTGTGATCAATAATATAAGTGAGCTCACTCCTATCCATTATATCTGGGAGGGTCGCCAAATCACATTCCAAGCACGATTCTGTATTTTTTAAGAAACTGAGGTCACAAGACTCTTGTCTTGTTTCCTTGGCGTTTTCTCACAAGCACTTTGACTTGCTGAGACATGTCAACAGCTCCTCTTTTAGTTTCTTAAGAATTTGGCCTGGACTGGAAGATTTAAATTTAAGGTTCCCCTGAGCTACAAATTGAGTTTGAACCGTGAGGCCAGCCTGAGCATCTTAATAGAGAACAATTCTCAAAAAGTGTAGAGTGCAGGGGCTGAGTGGCTAGTCTTGGAGGCTAATGAATGAAGATTGTATTGTTTTTGGTCATGTGCGTGCATGTGTGTTTATAGAAACTTAGGGGACAAAGTTTACAAAGTTTATTTTCTTCTGTCTTTTACTTTTGACACTGGCAATCAAACCTAGGGCTTCAGGCATTCTAACCAGTGACCAGCCCTGAGCCCTGTTCTTTTCTTCCGGGTCTGTTTCATGGCTGTCACTGAAAATAAACTACTGAAGCATATTACTTACTTTTCTTCAGAGGCTATATCTTCAGAGTGCTTTCTGTTCAAAAAACTGAAAGTATCAAATATTACCTGTTTTCTATAAAATAATACAATTCCATTAAGCTGTTGAAAGCCTACAATTTGATTCACAGATGAACTTAGTTAAGGTTGATATTGCTTGTTTTTACAGTGGTCAATTTCTGTATAGGATTTTCCTGAACTAACTCAAATTATGCCTCCCCTCCCCCCTTCTCTCAAAACAGGGTTCTCTGTGTAGCAGCTCTGTCTGTCCTGGAACTCGAATTTTAGAGCAGGCTGACCTGGAACTCACAGATTTCCCCTGCTTCTTCCCCAGTGCTGGAATTAAAGGCTTGCACCACCACTGCCTGGCCAAGTTATACCTTTTTTTTTTTTAAAGTTATACCTCTTTTTTTTTTTTATTTCGAGACAGGGTTTCTCTGTGGCTTTGGAGGCTGTCCTGGAACTCACTTGGTAGTCCAGACTGGCCTCGAGCTCACAGAGATCCACCTGCCTCTGCCTCCCGAGTGCTGGGATTAAAGGCGTGCGCTACCAATGCCCAGCTAGTTATACCTTTTATAGGCATAAATTATTATAACTTTTTTTCTGATAAAATTTGTCCATATTTTATTCAAAATGGAAGACTAGATATATATTTCAATGGCAAAGTATGTGCTTAATATGTTGTCATACATTAGGGACCTGATTGGGTTACTCCGTTTATCCTGGTGTGTGTGTGTGTGTGTGTGTGTGTGTGTGTGTGTGTGTGTGTGTGTGTGTGTGTGTGGAGTTGCATCTGGCTTTTTACATGGGTTCTAGAAATTAAAAAAAAAAAGTCTTCACACTGTGATGTAAGTGCTCTGCCTGTTGAATCATTGCCTGGCCCTTGCCTTAGGGCAGTGTTCTCAACCTCCTAACATTGCAGCCCTTTAATACAGCTCCTCCTGTGGTGGGGATAATAGGATTACTTCCTCGCTGCTTCGTTGCTGTAGTTTTGCTACTGTTGTGAATTGTAATGTAAATATCTGATATGCAGAATTTCTGACATGCAACTGCCAAAGGGGGTGTGACCCACAGGTTGATAGTCATTGCTCTAGGATATTTAAAACAAATTTTTCTGCCGATGGCAGTTTGCTTTGTTTTTATCTATATTTCATGTGTATGGGTGTTTTGTCTGCATGTATGTCTGTGTACACCTTTAATCCCAGCACTCTGGAGGCCTGAGAGGGCATGAAACCCTGGAACAGAGGTCACTGTGAGACCCTGGAACAGAGGTCACTGTGAGACCCTGGAACAGAGGTCACTGTGAGACCCTGGAGCAGAGGTCACTGTGAGACCCTGGAACAGAGGTTACTGTGAGACCCAGGTGGGTGCTAGCAGTTGACCGGGTCTTCTGTAAGAGCAGCCAGTGCTCTCAGTTGCTGAGTTAGCTCTAGCTGGGTATGGCAGTGTTTTAACCTTGCGCCAGATTAAAGTCATACCAGTTTATTTTTGTTTCTCCCCCAATCTTAATGTGCTATAGACAAGACAAGCCTTTCTTGCTGAACCTTGCCTCCTGAGATTAAGAATCCAATTGAAAATTTTCTGCATCAAGTTAGGTTATTGTAGTTAGACCTACATCTCTGAATGTTAGACTTCATATTTTCACATTTATTGTGTTACTAGGCCGCTTTCACCAGTTTTCATTTTAAAACAGTGGTTTTCAACCTGTGGGTCCTAACATCTTTGGGGACAAATGACCCTTTGACACAGGGATCTCCTAAGGCCATTGGAAATCACAGATATTTACATTATGATTCATAAGAGAAACAAAATTACAGTTATGAAGTAGCAATGAAAATTGTGACTGGGGTTCACCACAGCATGAGGAACTATTAAAGGGCCACAGCATTAGGAAGGTTGAGAACCACTGTTTTAAAGCCTTGTGCGTTTTAGGGAAAAAAGGAAAAACAAAACAAATTCACTTGATTTAGATGTTACTATGATCTTAAGAAAGCCTAGGTTGAAGCCAGTGTAGTGGCAAACACCTTTAATCCTAGCACTCTGAGGCCAGCTTGGTCTACAGAGGGAGTTCTAGGACAGCCAGGGATACACAGAGAAACCCTGTTGCTCTGGCTGTCCTGGAACTTACTTATGTAGGCCATTAAGCTGGCCTCCAACCCACAGGGATCCACCTACTTCTGCCTCCTAAGTGAGTGTCACGCTGCAGTCTCCTAGAACCGGGAGTGCTGGTTGTTGTGAGCCACCAGGTATGGGTGCTGCCCAGGTCCTGTGCAGCAGGAAGCACTCGTGTTTGGTTGGCTGGTTTTTCGTTTTGGAGACAAAATCTTCTCTGTGTAACAGCACTGGATATCCTGGAACTTGCTTTGTAGACTAGGCTGGCCTCAAAACCCAACAGGAATTTCTCCTGCCTGGGATTAAAGGTATTCTTTTTAAAGGTGTTCTTTTTTTTCCCAACCTTCAGACAAACACTGTACAATGATTCCAAAGCTCTAAGTGTCCTACTTTCAAAGCTCAGGGCTGTGGGCTTGATGCCCACCTCAGCCATTTTAGGCATTTATGAGAATTGATGCAGACTTTTTTTTTTTTTTTTTTTTTTTTTTTGGTTTTTCGAGACAGGGTTTCTCTGTGGCTTTGGAGGCTGTCCTGGAACTCGCTCTGTAGACCAGGCTGGCCTCGAACTCACAGAGATCCGCCTGCCTCTGCCTCCCGAGTGCTGGGATTAAAGGCGTGCGCCACCAACACCCAGCTAGGATGCAGACATTTTTATTACACTTTTTTTTCATGTTACTGATGTCATAGATATTCTTGGAAAATTCTGACTTGTATTTAAACACATTGGTCATTCGATACCTAAAAGTCTTCCTTTTTGTTTCCTTTCCCTATCTTTTTCTTTAGGAAACAGCTACAGCTTTGAAATTGTCTGAAAATATGACTTTGTTAGAGTTTAGATATAGAGTGTTGACACAAGGAAGTTTCCTTACATGATGCTCAATAATGATCCCACTTGTCCATGATAGGTATCCATAAAGGACAGACTAGGATAGCTAGAAATATATAAAACTGTTAGTGACAACAGTAGGACTCAGTCTGTGTCTATTCTATATATTCTATATGTATTTGATCTACAGTTCAGTTTGATTCATCCTGTCTCTTTAAATAAAATGTCCATAAGGGAAAAGATTTTGTAGACTGAGGGAGGATATGGGATTAGGAGAGAATTGTAAAGAAACACCATTTCTTGGGAGCCAGAGAGACCACTCAGCAGGAACAGGCGCCCTCTGAGCGTGAGCTTGTAACCCACGCAGTGGAGGGAGACAGTGCATCCTTGCAATGCATCCTTGCAAGTTGTCCTCTGACCGCAACACATACAGTGGACACTTGCACACCGTCCCCACCAGGGAGTAGACTTTGCTGAGACTTTCAGTCAGCACCGGTTTCCTCTTTGTGTTTTCAGACAGGTTGCCTGTGTAACCCTACCTGTCCTGGAACTCACTTTGTAGATGCTGGCCTTGAGCTCAGAGGTCCGCCTTCCTCTGCCTTCTAAGTACTGGGATTAAAGGCACTCAACAGAATTTTTTTTTAATGATAATACTAAAACAGGATTTACACTTTCAGGAAGATCTTCAAAAAACAAATGAACAAAAAATTCACAAACTGAATGGCGGTGGTACACACTTTTAATCCCAGCACCCGGGGAGGCAGATCTCTGGTTTTTGAGGCCAGCCTGGTGAGTGCCAGGACAGCCAGGGTTACACAGAGAAACCTGTGTCAAAAAGCAGACAAAAAAGAAATGTCTTAGTTTTGATTTATACATTGCAAATTAACACGTATAACCCATAAACAACAGCTTGGTAAATTTAAACACTTCAGAAGAATATGGAGACCAGAATTTGTGAACTATTTTCCAGGGCATAGTGTGTTCCTTTTTGTTGTTGTTTATTGAAGGTAGCATTGTGCCTTCTGAGCACCCTTTTCTTCCCTGGCTCTCAGGGAGTGGAACTTGAGCTCCAAAGAGAGCATGGCAGAGCTTTCCTTCTAACTGGGCTGGGCAGAATAGACTCTTAAGGAGGGATGTGCTCATCACTGACAGGGCCTAATGGGCCATACAACTATTAGTTAAGAATACTTGGAGCAGGTGGGGGGGGGTACAGGACTCTAATCCCAGCACTCAGAAGACAGAGGCAGGCGGTCTTTGTGAGTTCAAGACCAGCCTGGGCTACAGAGTGAGTTCCAGGACAGCCAGGTTACAGAGAAACCCTGTCTCAGAAAACACTTAAAAAAAAAAAAAAGGAATGCTTTGGAGCTAGGAGTGTATGTAGCTCAATAGTAGAGCGCTTGCTGTGTATATGAGAAACATGGGTTTGATCTTTAGCCCAGCAACACCAAACAGATATTTTTAAAAGGGTTATTAGTTCTGTATTAAATGGGTACGAGAAGGCTCTGTTAAATTGTACAGCTTTTGTGCTAGAGCCGTGATTTTAGCACTGTGTATGGAGGTGATCTGTAAAACACAAAGAAGAAACTGACTCATCAGGGTATCTCCTAGTTAAGTTCTTATAGGAAATATCTGTATTAATTTGCTCACTGTTCTTTTTCCCTCATATATTTTGTTTCAGTTGGTCGAATTATGTTTCAGCTCTTCTCAGACATATGTCCAAAAACATGCAAAAACTTCCTGTGCCTGTGCTCAGGTGAGTGAGGTTTTAGCCTCTTTTCAATAAGAATGTCTGGCTGCTTGCAGCTACATCTGCTATATATATGGGAACTTTCATAAAAATACAATTGTCTATGCAGTGAGTTTTACAACTAAAATGTTATTATTACATCATATAAAATGAAGGAGCCAGGTGTTGGTGGCGCACGCCTTTAATCCCAGCACTTGGGAGGCAGAGGCAGGCATATCTCTGTGATTTCGAGGCCAGCCTAGTCTACAGTTCCAGGACAGCCTCCAAAACAATACAGAGAAACCCTGACTCAAAAAACCAAAAAAAATTTTTTTTGAAGGAAACATTTCTTGAGAGGACAGGAGGAAAAAGAAATCTTTGAAATGATAATATTCTGTTTCATGTAATACAATCTTTATGTATTAGTTTGGCAAATAAGACTTCTTCAAAATTAATTTATCTTGGGAAAATTTTATCCAAATTTCATTTCTTTAAATAAATTTAGCACCTCAAATTATAAAGCATAATATTGCTTTTCATTATGTATCACTGCACATACCCTAGACAAACAATAAAGAGAAAATATTAAATATTAGAAATAGCAAACTTCATTTTTAAAGCCTTTATTTGAACACAAGGAGATACAACGTTTGAACTAATTTATTTAAGTCATCTCTATTCCTATCTTCTGTAGCACACAGAATTGTTTCTGTATTAGTTTAATACATATACTGATACTGCTTTATGTTACTTATTTTGTTTTGTATGTTATGTATGTGTGCTACCCACATTGTGTCATCTGTCTGTGTCTTACGTCTCCTGGTATCAGCACATGGGAGGGATTTGACTGCAGATTAACTTGTTGGTTATTCCCATGGAGTGATGGGTTTGTAGCTAAACTTGTTTTTTTCTTCCCCAGGGGAGAAAGGCCTTGGGAAAACAACTGGGAAGAAGTTATGTTATAAAGGTTCTACATTCCACCGTGTGGTTAAAAACTTTATGATTCAGGGTGGGGACTTCAGTGAAGGTAGAGCTAAAGTTATATTCCTAATAAATCATCCGTCAGTGTTTAAAGATCTCATTGTTGCTTTTAATTGTGAATATCATGTCACAGAGTGATGTGAATATCGTCCTCGTGCATCATTGTTGGATGAGCAGATGTTACAGATCTAGAATTTTGTGAAAAATTTTGTTTATGTAATGTATTTTAGTAACATAATTATCTCAGATTACCTTCCAATGAACATAGTACTATCCAATTCTAGAAATTTCTTAGTGTAACTACTACGTGACATAAATGGGCCATAGGGATCATTTTTCTGATAGCATTTTTCATAATATCTTAAAGATTAATTTAATTGAATGCACCTAGAATTACAGGTTTTCTGTTTTTTGTTTTTGGTAGCAATTAAAAGGTTCAGGATTTCCTTCAGGATATTGAAGCCATCAAAAATAATTTATTGGCCGGGCGGTGGTGGCGCACATCTTTAATCCCAGCACTTGGGAGGCAGAGGCAGGCGGATCTCTGAGTTCGAGGCCGGGCTGGTCCGACAACCTCCAAAACAATACAGAGAAACCCTGTCTCGTAAAAACCAAAATAATAATAATAATAATTTATTGGCCTAGGAATGTAGCTGAATGGTAGAACACTTGCTTAGTACGTACTAGGCCCTGGTTTCAATCTCAAGTGCTGCAGCAATAATATAATAATAATAGTAATAGGGGTGGTTGTGGTGGCATACGCCTATAAATTATCACAACACTTGAGAGGTAAAGGCTAGGGATTTTGAGTTTAAGGTCACCCTGACCTACAGTAGTGAGACCATGTCTTAAATGCAAAACAAATGGAGTTGGCAAGGTACTCAAGGTAAAGGCACTTGTGACCAAGCCTGGTGACCTGAGTTCAATCCCTGAGACTCACATGGTGGAAGGAGAGAGCTGACTCCTGCAGGTTGTCCTCTGACTTCCACATTCACACTGTTGCAATGCACGTGTGTCCACGCACACACAAGTGTTGATGTTTAAAAGTTCTAATTTTCATGTGTTGAGTAGTTTACATTTTGATCATGGCTTGTTGTTTTCAGGTAACGGGAAAGGTGGAGAGTCCATCTATGGCGGATACTTTAAAGGTGAGACCTGGTATTCTGTGTGGTTTTTTTTGTTTTGTTTCAGTTCTGATATAAAGCGAGTTTGGCCGCATACTTTAATCAGAAGAGGTTTACTTGTAGTTCATTTTGCATGAAACTAATGCTGCATGAAAATACTTTTTTTGCATGAGTTTGGGGATCAATTATATGGTAATATATAACTTTTAATTGTCAAGATTAATTAAGGCTAACTTTAAGGTTAAACATGACTTTCAGCATGGAGGTTAGGCAACTATATACATGAAAACTCCTATCTTCCTGCCTAAAACTGTCAACATATTCTTTTGTTTATAGAGAATGTGGTCTTTTGCAAAATGAAAAGGTAAGAGAACGAAGCTCAGTAACACAATCCACTCTGCTCCCTGTGCCCTCCTAATAAGTCCACGGACAGTCTGGTCAGGTTGTGGCTGGGTTTCTGTATTGTTTGAAGACTTGGAAAAAAAGAATCTATGTAATTTCATACATGCATCTGTGTCTTTGTTTCTTTACAATTGGTTATTAGTTCTACATCAGGGAAAAAAAATTAAGTTGTGGTTCCCCCCCCCCAAACCAAGGAATTTTCTTTGAATAAAAAATGGTATTTTTCCTTTCACAAAGGTTTGTATGTTTTCTTTTGTGTATTAGAACTTTACGGTTGTATTTTACTCCTACAGTAGTAACCTTTCATAAGTCTAACTATTGCACTTCCCCAAAAAGCCTTAGAAAAGTCAGTTGCAGGGATTTAGAGTGGGCTCCAGCATTGCTGGTTTGAATGCTGTCAACACTTCAGTGTATAATGGTTTTTTATATTTCCTTTGGGGGAAATGGATCACTACTCTTTTTCAGAAGCCTGTCCCCAAGGTAACCATCTCTTTAAAATTGTATGTTTCTGTTTGTTCTAAAGAAAGATTTGTTTGTATCAATGTAAAAGGAAATTTGGTTTTAAAGATATTTCTCCCAAATATGTACCAGGCCTGTCTCTGCTTAGCTTCTGATATTGGAGGAGACCAGGCGCGTCCAGGGTGATATGGCTGTCAAGTTTTAAAAGATATTTCTACTGAGTTAAAGCCATCTTTAAGTGATGGCAGAATTTTTTCCCCTTCCTAGCTTGTTCTAATGGCATGTAGCAACGTACAGTCAGTGTTGTGGGCCTCTTTAATGTGGCTGTTCCCTGTGGCAGATGCTGTTGTATCTTAACATTGTATTTGCCTTTTAAAATGTTAGTTTCATACAACTTTCTTCCTTAGGTAATTTTGTGATCCTTCTGATAGTTAATTTGACATTTTCCTAAAACTTAATATATATGATATTTTTGTTCTCATAGACCAGTTGACTTCAGTAGAATAATAAGTTTACCATGCAAATGCTAAGCATTTAAGATTAAGGCTTATTAAAACTCACTTATGTGTAGTTTATGTGTCAGGCTAATTGGAAACTTGAAGGAAATACATTTTACTGTAGATATTTTTCTAAAAATGTCTTGACTGGTCTTCCCTGAGAGTCTGTAGTTTATATCATTTAGCCAAGTGTGTTAACTGCTGAAAGTGACTGTTCTAAGGCTGTTTGTACAGAGTGTTAAATACCTGTTCTTTTCCTCAAGGCTTTAATTAGTATCTTTTCGGCCTTTTTGTGCTTTTGTTATTTGATTAGTTAATTTTTTTCTAAATATTGCCAAATATCTTACTGACCAGAAGAGGAATTTCATCTTTTGCTTTCAATTTAGTACTTGAGCATTACTTCAAAAAAGCTGCTTATAGTTAGAGGCTAACAAACTTGTGTTTTCTTCAAACAGATGAAAACTTTATTCTCAAACATGACAGAGCGTTCCTTTTGTCAATGGCAAATCGAGGGAAACATACCAATGGTTCCCAGTTTTTCATGTGAGTAGGCATAATGCAGTTGGGCTTTTCCTACAGAGAAGCGCTGTTCATGAGAGAGATGGGATGGCTAACCCTTGTGCTGCTCACACTCTGACAGCTTTGGCTTGGCTCTGTGTCTGGTAGTACGTAGTAGCGGTAATCTCTAATGGCCGCGCCAGCCCTCTGTACATATCCTGGATTTGAAGAGTGGAGCTGAAAATGGGACCTGAAGGTACATACTGTGTCTACATACAGTACGCTGCCCTTATGAGGAAAGAATTTGATTTTAGCCTCTTCCTCATTGGAAGGCTGAGGTTAGAAACCTAGACTGGAATATGAACTCGAGATGAACATGCAAAACAATGTCCATGATGTAGCCTCACTGGATGTGGTGGTGCCTGCCTCTAGTCCTAGCACTGGGGAAGCAGAGGCAGGCCAGTTTCTGAGTTTGAAGCCATCCTGGTCTGTAGTGCGAGTTCCAGGACAGCTAGGACTGTAGAGCTACATAGTGAGACCGTCTCAAAAAACAAAACAAACAAACATTGTCTGTGATGAACCCTAGGCACAAGTTGGTTTGGGTAAACCATCATGTGAATTTTTGTTTTTGATTTCTTTCTTACTGTGAGCCTATTTTGAGAGCGAGAACATTGTTTTCTAATGAGGTATAGGAAAATGAGTAACCCAACATTGGCTGTCATTTTTCCAAGATTTGTAAATATTACTCAACAAACTTTTAAATTACTAAATTTCTTTTCAAAGAGCCAAGTACTTTTGGGGCTGACTGTATGGTTCAGTGTTGGTAAAGTGCTTGACATATAAGCCCAACGACCTGAGTTCGATCCTCAGAACCCACATAAAGATAGAAGGAGAAAACCAACTCTGCAAAGTTGTCTTCTAATCTCCACGTGTAACTACACACTCATACAGACGTCATACAGTGATGATGAATATTTTTTTAAAGAACATTTCTTGTTTGTATATGCATGTACAACCAAAAACTAGATTCTCATGTAAAAATTCTAAGTAAAACCTTTGGCATATTTTTAATTACATTCTTACCTGAACCTATTTTTTATTATCATCATATAAAATATGAAAGATAATTATCCAGCATGCAGCTTAATACTTTTGATAGTAATCTCTGGTGTTCTATGTATGTTGGAGAAATATCTTCTTTTCCATCTTTCTGAATGTACAAATATGAATGGCGCTTCCCTGTCTTTAAAGGAGCCAATTGTTCACATAAAGACTCACATTTGAAGTTTGTCTGAAAGACTTCCAACATGATTGGAAGAAGTTCAGATAAGGGGCATTCTTTCCAAAGGATGTCCTAAAAATGGAAAGCTCGTAGGTGGTGATGGTCTGGAGCTAGAGGGGAGGAAACCTGAGGCGTCCCTTGTACACTCAGCTTTCATCCCTCAGATGGTTATCTACGCAAGTTTACACTGGAGTACTTTCCTTTCCCTAACCTTTGTTTTGTTCCGGGCGGGCACAATGCAAAGTAAGGAGGTAGATTTTCAAAACCTTTTCGTAGTTACCCGGTGTCAAAGCTGCTTGCTCTAAATCCTTTGTTTCCATTTTTAAGCTTATCTGAACTGTGAACATGAAAAACTAACGATTCATTGGTCAGGATGGCGACATCTGAGGGCTCTAAAGTTTCTTTTTTATGTCATTACATTTAAAATTTGCCTTATCAGGTAGTAGCGGTTTCTAAAGAGTGCCTTTATTATATATACGTAGCTTATTTATACAGACCTCTGTTACCTTATCATTTAATAGCTACTTAAATCTCTGGGACATTTAGTAAAGGCATTACTGCTTTCTGCATGGCCTAATCTTGCATTAGGCTGCTGTTTGAAGAGGAGCAACAAATGAAAATTTGAAATCAGTAAGTTAGGAATAAAAAAATTTAAGCTTGTTTTCATAATTAACTCTAGATAGCACTAAAACCACTGGATGCATGATAAAAGAATTTTCTATCTTTAGTTTGGTGAAAATTTATTTGAAACTTCCTTGTGGAGAGGAATTCGCAGTCTTGGAGGTAATTGAACATTTTGCACCCACACAAAATTTGTTCTAATTTTTTTTAAGTAACTTGTGTGCCCATGTGCTGCTTTATGCTGCTGAAGATTCCAGTTTCCATGAGCTGCAAGATAAAACCAAACTAATGTTTCACATTTTTGAACAAGATATCCTGAGTTTTATGGAAAGCATAAATACAAAGAGATGGTAGCCAATAAAGGAGAAATGTTTGAAACTCTGGACTTGCAGGCCAGTGTCGTTTTGGAGTTGGAAATAGTGAAAAGAGTAATGTGCTGGCTTTAGTTGTGTGTATCAGAGAGGAGACCTCCCAGGGGTTTTCCTGGGACAGGGACAGGGCTTTGTTCTTTCTCTGCACACTTCACATGGCACCTTGAGTAGCAGCTCTGAAACAGAAAGAAAGGGTAATGTCAGAAGAGAGGCTTCAGATGTGTCTTACAGATTGTTTGCTTGGTCTTGGGAGAACTTGTACAACATCTGCACAAAATGGTACTCTGTGTCCTGCAAGTCAACTGCAGTTCCTGAGGAGTCGATTTGGTGCTGGTAGTGTGGCATGTGGGAGTCACTTGGGGATTATTGTGCTCTGTGCACTGTTGTCTTCCCTTCCTAAGGTGTGCACTGTTGTCGTCAGTATAATTTTACATGTATTGTTTTCCGTGGCTCAAACTGTGTGTGAAGAGAGAATCTATCTTAAATGCCTATCTTATGTTCGTATATTGTGAAGATGAGGTTTTCTTTACAGCTGCTTGTAATTTAACTGTTAACTAACTGTGCTGACTGCTGAATGAATGAATGGGTGTTTCTGTTGGGGGGTAGTGCCGCTCAGATGTGGGAAGGAAACATCGTGGCCCCATCCCCCTCAAGCATTAAGGAATAAGATGAGTTCACATGGAAACAGTTTTGAAGGAATTCAGAGTCTTGTGACCGCACTCACCAAGTCAACCCGTTAATGTTCACTCATTTTGTCATTTTTTTTTATTTTTTTAGGCCAGGTATTAAAAAAAAAAAAAGCAGTAAATGCTATAGGGTAGGAAGTGTAGTTGAGTGATGGAGAGCTTATCGTGTATGTGCAAGGCCGTGGGCTCCATCCCTAGTTCTGCAGGAAACAAGTGAGGCAGTGAATGGTCAGGTAGAGCTGTTCTGTGTTTTGTGGAGAATGAAGCTACAGGCAGAAGAGAAAGCGTGTCCAGGCCAGGCTGCTCCACAGCCTTTTCTTGCATTCTGGGTAAGAGAGCTGCTGCCTACATGCCTCGGGCATAAACGCTGTGTTGGGAGTCTTTGTGGTTAAGTGTCAGAGGCAGGGAAACTGAGAAAGAGGAGGACAACTAGGGAACTTTTGTTTACTTGTCATCGCTGGTGATAATTCTGGTGCTGGTTTATACTGCCTGTAGTCATTGAGAAGATGGGAAAGTGTTATAAAACAGTGATTAGAAAGGTCAGTTTATAACTTCCATTATCACTGCTCCTGGGATGGAATACATACCTCGCAATCAGGAATACATACCTTGGTGTGGCTCATGCCTGTGATCCTGTTATTCTGGTGTCTGTGGAAGGACAGCAGCTGTGGATTTTAATCATCCTAGGACACAAAGCACATGACCCTGTCCCAAGAAACCACACACACACACACACACACACACACACACACACACACACACACACACTTCTTTTTTTGCGACAGTTTCTCACTGAAGCTGGAACTCTCCAGAGTCTCCTTAGCTGGCTGGCAGATCCCAGTAACCTCCATTGTCTGCCTTCCCCAGGTCTAGCATTGCAGGCACATGCTCCTTCCAGCTATTACAATAGTGAGTTCTGGCTGTCCTCATGCTTCCACAGTAAAGCACCTGCCAAGCCATCTAGCCCCAGATAGCCCTGTTTTAAGATAAACTATAAACGTTTTGGTACAAAAATGTCATAGAAGAAAGAGCATGTCTTATAAAAAGACCCTGAATATATGGAATGATTTGTGTACAGACATTTAAAAGAAATTGTTCTATAGCTACCTAATTTTCATCAGTCAGAAAAGTTTGTCAGAAAGACTTGGGACTCATCTTGTCTAAACCAGGAGCTGCAGCAGCCACTGCCTCAGCTGCTACTAAAATATTTGTCAGTGCAGACCTTTAAACAAAGCTTTGCTTTGTGCACACAAGTGTTGTGCCTGCATGTCTGAGTACCATGTGCATGCAATGCCCTAAGAAGCCAGAAGAGAGCATTGGAGCTGCTGGGATGGAATTGTAGTGAGCCACCATGTAGGTGCTGGGCATTGAACTCTCCAGCCCCAGTGTTGGCCTTTTATGGCTTGAAAACTTTAGTGAATAGGCTGTCACTGGCCACTATTCCTGGTAATGATGCTTTTTATGAAAGCAAGATACTGTAGAAAAGCTCGGCTTTGTTTTTTTCCCTTTCTCAGTGCTGGTGATCAGATTTAGAACCCTGTAAATGGTAGGCAGGAGTCCTCTAAACGAGGACCTCCACACCCAGCCTGTTGATTGTGCACATGCAGCTCTCCCCCCCCCCATTTTTATTTTCTGTGTGTGGGTGTTGTGCTTGCATGTATGTCTGTGTACCACATGGGTCCAGTGCCTCTGGAGGCAGAGGAGGCATCATGTCTCCTGAGAGTGCATTATCTAGCTGGCCGTGAGCTGCCGTGTGGGTGCAAGGGAATGGACTCTGGTGTGGCAGGGCAATCAGTGCTTTTACCCACTGAGCCACATGTCTAGTCCCTGTCCATTATAGCATTCTTCAGTAAGGCAGGGCTCTTCATCTAATGAGAGGGGAGCACTCTTTCCAAGGTAGAAGCAAGTGTTTATAATCTGTGTCAGCACCTTGGCAAAGCAGAAGTAAATTTGGGAGAGAACTGGCTCCCACATGTCCAGACGTTTATGTGAGAGGAAATGGCAGTAAATGTCATGACCCCAGGCAGTCCACTTTTGTTGTTGTTGTTGGGGGAAGTAATAACTTCATATGCTAATGCCAGAAATTTTTTGAGAAGAAAGAAGTTGCTGATATTTGAACCCAAAGCCACTTTCTCTGAATATCAAATGTCACTTCTAACACCCAGGCTTACATTTACTGAGTGCTTTCTGATATACCTGTTAGCAGTCAGGAAGAAATGCTGTATCTAGTTACCATGTGCGTATATTTCCTTTATATTAGTGCTGAGTGTTTTTCTGTATGAGTGGCCTGGGGACACAGCGTTCATTGTAAGTTGCCCATTGCCTGAACACAAGTTTCCTGCTTTGTGACAGCTGTCGTTTCAGGCTGTGAAGGAGTAGTATGTCAGAGATGACATTAAAGTAGTTGTTTTTAGTGCCCTCTTACTTTAGGCCTGAGGGACCTTTCTGTTTTACACTCTGAAAACTGCATGATTTAAAAATCTCTTGTGACCCTGATGCATGTATCATTGCCTATATGAGAGATTCTAATTTACTTTTACAACATTTTAATTAATAGATCTAAAATCCTATCAAATTTTATTTGTGGCATAGTAGAGTTTTTGGTTTATATAGTCATAGGTTGTTTTTTTTTTATTTCATTAGTTAAAATTCATCAGTGTATATTCTTCAAAAAAGAAAATTTGTCGTAAGGGGAAAGATCACATTAGAGGTAAATCCCATGACCAGGATTTGACATCATGCTCTAAGACTATTATCTCTGTTGCATTTTGAGTCTCAAAGATCCCTGAAGTTCTAACTGTGCCCTTACAACTGTTTTTTATGAATTCTGTCCAACAACTTCACAGCTTGAGTTTATGCAGCAAGCATTGAGCATAGCCCAGACCCTGCCCAAACCATTCTCCAGTTACGGTGTGAAATATATAATATAATGTATAATCTGCTCTGTGACGTTGTGATACACAACAAAAAATGAGTTTGAAAAGCAGAAGTGTGAAAATGAACCGAATTAGTTGAAGTTCTCAGGCTCTGTTTGAATGATGTGAACTAGGTTTCTCTTTTTGCGGGGGATGGGGTGGGGAGCTCTGCTCTGCCAGAAGCCCCCACTTCTCAGTATTTGGATTTGTGCATCTGTGTTCATACTCAAGATGCATTGCTTTCTTTGAGAGAGGTGTAGTAGCTAGTCTCTGGGATTGTATTTGGAGCTTTAATGTTTTATTAGCTGTTACCATTAAAATACCATGGGTCTGAAAAGATCTCCACAAGGCTTTTCTGAAAAAAAATTCATCTCTTCATAAATACCTTGTGAAAGAAAATTTAGAGCCCTCCATTTTAAAAAGCTTTCTTGCTTTGCATAAAACTCTAAAATTTTAATTTCTAAGTTATATTGATATTAAAACATAGATTCAGTCTTGTCTTAAAAGTGTATTACAATTTATTTCTTGCCATTTTTGTGTAAAATTTACAGAAAGAGTGTTACACCGTGCGCTCCAAAGGTAATGTCTCATTACTCTAAGGCTCTCTCTTTCTTTGTTTCTTTAATCCTATTGTTATGTGTATTGAAATATTTTAAGGAAAAAGCTTTTTGCTTGTTCTGTGTAGCAGCAGTGTATGTAAAACAAGGGTGTTTGTTGCTCATGGTTAACCTAAGAAGTACAGTTTATTTCAGTGGCTCTCGTGTGCACCGGGCAGTGTTTTGCAGTAGGATTTTAGGAGCTAGTAAGGTCCAAAAGCTGCTCTGATGATGGCCTAAGTGTAGTTTAGTCTCTGGGACAGCAGCAGTGCCTCTCAGTTCCCAGGGCTTGTGATTCAAGGGGACCCTTGTAGTGACTGCTTAGTTAGATTCCGGGTAAGGGAGAGGTGGGAACAGAAGAAGTGTGTGCACACTGGAGCTTTGTAGTTTGGATTGGGTTCTGTGTTTGTTTCTCCTCTGGGTGTGCTTAAAAGGTGTGCAACTTACACCTGGGTCTTCATTTACTGTGTGTGTCCCTGTCAAGAGTGATATCATTGAGAATATTGGATATAGTGAAGAGTTGGTGGGTGGGGTTTCTCTGTCAGCTTTAGTAGACTTGGCTGAGCACATGGTCTCAGTCCTGTGGGCTTTTGACTGTTTATCATGTGTCCTGTCGGCACAATGCCAGTCAGTGAGCCTGCCTTAGAGTGAGTCCTGAAATTTGTAGGCTCAGATCCAGAGAGTTGCTTATATGCACTATTGTTCATGTTCTTACTATCCCAGCTAAGGTGTAAGTGATATTTCTGTATCCTGAATTGCAGATGACAGTAAATTAAGTGGTTCACGTTGGGATGGACACTGAGCAGATTGAAAGTTGTCCTCAGAGGCAGAGGTGGCCCTTTCCCTATTCATGTGCACACTGAGGACCGAGGATGCTTATCAGCCAGTTTTCATTAGAATTAAACGCAGAACTAAGGCCTGAACAGAGGATGAGCATGTTCACAGCACATGTGAGGGCCCCGAGTTCATTCTCAAAATGAGACAAGTTATGTGTCCTAAGCTGGCATGCCCCAAGAGTACTGTTCAATCCTCAGTTAGTCTGAGTCTGTGTTGTTGCAGCCAGCTGGAATATCACCATTTGCTCCAAGAGTTGCCTTCCATAGCTTTTACATTATCTGTTAGCTGAGGTGGTGGTTGAATTGGACTTTGTGTGCACTAGAAAAATTTCTTGGCTCTTCTCAATGCTAGATTCCTGAGAGTGAGGCCCAAGACAGGAGGAGGAGGAGCATATCTAGTCAGTAAACAACCATGTGCTTTCATCTTCTGCATGGCAGAGCAGTTTTGTCCTTCCGGAAGCACCCTTACACCTTCTTAGGAGGGGTTTCTGTCTGGCTTTCTGTTTGGTAAAGTTGTACAATACAGGAAGCACTTTTGTTTTACAGTTGTTGTCTACCATGGCTTCTGGGTGATTGTTTCATAGTTTCAGTGTTTGTGGCTCATCACTTTGTTAGATTTTCTTCATTTCTTTTCCTTTTTTGTTACCTGTTTTTATTTTTAAGAATTATACTGGCTTTAATTCCTACTCATTTTTCTGAGAAATATTTGAGACTTGTGACTTTAAAACTCAAAATTCCATTTAAAGTTCTGAAACTTAAATTGACATTAAATTTTTTTAAGTTGAATACTGTTCATACTCCTCTAACAGAACAGGCTATTCTAAAAGTAAGTACAAGCATCACAGTCTCTCGTACAGTAATGGTTTTGGCATTGTTGTAAAAGTTAAATTGTGTTCTGTTCATGTGTCTTAGAATGACTTTAAAATGTACGTAAAATGCATATGAGTTTTTCCTGCACAAGTGACTGCTTAAATGCGGCCTGGTAGCTCCCTCATCTGTTTTCATCCTCACTGATTAAGGTTCTGATGGTCCTGATGCTGGTCAGACGACTCACTTTTGAGTCTTTGCATTGCAGTTCACATATAAAGATCTGTGAAAATGTTATGGGAAAGCCAGCTCCTAACCAAGTGTGACAGTGGGACATTCGCAGAGCAGCTGGTGGGGTGTTTTCTGGACCATAGCTGTGAAGGCGTCAGTATAGTAGCACCCCCTCATTTCTTACTTTGCTGTGAGGAGCATCAGCAGTTTGGAAGTCTCTCCCTATTGCATTTTCAGATGTGAGTGACAAAGCTTGAGTGGAAGTAGGGGACAAGGCAGCTCTGCAGATAGGACTCCTGAGCTCCTCCATTTGCCTGCCTTTCAGTCTTAGTAAAAATTGAAGAGCCAGTGGGTATGTGGCCAGTGTTCATCACTCCTTCGCGTGGGGCAGGACCTTCCTCCTTGTTTAATGCTACTGGGAAATTTGCTTTTGTTTTTTTCGTTTTTATGTTCGTTTCTGTTACCATTATTGTTTTTTATTTGAGAATAAATTTAATTTCAGTGTGTATGATGTACATTTCTATAATGCAAGTGAAACCTATCTCATATTCTGATAGAGTTGGTTTTATAATTCATTGTAATCTTGTTTTTTTTTTTAATCACTAAAATGACTACTGTTGGTGTTTGGGGGTCTTTAAGGTTGGATATACATATTATGCTTAACATTTTTCTGTCTTTTTATCTCTACTTCTTTGTTCACTACATGCTATGTTTAAACCTTCTGCTTTCCTCATCTGACTACGTCATTTTTGATACCATCTTTGTGTTGATGTTTATTGTACAGAACTACAAAGCCTGCTCCACACCTGGATGGGTAAGCATCAAGTTACTGCAATCTTGGGGAGCAGTTTAGGTGATAAGCCTGAAACCAGGTTGACCCGGGGTTAGTCTTTCATGGCCAAGCCCTTCCTAAAGGGGCACAGGGGGCAGCAGTTTTGAGAGCCCATCTCGTGCTTCTCAAGAGGACTTCCACTTGTGCTCATGGGCAGGCTTCCCTGCTGGGATGGTTTCTTAGCATGAAGGGCTCTGTTGTCAGATTCTTAGCCCTGCAGACACAGCCCCTACTTTTTCTGCAGATGGACGGTTGCTGTTTGCTATTATGAAGTGAATTTCAAGTTGTCGTCCCCTTCTAGTTGGTTCATAACACTTTGGGTTTGTTTTCAGTTCTATGGATACGTTTTTTAGGGCATTGTCCCAATTACGGTTCATAATATAATTATCAGACTAATTTATGTCTTGAATTTATATTATGACAGGGTTCATGTTGTCTTTGGACTGGTTATCTCTGGGTTTGAAGTAATTGAACAGATTGAAAATCTGAAAACGGATGCTGCAAGCAGACCTTATGCAGATGTCCGAGTTATTGACTGTGGGGTGCTTGCCACAAAGTTGACCAAAGATGGTAAGAGCTTTTGGAGGGTGAAGGAATCTGGGATAGAGGTGTAAAGTGTGTGGCAACTTGAAGATACCTTCCAGGTTTCTAAGATAGCTTCTAAATTTCAGTGTGGACAGTGGTAACATTGGGGCTTCTGTGCCAGGCTTTATCCGGTCCACCAGGAGATGCTGTCAGCTCCTCCTCCTCCCTGGCTGCTGGCTGGCCCAAGCCAGCTCATGCCTGTGTTATTGCAGCGGCCTCACAGCTTTCTCCCCTGCCTCTGTCTCCTTGTTTTCCTGTGACCATTTGTCAGCAGGAGTGTTCTTACTGGTCCTTGCTTGACTTTGGTTTGTCTTTAGCAGCTTCCAAAATGAGCCTCTTAAGCCACATTTCATACACACATCCCTATGCCCAGACACCTACAGTGGTGCCCACAGCACAGAGGCCTGTGGGTCTCCCCTGTCTGTAACGAGCATTCTTCCTGCCAGCCTGATCCCAGAGCTGCGTCAACCCCAAATAACACATGGAGGCTCTATTAGTTACGATACTGTTGGCCAATGTCTAGGGCTTCTATTGGCTAACTCTGTCATAACTACTAGTAAGTTTATTTTTATAAGGATTTATCTTACTGGGGATGCCAGCCTCATGCATCCTCTCTTCCTGGGATCACATGAGACTTTCCACTCTTGACTGCATTTCCCATAATCCTCCTCGACTCCTAGTCTCACCTATCTTGCTTCCCTATTGGCTAACAGTGCTTTATTTATCAACCAATAGGGCAACATATACACAGAAGGGCTTCCCCATCACCTGTCTTTCTGATTTTTCTCTTACTTGTCTTCCAGCCACGTTGACCTTTATTTAGACACTAAGGGCCTTTGTGCCTGCCCTTTGATGTCCAGAACATTCTTTGTTAAGATATCTGTATGGCCCTCCCTACTTTAGGTCTCTGCTCACATGTAATCTTAGGCTACATGTGTCTCTCTGTTCCCTTTTGCATTGTTTATTTTCTGTCTTATCTTTCATCACTTGTCACACTGATTCAGAATATAGGCTTCATGGTGGGTAATGGCTTTGGTATATTTCAAGTTGGTAGACATCTGTTATACATAACTGGGGAAGAGTTTAAGTATAATTTTAGTTTGCTGTGTATGAAGCAATTATGATAATCACCAGTCACATTTTTCACTATGGAGGGTATGCACTGGACTCAAGTACTAATGTTTTTGTTAATATCTATTAAAAGTGTTTGAGAAAAAAAGGAAGAAAGTAACACATTCAGAAGACTCGGACTCTTCTTCCAGTCCCTCGTCGTCTTCAGAGTCAGCCTCAGAAAGCGAGGTTGAACAGGAGAGAGTCAGAAAGAGGAGACATAAGAGGAGGGCAAAAGTCAGACGTACTAAAAAGAGACGGAAGGAGAAGAGTGGCTCAGAGGAAGTGAGGAGGAAGCGCACAGTGAGCCCTGCAGGGTGAGTGTGAGTCGGGTGGGCTGCCCAGCACACACAGCCTGTGCCCCGAGCCACAGTGACCACTCTGCAAGCTCCATGTTGTTCACTCGCTGTACTTGGAGAGGGGACACCTGTTACAATCTAGGAGTGGCATCATCTCGTAGCAGAGATTGGTGGGATTCTCAGGAAAAGACATTAAGTTTTATTTTGTGTATTCAGAGATGTGTGTATGTAGTAGATGAACATGTGTGGGAAGGTCAGAAGGCAGCTTGGAAGAATGGTTTCTTTCTACCAGATGGGACCCAAGGGACTAAATTCAAGACATAAGGCTTGGTGACGAGAGCCTCTACTCGCGGAAACATCTTGCCAGTCCTAATGCCTGACAATTCTTTTTCTCAATACTTTCATTTATTCTTTGAGAATTTCGCATATGTCTATAAGATCATTGACTGGAATTTGAAGAGGGATTAGGAATTCCAGTACCCACTATGTCTCCTTCCTCTTTTTTCTTTTTTCTTTCAATAACCCACAGAGTCCATTTAATGTGGCCTGTGTGTGCAGGGTTAGGGCCGCCCACTGGAGCACAGGCAGTATATACCCAGGTCCACACCCTGTAGAAAACTGATCCTCCCTAAAACAAAACATGGGCAATGACCTGGATTTGATCCCTGAGACACATGGGGTGAAAAGTGAGGTTCATCTCCCACAAGTGTTGTGTCATGTCCACATCACGGCACGTGCGCGCGCGCACACACACGCACGCACACACACACACACACACACAGAGTTTCAAAAAAGGGAACATTGCCGGGTGGTGGTGGCACACACCTTTAATCACAGCACTCAGGAGGGAGACGCACGTGAATCTCTGTGAGTTGGAGGCCAGCCTGGTCTACAGAGTGAGTTCCAAGACAGCCTCCAAAACAATACAGAGAAACCTTGTCAGAAAAAGCAAAACAAAAAAGGAAACACTGGCAGCATTAACAACTTCCAATTCAAAATTTAGAACTCTGTGTTTCTTCTCTCCATTCATTCATTCATTCATTCATTCATTCATTCATTCATTTACGTAAGACTTTTCTTTGCTCTGGATTTTTCACTGTGTTGATGTTTTTACATATTTGTAAAAATCATTTCTTTTTGCTGCCTTTATTTTATGAAATACTAGCATCTAAATTGGTGACTTGGTTTATTTCAGTTATTCTGAAAGGAGTGATGTAAATGGAAAAAGATCAGGTGACTCAAATGCTAAAAGAGAGAAGCCTGTAGTCCGTCCAGAAGAAATCCCTCCAGTTCCAGAGAACCGATTTTTACTTAGAAGAGATATGCCTGCTGTCACGGTGGAGCCTGAGCCGTAAGTAGGCTGACGAGCGCACCCTCTTCTCCTGTGTCCACTGACAGAAGCACCTTGTTTGTGGTCCCTGCAGAGGGGCTGCCTTGGAGGAGGCCACAGCACAGTGGACACGCAACAGGAAGGAGTGCTTTCTCCTGCCTCTTGTAATCTCCCTGCCCCTGGCGCATGGGGCAGTTAGTGTGTCCAGTCTTGTAGGTCACTGGATATCCAGGCAAGTTGACAGCAGTGATTAGATATTACACTGTCTATTTTTGTTTCTCTGGTATAGTCCATTATTTCATTGCAACTTTAGACCCAACCATAACTCAGGCTCAGAGTACACAGAAAGATGCTGTGGGTAGTCAGCAGAGCAGTGACTGGCTTGTGCCTCCTCTTTGGAACCCACATCTGAGTACATGAACAGGTAAAGGAAGTGGGCAGGTTATTCGGTGAAGGTAGGCTTTGTTGTGGTAGCTAGGTGAATTTTGTCTACCCCCAGAGGATTAGGGTTACGGGTGTGTATATGCTGCCACGCCTGGTGGGAAGGGAGTGCTTTTGAGAGGTCTGGGAACACTGTGTTACTGCTGTTGCTGCATTGGCCGTTTGTTCACAATGGGTTAATGAGCCCAGGGGATCCAACTGAGGGGTGACATCTGTTTCACTTCTAATAGTGCAAAGTTAATTACATAGTGACTGAAGGTAGTTTGGTATCATAAATATTACTGTAGTTTATTTTCCTGAATTGCGGCTTTAAATTTAGTCTCAACAAAAAATTCAGAATTATTAAAAGGATATGAGCATGGTGGCATATACCTATAGCCTAATATAGCTTAGCCATGGGGAAGATTTATTTTAATGCATGAAAAGATTTTATTTTTTCTTTTTATTTAGTCAATGTGTCATTCACATCATGCATCTTGATCCCATTCATTTCCCTGTCCCTTTGCATCCACCCTATGCCTCTGCAAGCCCTCCTCCCTAAAATAAAACAAAATTTAAGAGAAAAATGAAAGCATTAATAATCTCATCGAAGCTGCATTGTGACACAGTGTGTCACGTAGTAAATCCCTTTGTCCATGTATCTTTACTTGTGTTTGTTGCCAAGAGTCCTTGGTCTGGTTCGAAGCCTTTGGTTTCTGTAACACTATGCATGCTGGGTCCTCCCTGAGACTCCTCTTGGTTATCCTGCTGCCGTCCTGTGTGTGGAGATCCTGCAGCTTTGGGTCTGCAGGACCAGCCCCTTCATACGCTCTAGCAGCAGATCATAGATGGGGTGGGCTAACGCATAACCCTGGTTCTGGGCCTGGGCAGCTGCAGGGTTGGTCAGCCAGCCAGTTCTCCCCTGTTCTCACCACCAGGTGAGCTCTGCAGCGTCGCCCTGGTGAGTTTGCCCCTTGCAATGAGCAAGCTAGTTAGTCCTCCTGCTTTCATGCCCTCGGGGTTGGCTCTCCCCCACCTCCACCAGCAGGGCCAACTCTACTGTGTGGTCCCTGGAAGGTGCAGGGCCCGCCCTCCTGAGTGATGCAGCCAGTGAGGGACAGGGACAACCCTTCCACTCTTGTGACCCCAGGATCAGCTCCTTCACCTTTCTCAGGAGTTAATGAGGGGGCCATTTCTCCTCCACCCATGCCTCCAAACATCAGAGGAGTAATGGGACAGCTCTCTCTTGCAGCATTGGGCCTGGGTCACACACACCTCCAACCACAGGGCCAGCCCTGCTGTGCTGTCTAGGTGAGGAGCAGGGCCTGCAAGGGGGAGGGTGTACTGTTCATCTGTTGCAGGCTTAAGGGGCAGGGGGTGAGGGGGCTGGGATATCTCTCCCCCACCCACATCACCACATGACTGACAGTAGTGGAGACCGCTCTCACACACTTACAATTTTGGGACTGGCTCACTGAACACCTCTGCCAACGGGGTTGGCTCTATTGTGCAGGCCAGCCTAGGGGCGGGGCCTGATTTCCTGGGTGTTGCAGCCCATGGGGGCCAGGGACAGTTGAGGAATATTACTTGCCCTCAGGAGTGCTGTCCATCCTGAACAACATAACAAGGTCTAGTCTCAGAAGAGGGAGGACGGGAGGGAGGAGGGGAGAGAATTGTGATGTGTGAGTGGTTTAGAACGCTGAGAAGGCGAGCAGAGCTATACCCTTCACATTTCTTGGTTTTCTTTCTTTGCTTGTTTACTTTTGAGACAGTGTCCTGCTGGGTAGCCTAGGCTGGCATTGAACTCCCCCACATGCTGGGATTACAGGCATGGCTGGCCTCCTCTACAAATCTTTTACTTAAAAAAAAAAAGCATTCATTAGAAAATCGAATGCTTTTTTCAAGTACATATTTACTAATGGAATTCTTCTGGGGCAGGGTAACTTATCTAGAGCTCAAGTTAGTGTTCTCTGTTAGAACAGTTGTTAGAGCTGTTGATCTGATAGTCTGCAGTGAGAGTTCACACACTGCATGCTTGCAAGGTCATGTATGTAGCACTTAAAATGCTAGTGGTGACTGTGCCTGGTGATAATATGACGCACCTCATAGCTGGCTGAGTGAGTGAGTGAGTGAGTGAGTGAGTGAGTGAGTGAGTGAGTGAGTGAGTTCAGAAATGGGTGGATGGACGTGACTGCTCTCATACAACTTTATGGATAGTGACATTTGAATTTCATGTAATTCTCATGACATGAAATATGAAACCTTGTATCATAAAGACTGGTTCTGCCTTGGAACATTGTGAAGACATTCTGGCATTTACTCATTTTTAATTGTCATCACAACTTTTTCAGGAACATTCCAGATGTTGCACCTGTTGTAAGTGATCAGAAACCATCTGTGTCAAAGTCTGGACGGAAAATTAGAGGAAGAGGCACAATTGTACGTATGTTAGAACTTTTTTATTTCAAATTGCTTACCTAAATAGTAACTTTTTAAAATTTATTTTAAAGATCTGAGGTTTAGTTTTAGATAGATTATCTCTCCTGTCAGGTGGATCTCTGAGATTGAACCAGCCTGGTCTACAGAATAAGTCCAGGACAGCCAGGGCTACACAGAAAAACCCTTGTCTCCAAAGAAAAGAAAAAGAAAAAGACTTTTCTGCTTATTTAAGGAATTGTTTTTATTTCCCATAGTTTGAGAACATAGTCCCATTGCATACATTTACAGCTGTGGGTGGATTTAATTATTCAGTGATGTAATACGTGAAATAGTGTATTGAGAAATGTTAGTCTACTGAGTAATGGAGACTAGAATGTGTTAGGATGCAGAGGAAGCTATTATAGGATTCCAGGTAAATGTCTTGCCTTCCTTGCCTCTCCATGTCTTATATTTGAAGTAACTTCATACTATCCAGTTAATACTTAAATTGGTGCCTAGATTAGACTTTTGCCTGACTCTGCCCTACAAGCGGCATTCTTAGAACAGTCACTACCCTCTCTGTTTAAGCGCTATCACACACCTCCAAGGTCAAGATCCCGTTCTGAGTCCGAAGATGATGGCAGCAGTGAAACCCCCCCTCACTGGAAGGAGGAGATGCAGAGACTGAGAGCTTACAGGCCACCAAGTGGAGAAAAGTGGAGCAAAGGAGACAAGTAAGCACCTGGGCTGCCAACACCGCCTGGACGCAGAGCACTAAGTGCTGGAGAGTCAGGGTCTGACGTCCACAGTCAAGATGGGCAAAGGGAAAGCTAGGAGGAGGAGCCCTGCTGCCACCTGAGACTGAGGGTCTTGAGTCACGTCTGCTTCTCTTTGCTGTTAGTTTGAATGGACTCTTAATTGTGGAAGGGATCAGGTCTTAGACATTACTAGTAGATGTCCGATATCTATTAGTGCGTGGATTGGTAAATAGAGCCTGTACCGCATCTCTTGACTCCAAGGACTGTTTACATTAGCAGTAACAGTGGTGCCCTAAAGTGGAGTAGAGTAGTTGTCTGTTTCCAAAGGGCTCTGGCTTCAGAATAACTAGTCGGAAAGTAATTCTTCAAGGATGAATTATGTTTTTTCTGACGACATCGTAAGAGAATGATTTTGAATTGAAAGGACAAGGCAGGCAGCTGCTGTGTAGCAATAGCATGGACATGGTGGTGCTGAGGACGCTCATTGTGTAGCAATAGCATGGACATGGTGGTGCCGAGGACTCTCATTGTGTAGCAATAGCATGGATATGGTGGTGCCGAGGACTCTCACTTGTGAGCCTGTCTTTACCTGTTAAGATCATAAAGCTTTTGTCAGTTTTCATGCAGTTGTGTTTGGTTTCTGTTTAAGTTAATAGGATCTTAGGAGAAAGTGTTAATCACCACCATGAAGTGCAGAGAATGTAGTTGTTATTTCAATGTTGAAATAGGTTCCCACTAGGGACACCTCTGTGTTCATGTGATTTGCGTAATTAATATGGTCTCTGAAAGAAAGAGAACGCTGGCATAGTGATGTTTGCCTTCAGGGTCAGTGTTGGGGAGCAGAGGCAGGTGCATGAATCTTTGTGTCTTCAAGCCTGGTCTGCTTGCTGCTGCCAGACCAACTGGGGCTGTAGGCTGACATGTCTCAAAAAAATATTTTAAAAAAGAGAATTGGGCTGGAGAGATGGCTTAGTGGTTAGGAACACTGGCTGCTTTTCCAGAGGATCTAGTTTCAATTTCCTTGGGGGCCTGCTGGGTAGCAGTCTACTATGTTGATGAACCTAGGCCAGGGAGAGATTCTCTCAAAGAAATGAGTGTCCTAAGAATGGCACCTGAGGGCACCCTGCACACGTGTTCATACAAACACACATGTGCACACGGACTTTTTAAGAGAAAATTCTTTAAGAGGGAGTGGAGTTGAGGTTGGGTGTCCAGCGCTGTGGTAGAGTGCTTGCTCAGTGTGCATACAGTCCTGAACGATGTCCAGCACCACAGACACAAGTCGTACTAAGTCTGTCAGCAGAGACTCCTCAGCAAGGTGCTCTTGCAGGGAGGGGACTGTGAGCGGATGGTATTACTGGGAGTCGTGTGTCTCCAGGGACTCCGGTTAGTTGGTGTGGTTCCCACATGCATTCAGTCTGCTTCACCTAAAAACAGGAAGGTTCTTAAGAGTCTCATAATAGTTGTCATTGCTCTGGTTCATGTAAAAGTGTTGGGGTTGGGTACTCTGTGGTTAGTGAGAAGTGTGCTGTAAGACACAGAAGTGTTTGCAAATAACTGCATGTACATTATATCCCCACTCCCACCCCACTACAGGCTGAGTGACCCCTGTTCAAGCCGATGGGATGAAAGAAGCTTGTCCCAGAGATCCAGATCATGGTCCTATAATGGATACTATTCAGATCTTAGTACAGCAAGGCACTCTGATGGTCACCACAAGAAACGCAGAAAGGAAAAGAAGTTTAAGCATAAGAAAAAAGCTAAAAAGCAGAAACACTGTAGAAGACACAGACAGACGAAGAAGAGAAGACTAGTTGTGCCACCTGATTTGGGACCCTCGAGACCTTCCACCCACCGAAGGAAGTCCTCTTGTGATAGAGGAAGGAGATCCCGTGTCTCCTCCTCCTCTTCCTCTCATCACTCATCCAAGCGGGACTGGTCTAAATCAGACAAGGATGACCGGAGCTCTTCAACCCACTCCAGCAGAAACTCCTACAGATCCAAGTCTCATTCACGGTCTTATTCTAGAGGGAGCTCAAGATCAAGGGCTTTGTCAAAGTCCAGATCTAGTTCCAGGTCAGGGCACCGAAGAACAGCATCAAAATCACCAAAAAAGCCTGCTCAGTTGAGTGAAAATAAGCCAGTTAAGACAGAACCTTTAAGATCATCGGTACCACAGAATGGAAATGTGCTAATACAGCCAGTAGCCGCAGAGAACATTCCTGTAATACCTTTGAGTGACAGCCCTCCCCCTTCTCGGTGGAAGCCTGGCCAGAAGCCCTGGAAGCCCTCCTATGAGCGAATTCAGGAGATGAAGGCTAAAACAACCCACTTGCTGCCTGTGCAAAGCACATACAGTTTAACAAATATTAAAGAGACTAGAAGTTCATCATCCTATCATAAAAGGGAAAGAAATTCAGAAAGTGATGGGAGCACTTATTCAAAGTACAGTGATAGGAGTTCTGGGGGCTCAGGGAGGTCAGGGGGCAGGTCTTCTAGGAGCAGGTCATCCTCCAGATCATACACAAGGTCAAGGTCGCGAAGTCCACCTACTTCGAGATCACAGTCTAGGTCTCCTTCCTCTAGGTCGCGCTCACAAAACAAGTACAGTGGTGGCTCCCAGCCCAGCAGGTCGTCTTCATACACTTCTGTTAGTAGTGACGATGGGGGACGGCCCACAAGGACACGTAGATCCAGGGGGGGGAAAAGTGTCACTGTAAATAGAAGACACTGCAGCAGCTCGAAAAAGATTGTTCACAGTAAGTATGTTAAAGGCAGAGAGAAGTCATGTCATAGGAAATACAGTGAAAGCAGGTCGTCTTTAGATTACTCTTCAGCCAGTGAACAGTCACATGTTCAAGGTGTGCACTCAACCCCCGAGAAGAAGCAGGGGAAAATAGAAGTATTGAATGATAAGCAAGGGAAAAACAGAGAAGAAGGAAAGTCCAAGCTTGAATGGGAAAAGAGAGCTTTGAAAGAGAGTCTTTCTGATCACCCTAGAGATGGCAGTAAGTCCAGAAGGAAGCATTGTGCTGGAAGCAAGTGGGACTCTGAATCAAACTCGGAACAAGATGTGGCTAAGAAGAGGAAAAGTGTTCCTCGGAGATGCTCGGATAAAGAGGAGGGCGAAGCCTCTTCAGACTCCGAGTCAGAAGTTGGTCAGAGTCACCTCAAACCCCCAGCAAAGTCTTCAGGAAACACTTCTCTGCCTGACAGTAACAGTGCCTGGAAGTCTAGGAGACCACAGTCTTCCGCCTCTGAGTCAGAGGGCTCCTGCTTCAGCTTGAGAAGCATTAGAGCGGAGCCCCAGAAGCAAAAATGCCCAAAGGACAGTCTTAAAGGGGATCACAGGAAAAAGGTGAGAGAGAAACCGAAAGCCAAAAAAGACAAAAAACACAGGGCGCCAAAACGGAAGCAAGCCTTTCGTTGGCAGCCTCCACTAGAGTTTGGTGACGAGGAGGAGGAGGAGGTGAGCGGGAAGCAAGTTACACAGGGGCCGAAAGAGAAGTGTGAGGCCGGGAAAGACACTGTTCCTAAGGTAGAGGGGACCTGTGATGAAGGTGGCTGTCCCAGCAAGCCTAAGAAGGGGGCTTCAGAGCATGACCTGCTTGCGGAGGGTGACCGCAATCCCAGCCCTTGCCCTGCACCTCTGAAAGCGGAAGAAAATGCCACCAGCTCTCCCCCTAGCACCCAGCACGTTGAAGAGCATGTCCCAGGTGGAGGGGAGGACGTGCTTCAGACAGATGACAATATGGAAATTTGCACTCCTGATAGGAGTTCCCCTGCAAAGGGGGAGGGGGTGTCCCCATTAGCAAACCACAGAATGGACAGCCCAGAGGTGAGCATTATTCCTGAGCACCTTGAGCTCATGGCACAGTCCAGAGCAGGAGGGAAACGAGACAGCATTGTGCCTGACAGTAAAACCTCAAATGAAGGTGGGAAACAGGACAGCTCTGCCAGCCTGGCCAGTCCTGTAGAAATTGCTGGAAAGAAGGATGGGGCTGAGAAAAGCCAGATGAACCTCACAGATAAGTGGAAGCCACTGCAAGGTGTAGGAAATCTGGCAGTGCCTACTGCAACCACAGCCAGTGCTCTGGATGTGAAGCCATTGGCTCCTGTGCCTGAAGTGAAGCCACAAGGCTTGAGAATAGAAATCAAAAGCAAAAATAAAGTTCGGCCCGGGTCTCTCTTTGATGAAGTAAGAAAGACAGCACGCCTGAACCGTAGGCCACGGAATCAAGAGAGTTCCAGTGATGAGCAGACACCTAGTCGGGATGGTAATAGCCAGTCCAGGAGTCCACACAGATCTCGAAGTAAATCTGAAACCAAATCTAGACACAGAACAAGGTCTGTCTCCTATAGTCACTCAAGAAGCCGATCTAGAAGTTCCACATCATCTTACCGGTAAGAAACATTCACACACACCCATGTCGTTTAGCTCAGAAGAACATAAGTGTGATCTCTGTTTCCAAATATCTGACAAGAGAATAAGGAGCATATAGAGGACATAGATAGGGAATGGGCATTTCAGAAAAGAAATTTGAGCTCATTGTTATCTGTAGTTTTATACTTGGACAATGAAAGCTCTCTTGCCATGGCTGGTGACGGGTTCTCCATAGTTAAGGGTGTGAAGTAGCTGGCTTTCAGCAAAATCTGCAGGTGTAGGGATTGTTGACCTGATCCCCTTACACGTGTGGGAGATGCGTGCCCTGGAGGCCCAGTTGCTACGTAAAGCACAGCTCAGTTAGTTTGTGGTCACATTCAAACCTTTAAGTTGTCACCCAGGGTATCAGGGTAGACTGAGGGTCCAAAGAGTGAGAGTGACAACTAAGAAAAGGGGAGGTCCCGGTAGCAGGAAAAAATTACAGTCATGAGCATGCAGATATGCTATTGCAGTCTCTTGTGGCTTTAGTGTCATTGCGTGGTTAAGCCATGGTGGCTTCTGGACAGCTGTCTTTGCAGTGCATGCCTGTGAGAGACTTTACCCTGCTTTTACTTACCCCTGCCCCCACTGTTCACCCCATCTGTGGGAATGCACACATTGCATGCTTTCTTACCCATGTCCATTGTAGATCAAGAAGCTACTCGAGAAGCCGGAGCAGAGGTTGGTACAGCAGAGGCCGAACCCGCAGCCGGAGTAGTTCCTATGGAAGTTTCCATAGCCACAGGTAAGCCGTGGACTCGGCCTGAGGTGTGGAGCCCTTCTGGGACAGAGCAGGACAGCTGCCCATCTGATCTGACTGTCGTGCAGCTCTTTGAGAGCTCTGGAGTGTTTCCTGCTGCTTCTGCCTCCTCCATACATAGATGTCACTGAGGGTTACAAGCACAGGCCCCTCTTGTCTTATGTAGGGTTAAAACAGGGTTATAGTGAGGAGACGAGAGAAAAGTGTGTGCTAGGGAGCAGGCGTGCATTTTTACTTCCTAGCTGCTTCTCCCTTTAGCTGCTGTGACTGCTCATGTAAATGGCCCTTTTCCCTTTCTACCCCGCTGAGAATCTCCCCAGGAAACTTCATAAACTTTAACCTTGTGAAATACAAAGGGTTTAAAAGGAAAATCCAATACACTTGTGATAAAAACAAAATAGTTAAAAGACTTCACTGCATTTTCACTTTGATGGGCAAAAAATGTCTAGATTGCTAATGTGACCTGTGCCCCAATCCATGCACAAGGTGACAGTCCCTCCTGTGGTTCATACTAGGACATCCAGCAGGAGCAGGTCCAGGAGCAGCTCCTATGACCCCCACAGTCGCTCCAGGTAAGTGTCAGCCCTAGTGCGCTGGGGGTGGGGGGCTCGCTTGAGGTGCTGGGGCTTGATCTCAGGGCCTAAGCACAATACACACTTGTCTTCTGTCATTAAGCTTACCTCCCAGCCTAAGTATTGGTGTTTTAAATAAATAACTTAAACACATGTTCACCATCTGAAATCACACTCTTCAAAAATGAGACCTATCTGTGGCCCATTGTGCAACAGTGTCAAATTGTAATGGCAGGTGCTTGTTGAATTGATTGCCTAATAAGATCCAGATTCAGACAAACTAACTCAGTGTTAATTTTGTGATATTTTTCAATGCAGAAAAGAAATTAACATTTTTCTCTTTAACATGGTAAGTTCAACTGGGGGCAATTGCTGGATGTTTCTAGAACTTCTTATGCAACCTCCATAGAGTGCCCGTGTGAGCTAGCACCCTCTGACACCCCTAAAAAGGAGGCTTTCCATATTTGAGTGAGAAAATTTAGTGTGTTGTTTCTGTTTAAACAGATCGTACACGTATGATAGCTACTACAGCCGGAGTCGCAGCCACAGCCGCAGCCAGAGGAGTGACAGTTACCATCGAGGGAGAAATTACAGCAGGCGGTCCAGGTGGGTCCTGTTGTAGAGCATTGCAAGAGGCTGAGCACTTGGTGCAAGTGGCCATCAGTGCAGCCCTTCCTTTCTTCTTGAATCTCATTGGCCAGCTATTAAATGTGGCTCTGGCACTAAGAGTTGCCAGGTAATAGTTGTTAGTTATTATTTTATAGTTGAAACTAAAATGGTTTTCACAGACTCACGCAGCTTTGAGCAGACACTTCTTGTGGAGGAGGAGTAAGGAGAAGACCAGGTCATGGCTCACGTGTGAAAGTCGGGCTAATTCACCAGGATGGCCACTTGGTCATTTTATTGATCATAATTATTTGTTTCAACAGCAGGGCTGATGATTATATTGTGTCATTTATTTATTAAGATGTAAGCCTTTATAACACTTTTGTTGTCCATCACTGGTGGCTACTGTCATCCTCCCTCATCTGTTGCAAGCCCACAAACACGCCCTTCCTTGAACTGTTTCAGGGGATGTCAGCTGTCTTCCACATGTCCAGGAGCCTTGGCACTCAATGTACATGAGCCGCTCTGTTGCACGCACTCTTTCCCTCCAGCCTAGTTCCACAGCCGCGTCAGCCCCAATTCTATAATTACATTAATTATGAAACTGTTGGCCGTTGGCTAGGGTTCCTTATTGGTTAGCTCTGTCTTAATTATTGACCCGTTTCTATTAATCTGAGTATTTCCATGTGGTCTTACCTTACCAGAAAAGGGTCCAGACCTTTTACTCCTTTGCAGTCTACATGGCGACTGCTAAGTGTCTCCTCAGAGAAGAGAACAATTTCCTGTTTGTTCCTGCTTATAACCTGATTCTGCCCAGCTACGTCACTTCCTGTCTGGCCAGTCAGTGTTTTATTCATTAACCAATAAGAGAAACATATATACAAAAGAACATTCTCCCATCACTCCTCCTCTTACCAGCTCCGGTTCCAACTCTGACTTCCATCCTATAATGTTCTAGAACCTTCTGCTAAGAAATACAAGTGCCATATCCACCATTTCCTTTATTTGTGTCTTAAAGTGAGCATGTACCGTCCCCCACCATCCCCTGCTTTCCAGTCAGTCTCCACTGCCGCCCAGTGTCCTGGGCACCCGCATCCGGCTGCCAACGCTGAGGTGCATTCTTGCCTGGATGAACCTCCCTACCTGTCCACTGTCCTGTGCTGCCCTTGAGCCCTTAGGCTTTGTCTGCTCGTTTGTGGTGGGATGATGCCTACCACGCCTACATGTCAATTAGCTCTCAGAAAATACCCTTAAATGAACTGAATGATGACCATAACCAAACCCATTTGCCAGGATCCTAATGGTTTTGTTCAGGCAAACCCACGCCCTTAGCGCCTCCTGCTTCAGTCTAGTGTTGGCACTCACTGGGACGTAGTAGAGGAGGGTTTGCTTATTTTTACGAATGGATTCCAAGTAAATTTAAAAGTAAAACCTCGCGGTCTTGAGGTTTCTTTGTTATCTTAACCTTGGTTTTGCTACCATTTGCCATTTAAAGCATCCTTGAGAAGCCCATAGTGTCGCCATAGTTAGAGCCCAAATAATAGGCATTAAAGGCTTTTGTGTTGTGTTTTTTTTTGTTTGTTTGTTTGTTTTTTTTGTTTTTGTTTTTTTTTGTTGTTGTTGTTGTTATCCAGGAGCGGTAGATCCTATGGTTCGGACAGTGAAAGTGATAGAAGTTACTCTCATCACCGGAGCCCCAGTGAGAGCAGCAGATACAGCTAAAGCAGCTTTGTACACAGATTGTATCTTAATTGTAAATACCTGGTAACTTAAAGCTGAAGAAACTGGATGGCAGTCTGTTGTGTTTCAGTATTAGAGCTCAAATCCAACAGTGGATATTTCTTGTCACTTATTTACATGTGTGCGGAAGAATTTAAAGCACAGATGTCAACTAGAAATATTTTTATGTCCCATTTTACAGTAGACAACTATGGAATTTTCATTTTCTTGAATCAAGAAATGGTGAAATTGGTGTAAGTATAATTTGCAGTGTTACTTTAGGTAAGAGTTTTTCTGTAGCTCACATAGTCCATAGAATTCAGGTTTGTCAGTGTTTTCAGGTTTTAGCATCTATGCTGCCAAACAATTGTGAAGAGCTGTCACAAGCCCCGTGTCCCCGTGCCGGTCATAGTCTTGTGTGTGTGTGCTGTCAAATCAGGCCATCCGCGTCATATTGACCGGCCAGGTGTGCATGGTGGTGGCTCCTGCCGCCATGGCTGCCTTTGCACAGAGCCTGTCAGAGACTCAGATGGTGGTTGCTGCTCCCCAGCTCCCTCCCGCCTTGGTGCTTGGTGCCTTTGGTTCCTCTTGCACCTTACTTCATGTGCTACACGTCCTGCTGCCAGAAGAGAGAATCATGGCTTGTTTTTAAATTCACTGGCACCGAATTTTATTTCCTCTGAGCTGGGCTCACTGGGTGTAGGGGCTTCCTCCAAACAGGTACCTGTTGGAGGTCAGTTGGAACAGAGCCTGTGAGGTTGGCACATGTGTGCCAGAAGAGCCCGCTGAAGAGTGGACTTCAGAAACAACTCCACAGTCTTTAATTTCCACACTCAAGAGACATTTTGGCAAGCAAAGCTTTGCTCTCACACTGTGGCAACAACCAGCCTTTTCCCTGTTTGTGTTGAGACCCCAGTGACTCCGTGAAGCCAAGCCTGACCGGAGAGAACCCAGGACAAGAGTTGGGGCAGGAGGATCACAGGCTGCTGCACAGATGTTCTTGTGGCTTTTCGTGGTTCCTCCAAAATAACTGAGCCTGTAGAAACTAGTTTGGGTTTGTTTCTTGGTTTTACTCTTCAGTTTGCATTCTTTCCCCCAAGTGTACTTAATCACCTTAGTGCCGGTTTAATCCCGTTCACAGAAGGAACTCCGTATGTGGTGTGGATGTCTATACCATCCAACTCCAGGCCTTGCTGATATATGAGGGAAGAGAAAAGCCTCGACCTGGAGGAGCTTACAGCCTGGCCCAACAGAGGGAGGCACTGGATGTGTGAAAATGGTCTTCAGGGCCATGTGGCATGGCTCAGAGTTAGAATAGCATACAATGATGCTCTGAGTTCGTGACCAGCACCCCAAAATAAATAATGCTGTCACCCTATGAGGTGACTAACAATTGTTCAGCATGCCAGGAAATACAAGTTCATCGGAGAACATGAGGAGTCAGTGCTTGCTGGTGAAGAGTAAATGTGGTTTATAGTGGGGCTTTTTTTCCTAAAAGTTTCTTGCAAACAAGATGTTTAATCTACTAGCTGATGAGAAGAATGCATTCAGAGCCCCAACAGACTGCCAAATGGAATTAGTAAGGAAAGGTCACTGTTGGGCAATGTGTTGTTTTGTAGCTGTATGACAAGTTATCCCAAATTTCTCAGCCTAAAATAGTGCCCATGCAGCATTGACTATTAATTTTGTAGTCCTTGGTTGACTTCACTGCTCAGGGCCTCAAGACTGTGACTCAGTGCTGAGAGGGTGTGTTCCTCATGAAGACTCGGGAGGTGTGACTTTCTTGTAGACTGTCAACCTGGGTCCCTCTAGGCTCCTTGGAGGCTGCCCACATCCCTCTTCAACAGGGTTCCTTTGAGTCTTTGTCTTTTTTCAAAACCTCTGCCTTCCTCCTGTTTCAAGGGTCCATGTGACTAGATCAGACAAGATCAGAGCGCAGTCCCTATCTGTAGTCCAGTGGCCAGAGGAGTTACGGGCATTGGCAGGGTTCTGGGGGTCGGCATAGGAAGAGACAGGGCATGCCACCTGCTGCTGCCACCATGGACAGGGCTTAACCTGTCCAGCACAGGCTGTCATTCTCAGCATTGTCCGCCTGGCTGTTTATATTCAAGTGAACAACAGAAATGACTTTTCTTCCTAACCAGGATCATTCTGTATTTTGAAGTTATTTTTTTAATAAAATTAAATTATGTTGTGTAATGTGCTTAATAGAAATGCTTTATTGGACAGTTTTGTAACATCCTGTTTACTGCAAATGGCATAGTTGATATTGTCAATGTAGAAAATACTTTTGTACATACTAGCAGTGCTTCATTTGTATATACCAATTAAATTCCCCTACAACTTGAAAAGGGTTTTGTAGAAATGAAAGTGCATGCTGAGTCTGTGCCGACTGGTCTGTGCTTGCTCAGACTCCGCGGTGAGTCTCTGTTGGAGCAGGTCAGCGGTGTAGGAGTGGGGCCAGGGAAAGCCGGGCAGAAACAGCACCTGCTCAGGTGGGTGCAGCTCCAGCTGCCATGTTCCTCGGCCTTGGAGCAAGTCACTACTGAGTGTCCGTTGCCATCCACCTCTGAGCGAGACCACAGTGATAAACATACGGGTGAGGATCTGCCAGGCAAGTAAGCGAGCCCTGGAACCTGACTGCTTGTTTGCAGCTTACTTGAATGTTCTAAATAGTTGTCCTTCCAAGTTGGGCAACTGAAAATTGTCAAATCTGGATGATTTCCTTTAAAACTTAAAGAAAATGCCAGGTGTGGTACACATCTTAAAACCCAGCTTTCAGCACAGGCAGGTCTCTGAGAGTTCAAGGCCAGCCAGGACTGAACAACAGTAAGACTGTCTCAAAAAAATACATTAAGTAAAATTTAAAATTTTCTAGGTTTGGCCTCAGAAATCTATGTAATCCCAGCACTTGGAAGATGGAGACAGGAGGATCCATTAGGCCAACCTGGGCTGTACGAGACGCTGTTTCTCGCGCTCGAGATGGGGAGGATACTAGGGAAGTCTCCTGTGGTGCTTACAGAGTTCAAATAACTTTATTCTCAACTGGTAAGAGCTTGCTTGGTGAGCTGGACAGTACTGGGACATTGCCAGAGGCTTTGGCCTCACTTTCTGAGTTAAGTGGACACTAGCTGTCCCCAGTGTCCTAGGAGGGATGTGTAAAAGAGCTAGGATGTGGGGCTGGATGGGGCTCAGAGGTTAAGAGGACCCAGGTTCAATTCTCAGCACCACATGGCAGCTCACAACTGTAACTCCAAGATTTGACCCCCTCACATGGACATATATATGAAGGCAAAGCACCCATAAATTTTAATCTTAAAAAATTGGCACGGGGGCCAGGTGGTGGTGTCGCACGCCTTTAATCCCAGCACTTGGGAGGCAGGGGCAGGCAGATCTTGAACTACAAAACGGAGAGTTCCAGGATAGCCAGAGCTATTATACAGAGAAACACTATCTCAAAACAAAAAAGTTGGCACAGGTCACAATGTCTTGGCTGAGACAAATTGTTGGTTGCTGCTGTCCCTCAGGAGTCTGGAATCCCCCAGACCACAGCAGACTGCATTCATTCCTCTGAGGCCTGGGCCTGTCAGTGCTCCTGCTGGTTTCCTCAGCACCACACCACATACACGCCTTAAGACCCAACCCCATAGCCTGGACTGACGAACTTTGAGGACACCAAGGTAAAAATGGAAAGGGCCAGGACTGTGCCTGTGTCCACTGATCCCGGACCTTGACATGTCTGCTGCCCACGTGACAGACAGATTCTGAGAACCCCTGTCTCTGGGTTGATGAGCCCAGGGGATGCATGTGGTTCAGCCTTTCTGCACTGGCCTTAAGAGGAGTCCGCCTCCTTGCAGGCTACAGAGTAGACTACACAGAACGGTCACTCTAGTCAGGACCCCTAGCTCTGTGAGCAGCTGTGATGCATTGCCCTTGACATGTCTGCTGCTTCTCACTGGAGGTGGAGGTGTCTACAAGACACAGAGCCTCTCAGGGTTGTGCAGGACTAGGGTCTGGCAGCCTTCTAGAAGCTACCAGGAGGGAGGCGCTCTCTAAGGCCCTGAGTTGGTGTGGGAAAGGGAACCTGCTGTTTTGCATTAGGGCTCCCGCTGGTGCAGCTGTGGCCCATTAGTGCTAGGCTCAGCAGCCAGAGCTCAGGCAGATGGAGGAGGCCCCACACCGCAGAGACAGGCCAGGCCAGGCCGCTGCTGCCCTCCCTCCAGCCTGCACCACCCCACGTGCTACCTGACCTGCATTCCCATGTTACCTGTTTAGCTTAGCTTCCCCAACCAAGCACAGGGAACCCCAAGCAGTTGGGGCTGTCTCCCTGCTCTCACAAGTTAAGTTTTGGACTGGAGTCACCCAGCTTCAGGGGTCTAAAGCACAGGCCTCTGTCCTATGGTGGGAGTGGGGGTGGGTGCTCCCTTGCCTTAGCCGAGACCATCACCCAAAGGGCCAGCATCCTTCCTGTGGTCAGGCTGGCCACTGCCCAGCTCCCAGCCTCCTGGCACAGGGTTCTGTCTTGTGTGTCTCGTCTCCCTCTGGGACTCTGTCCATCCCACCCCAGGTCAGTGCAGCAGTCCATTCTGAGTCAGAAGAGAAACGGAGGTTGGAAGGGACAGGAAGCACCCTGGTAACGGGCAGCTGCGCGGCTTCAGCCTAGAACACCCGGAGCTCAGCCAGGCATCCGTACCTTCGTGCGGCAAGCAGCTTGCTTCCCCCGGCTCCAGGGCATGTCCTGCTCAGATGGAGAGGGCCTTCCTCTGTCCCCACCTGACTCAGCCTCCCTGGCCCAGTGTCCTGGTGGGAGGCACTTGCATTCTTAGGGGTCAGCTATTTGATGACTCCCGTCTGGCTCTAAAGAGCCACAGCCCCCTGCCCACCATGAGAAAGGCATATACCCAGGGAGACTTGTGACTGGAGTGGCGTGGCCGGGCTGGAGCAGTGCTGGGAGAGCGACTTGGCTGAACGGCGACGCCGGGTAGGGGTGCGGGGAGTCCGGAGGAGAGACCACGGTGGTAGCCCGTGGTCCCGCCCTGCCGCCGCTCAGACTGGCAGCGTTCCTTCGCTGCCTCCTGCCAGCACAGCCAGCCCCCTGCCCCCACGGAGCCGGTGCCAGAGCAGCATTCCGCAAGCCGGGCTGCATCTCCCCAGCGGAGGCTGCGCGGAGAGGCCACTCGGCCGGGCCTGGGCCTCTGGCCCCGCACCCGGCTGTCCGGGGCAGATCCTCTGAAAGGCTTCCCCTCGCTGCGGCGGCTCGGAGGCCCCGCGCAGCCAAAGGCCCCCAGGTAGGTCCCGGAGATGCAGAGAAAACGCGTGGGAGGCCGGAGCAGCGGGGGACCCCAGACTCACCCCCAAGACGGAGCAGCCGGGGCCGCGGGGCGGGTGGTGAGCGTGGCTGGGGTGCGGGGCTCGGACCCTCGCGTCTCCCGGCTCCCGGGAGCAGGTGGGTCGGGGGCCGGCGCGCCCAGCTCTGACCTCACGCCTACCCCGGCCCCGCCCCCGTAGAGCAGCGGGAGGACACACAGGGTTAGACTCCCGGACGAACTTCCCCGCAGAGGGGGCTCAGCGCGGGAGGGTGGGGTCGCGCGGTTCAAACGCTACCACGTCGGCGGCCGGCCCGGCCCGGCCCGGCGACCCCGAGCCTCTCGGCGGGGCAGCGGCCTCGGGACGGCGCGCAGTACGCGCGTCCGCGCCCCTAGCCCGCACGCAGGGCGGCCTGGCCCTTTAAGCGGCCAGACGGCGGCCCCAGCTGACGCGCGGGCTCCAATCGGCGCCCCGCGCCCCCCGCCCGCCGCGCCCGAGGCTCCCGGGCCGCAGCTGCTCGGCCGGGACTCGCCGCGGCCCTGCGCCTCCGCCCGCCAGCCCGCCCGCCCGGCCGCGCCCCCGGGGCCATGGTCGCGGGGGCGGCCCCCAGTGCGGCGCTTCATGGGGCGGCCCGGGCCCGGCCGCCGGGGGCAGCGCGATCCTGCGGGGCCCTGTGAGCTCCCAGCGCCGCGGCACCATGGTACGCAGGGCCCTGCCTGTCCCCCCGCTTATCCGCCCACCTGCGAGCGCCGCCTTTCGGAGCGCAGGGTCCCGCGGGACCCGGCACGGGCGCTGGAGCGACCTGGCCCCTCCCCCGGGGGTCCCGGACCCTCCGCGCCGGGTGTCCGCAGGCCGGGAGTGCGGCGGGGCGGCGCGGCTAGGGGTTGAAATTCCTGGGGTGGGGGTGCGGGCGCGAAAGGCCGAGGTCTTGCTGCGCGCGGGCGGAGGGGGGCGCTTCTCTGCGCCCGGACGGCGCCGCCCCGGGGCTGGTAATGAGGGGGGGGAAAGGGGGGAATCGGATTCCCGCCCAGGCCTCGGGCCACGTGGGCGCCGCAGCGGCCCTGCTTGGGACTGCTCGCACCAAGGGCGGGGGGCGCCCACAGCCCGAGTGGAAACTCCTGTGTGACCTTGGGCCAGTCCCCTGCTGTCTCTGAGCCAGGCCTCTCCAAAGAAAAGCATTCAGAAGTCACGAGCCCGTACCCCTGCTCCACGCTGGGCTCTCCCACGCTGCCCAGGGGAGGCCGGATGCTTGGCTGTCCCCAGGTCACACCAGATGGCCCTCAGGACTCAGGCTTAGTGGCCTCTGCAGGTGTCCCCCCGAGGGGAGGGCTGCTGCTGGAGCTGGCACAGCCAGGTGGAGAGAGGCCTCCTCAGCTTCAGCGAGCAGAAGCATCTGGCCAGAGACCCACAGCTGCGGGCACTGCGTGGGAGGGGCCGTGCCCACAGCTGGGCCCGGCCCCTTGGCTGGCCGTGTTAGGCTAGGGACCCGCTTTAAAATGCATGGGTTCCTGCCAGGCTCAAGTTGTCCTTTCCAAGCAGGTGGGACCTGGGGGTGGGGGTCTGTAAAGGAAGAAGAGGCGCCCCAGGCGTGGGGTCTGTGGTATGCAGGCCCTTCCGGCCCATCCATCCATCCCCCCAGTAGTGCTGGCTGGTGGGTCGCCTGCAGGTGCAGTGGCTGGGGAGGGCGTGGTGACCGTGTGTAGATGCCCAAATGGCCCACAGACCCCACACCTCCAACCCACCTCACTTTCAGAACCCGCTAAGCCCCCTGACAGTGAGGAGTGCCCCAGCCGGAATGAAGGGGTACCCAGGCAGGGCAGGCCGGCCACAGCTCCACAGGGCAATGCCTCCCTGGGCCTCAGTTTCTCCATCTGTACCGCAGGAACTGGTCCCAGAGGGTGAATCAGAGTGAGTCAGAGGAGAGGCTCGGGCGGGGCTCCATGCCACGTCCCAGCTGGATGGACCAGCAGTTCTGGGGTAGAGCCAAAGATGGGTGGGTGTCTCTTGGATGGTGGAGGGAGCTTGAGGAAGGTGACGGCCGCTGTCGGCCAGAGCTGAGGACGTAGTAGGCATGACATAGGCTGCCCTCTGGGAGGGCAAAGTTCTCAAGGCTCCCTGTAGGCCGACAAGGGGGCTGAGGTCCACCCACTGCTGACGGGAGAGTGGGCTGACGGTGCAGTTTCACCCTTGGACCTCTGAGGAAGAGGTGGTGGGCTTGTGTCCCCCACCGGGACAAATCGGCACTCGGACGTGGCAAGCTTTTCCCTTGCCAGGCAGAACCCAAGGAGCAGCCGGTGCTGGTCTGTGTGGGGCTGGACCAACCAGTGTCCTCTGCTGAGCCCCAGACCCTAAGCAAACGAAAGACAGGCCAGTCTCTGTCACCCAACTTCTGGGAGTCCGCCGGCAGTCCGACGGTCCAGTGGTCTCTGAGGTTCCCAGGGCTCTCCAGGAGGCATGGCCTCCAAGACAGAGTCATCTCGGAGCTTCTAAGCCAGGGCATACCCCAGCCACAATGAGGTGTTCTTTTGAGCATGGTGAACAGAGAACACAGCCCATCCTCTCCCCTGGGGCCCTAGGTGCAAGGAGCTGCTGTGGCCAGGGGTGGCAGGGGACCCACACGTTGTCGTCCGTGACCCTGAAGGCCTTTGCTGGCCTCTGTCTAAGTGTATCCCCCCCCAGATGCAGCCCCGGGGGCTGTGGCGGAAGCCGGGTTCCTTGCTTTCTGGTCGTGCACCGTCGGGCAAACTCTTTTTCCATCAGTGTGGCGGGACGGTGAGGACACACGGAGGGACAGGTGGAACCCAGGAGGGACACAGTGAATAAGGATCTTGGGGTGACCCCTGGTCCTCCGGGACTTGGGCTTTTGAGAAAGCCCCACATCCCAAGAAGCTCCAGGTTCCCTGCCTGTCTGGACGGGTGGTTCTCACGGCCCCTGTGCCTTCCCTTCTGTGTGCGACTGTCCTGTGTGTGCATGGAAGAGCTAAGGGAGGAGGCCCAGAGAGGCCCTAGGAGCAGCTGTCCCTGCCGTGCCCCTGGCGCGCGCGCACACACACACACACGCCCGCGCACCCTGTGAATGGGTCAGACCATTTCTTCTGACGGCACCTCCCACATTGTGGGGGGCAGGGGTGGGCAGTGTCTGGCCCCCCCTCGCCTCACCTTCCTGTGTCCTGTCCCCACAGTTGCTGGTTGAGAAGACTACAGACTCCCCGGCGGCAGAGTTCTCGCTGGTGGAGGACGTGGCCCTGCACTTCGCCTGCTTGATGGGCCGCCTGAACGAGCAGCGCCTCTTCCAGCCGGACCTGTGCGACGTGGACCTGGTGCTGGTGCCGCAGCGCAGCGTGTTCCCGGCGCACAAGGGCGTGCTGGCCGCCTACAGCCAATTCTTCCACTCGCTCTTCACGCAGAACAAGCAGCTGCAGCGGGTCGAGCTGTCCCTCGAGGCATTGGCGCCCGGTGGCCTGCAGCAGATCCTGAACTTCATATACACGTCCAAGCTGCTGGTGAACGCGGCCAACGTGCACGAAGTCCTCAGTGCGGCCTCGCTGCTGCAGATGGCCGACATCGCCGCCTCCTGCCAGGAGCTGCTGGACGCTCGGTCCCTGGCGCCCTCGGGCCCCGTGGCCCTGGCGCAGCCGGCTGCCAGCTGTGCCCCAGTACCTCCGCCACCCTACTACTGTGACATCAAACAGGAAGCAGACACCCCGGGCCTACCCAAGATCTATGCCCGAGAGGGCCCTGACCCCTACTCTGTGCGCGTGGAGGACGGGGCAGGGACCGCTGGGGACCCCGCTGCTCCTGGGCCGGCGGCGCAGCCGCTCCTCTTCAAGGAGGAGAAGGAAGGGGCCCCTGAGGAGCCCGAGGCCCCCGGTAGCCTGTGCAAGCTAGAAAGTGGAGAGGGTCTGGAGCCAGGGTTGGGTGCCTCGGGCACCTATGGGCGCCAGGAGCAGTCACAGATCATCGTGGAGGTGAACCTCAATAACCAAACCCTGCATGTGTCCACGGGGCCCGAGGGCAAGGCGGGCTCTGGGGCCACTGTGGTCCTGGGCCAGGAGGATGGCATGCAGGGACACTCGGAAGGAGAGGGGGAGGAGGGAGGAGGGAGTGCAGGAGGAGAGGAGGAGGAGGAGGGAGAGGAGGAGGAGGAGGGAGAGGGAGGCAGCCAGGGAGAGGAGGAAGATGAGGAAGGGCCCAGCGAGCAGGAGGATGAAGATGAAGAGGGCGGGCCCAGTGAGCAGGATGCAGAGAGTTCGGAGGGGGAGGGGGAGGCGGAGGGCAGGCAGGACCCCGCGGGTCCTGCGGGGTGTCAGGGCAGCCAGGAGGACCCTCCAGTGCACGGCCGCATGTCCACACGGTCCCGGGGACAGAGCGCTCAGCGCCGAGCCACTCCGGAGCCGGAGGAGGCCGGGCGCAGAGGAGGAGGAGGAGGGAAGAGGCCCAAGCCCTCTGGAGCCGTTCCTGCAGCCCAGGCAGCTGATGGGCTGGGGGCCAAGGTGAAGCTGGAGGAGAAGCAGCAGCACCCATGCCAGAAGTGCCCTCGGGTCTTCAACAACCGCTGGTACCTGGAGAAGCACATGAACGTGACCCACAGCCGCATGCAGATCTGCGGCCAGTGCGGGAAGCGCTTCCTGCTGGAGAGTGAGCTGCAGCTGCACCGCCAGACGGACTGCGAGCGCAGCATCCAGGTGAGACAAACAGGCTGCCTGCCCAGATGGTCCCAGGGCCGGGCCGGGCAGCACCCAGGTGAGACAGGCTGCCCAGATGGTCCCAGGGCTGGGCCGGGCAGCGTCCAGGTGAGACAGACTGCCCAGATGGTCCCAGGGCTGGGCCGGGCAGTGTCCAGGTGAGACAGACTGCCCAGATGGTCCCAGGGCCAGGCAGCACCCAGGTGAGACAGGTTGCCCAGATGGTCCCAGGGTCCCAGGCTTGCTCTAAAAGGTGGAGCTGGGCTCTGGCCCACAGAATCAGAGGATGTGGCAGCACTCTTCCTTACCAGAGGGACAAGGGCAGCAAGGCTGTGTGTTGGCAGAGTGGAAAGTTATCTGAATGCATGAGGTCGACAGTTGGAGCTGGGGAGGGATGTGTCTCTTAACAAATCCGGAGCCCAGGGCTGCCTGTGCTCGCACGCTGCACGAAAGGGAAGGGGCTTGCCTGGAGAGGGCGGCAGCCTCCGCTCCCCCTAAGGTCCCTGTGTAGAGCAGTAGGTAGCCCATCAGGAGGAAGGCCCCTGCGTTCAACTCCGTGGAGGTGCCAGCTACCTGGAGGAAAAAGACTGGATGAGAAATTTGGAAAGAACTGTGTGTGGGCGTGGGGGGTGCTTGAATGACTGCCAGGCCTTGGGCCAACCTGCATCTGTCTGAGCACACCCCAGCATGCGCACACACACACACACACACACACACACACACACACACACACACACACACACACACACACACACACACGGCCAGCTAATTTTCTGCCCCAGGAGGGGGGAAAAATGGCCACAGGTAAGTGGGTGTTAATTACCTGAACTAATTGCTAACTGTGATGCCAGTGGGGAAGGTGTGACCTGGTGACCTGCCCATCCCCCACTCTGTGCACCTGCTTCCCGCCCCTGGGCTGTTTCTCAGCTATTCCTGCTGCATCCTAAGTCACCCCAAGGGTGACTTACGCCTTTATTCCTTCCTGCCAAGCCTGTGGCAGCCTCCTGCCTCTCGGGCTCCCCTGGGATGATCAGGACAAGGAAGGGTTCAGGAGAGCCCCCCTCAATCCACCCAGCCTTCACTGCCTGGAAAGGCGTAAGCTAGGGGGGGATCCTGGAAGTGGTACCCCAGCAGCCCTGGGGTAGGTATGGTTCAGTCAACCCAGCTTCGGAGCATCAGGTCGAGCCATCTCACCAGCACTTTCTCAGATGGGGAAACTGAGGCAGAAGCTAGCCCCCCCTCCCCGTCACACACCCAAAGCTCCCTTCTCTCCCCCCCCCCCCCTGTAGTGCGTAACGTGCGGCAAAGCCTTCAAGAAGCTCTGGTCCCTGCATGAACACAACAAGATCGTGCACGGCTATGCAGAGAAGAAATTCTCCTGCGAGATCTGTGAGAAGAAGTTCTACACCATGGCGCATGTGCGCAAGCACATGGTTGGTGAGTCCCTGCGGCGCAGGTATGGGCGGAGGACGGGCCAGCTGTTGGTGTGTCGGAAAGGACAGCGCGCAGGTAACGGGGAGGGACGGGGAAAGCAGCGCACGGATGGGTGGGCAGTTTGCCCAGTGTGTCAGAACACCCGGGCAGGCTGGCAGGTGGGAATCCAGCCGGCACACTGCTGGCCAGGCGGTGGATCCTGCCATGGGCTGGCACAGTCCTGCCTTGGTGTGACGGCCGCTGGGCCCTCCATGTTTTCTCACCTTCTGGCCCTCATAGGGCATCAGGCTTCTCTTGAATACAACCTCCCCCTGGGCTCCCACCTGGACACAGTAAGGAGGCCTCCCCAAGTGTGATAGCCAACCCCCCCCGTGCTCAGGCAAGGCTGCACACCCTCTGGGTGGGCCTGGCTGAGTGTCCCAAGTTCCTGTGGTCGCCGTTTCTCAACCGGGCTCCAAGCTCCAGGGAGGAATGATCAGATAGACAGATGGCCCCAGCCTCCCTTTCTTCACTGGACAGCGTAAACTGGATGGGACTGGAACCCTGGGGTCTAGGAATTGGCCGGGAGTATGCTGGGAAACCAGATTGGTGATCTCTCTGAGCGGGGAGGGCTGTCTCCAGATGTTTGAGTCGGCCTTCGTGTCACTGAGGCCCTTCACCTCGGGTCTGCCGATGAGTACCAACCCCCCCGCCAGGAAAGCGTGGGGTGCAGGGCTGCCAGAAGGCAGGTCTGGAAGTGGGGGCTCAGGGAGGTGCCCTGGAGAAGTGACGGCTGGCACCCGCCCGCAGCCCACACCAAGGACATGCCCTTCACCTGTGAGACCTGTGGGAAGTCCTTCAAGCGCAGTATGTCACTCAAGGTGCACTCGCTGCAGCACTCCGGGGAGAAGCCTTTCCGCTGTGAGGTGAGCTCTGCTTCCTGCCGGCTGCAGGGTCCCCTTTGTGGTCGCCGTTGCCCCCCCCGCCTTCAGGGATGGGGAGGAAGGGAGGTCAGAGGGAGCTGGAGATCTGGATTGGTGTAACCCCAGCACTGGAGAGGCAGAGGCTGCATGAGCAGGAATTCAAGATTAACCTGTCATACAATGAGTTGGTGGTATGTGCGTGTGTAAGTGCGTGCGTGTGCGTGCGCATGCAACCAACAAACCCGCCAAAGGGAAGGCTGGGGAGACAGCCAGTCAAGAAAAATGCTTTGCAGGTGTGAGAACCTGAGCTGCGATCCAAGTGTTTTGTTTGTTTATTTTGTTAATGTTGCTTTTACCAAATTAAAAGTTGGGCATGGAGGAACATGCTGGCAGCCCAGTGCTGGGGAGGCAGAGACAGGTGGGCTGCCAGGAGCTCACTGGCCAGTCAGCAGTGCCTAAGCCAAGTCCAGGCCAGTGAGAGACCCTGTCTCAAAAACGGCTCAGGAGGCGGGCCTCCGAGGAAACTCCAGAGGTTGACCAGACAGGCACATCTGTCCGTGTGGACACACAAACTCACATGCACACACACATACAGTACACAAATGCACTCACATGCACGCTTGCATGCACGCCGGCGTGCGTAAGCGCACGCACCCGCGTGCAGGCGCACGCTCACGCAGCTCAGGTTGGGTGAAGCAGGGTGAGGGTGTCTGCAGCTCTTCCCCTCCTCACAGAACTGCAATGAGCGCTTCCAGTACAAGTACCAGCTGCGGTCACACATGAGCATCCACATTGGCCACAAGCAGTTCATGTGTCAGTGGTGCGGCAAGGACTTCAACATGAAGCAGTACTTTGACGAACACATGAAGACCCACACAGGTGCGCGCCCTCCACCCAGGCCTCGGTTTCCCTCTGGACCCCCTTGTCCCCCGGGTTTGGGGTGGGGTGGGCACTGGAGCTGGCCGTAACACGCCTGCCGCCCTCCGGTTGCAGGGGAGAAGCCGTATATCTGCGAGATCTGTGGCAAGAGCTTCACCAGCCGCCCCAACATGAAGCGGCACCGGCGCACCCACACGGGAGAGAAGCCCTATCCGTGTGACGTGTGTGGCCAGCGTTTCCGCTTCTCCAACATGCTGAAGGCGCACAAGGAGAAATGCTTCCGCGTCAGCCACCCACTGCCCAGCGACCCTGCCACGCTGCCCGCCACACACCTGCAGCCCACGGCCCCTCTCTTCCCCACTGCGGCTCCCAGGCTGGACACCAACTGACCCCCAGCACAGGCCCCTCCAGGCCAGGGAGAGACAGGAGAAACACAGACTGGGGACTGTGCTGCAGCCAGATGCCCCAGAACTAACTGGGTTCCGGTGCGTGCTGGGATGTCCCTTTTGCAGCTCTTGGCAGGTTTTACTCCTTCTCTTTGGGAGTAAAGGAACAGAGAGGGACTGGTTGGCTGCACCCTTCCAGGTGAGGGGTGCCGGAGGCACCAGATGCAGGGCAGGAGGGGCTCTGGGCTGCAGACACGGCCATGAAGCCAGGCAGGGCCTGGGTCAGTCGGCCTCAGCTGCTCATCCCAGCTTCTCCGTGACCCTAACTTACTCCCTGGCATGGGAGGTCTTGGGAAGAATTTGGGTGCTCCCCTGTTGAAGGAGTTGTGGACACCCCCCCCCTCAGGAGGCCTGTGGCCAGGGAGGCATGGCAGGGTAGGGGAGTGGCAGGATGTGAAGGCTGCAGACCCCCTCTGTGTGGGGCAGGTGGGGGCTGGCCCCCATGGGTTTCTTTTCCTGGTCACATCCCTGCCAGGCAGGCTCAGGGACCCTCAGCCTGTGCTGGACTCTCAGAGAGCCCCAGATCCTGGAGCGAATCTCTCTGGGTGCTGGGAACCAAGCCTTCAGGGGGTGGAGAAGCTGACCCCCCAACCCCAGCTTCCAGGGGTCCTGCAGGAGAATGAGAACCCAGGGGTGGACCCGACAGGAGCCTCAGGCGAGCAGTTCAGGGTTTCACGGTGCTATCTGTGCGTCAGGGGACAAGGAGCTGTCCACAGGGCACCCCTGTCCCTCACCAGCCTGCCTGGCTGGATTCCCCCACCAGAAGACACGTGCATCTGCATCTGTTCCTCCCACACACACGGGGGGGGGGGCAGGCCACTACCTGCCTCCCGCCGGCTCCTGGTCCCTCCTGGGCTCTGTGCTGTCTGGTGTGCCACAGCCCAGCCAGGGAGAGAAGCCAGTGCATCTAGACCCCAGTGGGAGCTCAGCCAGTGCCCGATGCTTGCCCTTGGGAGGCAGGCAATAATCGGTGACCCTTCTCTGTTGTCATTTAACGTCCTTAACTCCTGCGTTTAAATGGGAGAGAGTTTCCATAAGCTATGTTCCCTAGTTCTGGTTACCCCACTGTCCATAAGCTTCTGTTTGTCACACTCTGCACCTTATCCCCGCCCACCGCCACCTCTCCAGCATGGCCACACTGGGAAGAGGCCTGTGCCCAAGGGGACTGGCAGAGGGTACCAAACCCCTCTGGCCTCAGAGGCCCACGGAGCTGGGACAGAGGGCTGGGGACATTTTAATCATCAATAAACGAAGCACTTTATTCTGTACAGATGCGGACAGGCCCGAGGTGCCCCGCTGACTTGGCTGTCCTCTGGGCTAGGAAGGACGTGAGTGGCCAGGGTCCCTGGTGGAGAGTCAGTCGGGCTGCAAGCTTAGCCTCAGGCCCCTCTTGTGTCCGTGGGGGAGGCAGGTGGGACCTGTCCCGTTTGGCTGCAGACTCTTGCCTCACTGCCCAAGGTTGGGCTTCCAGCTCCTTCCCTGTCTGTATCTGTCCTTCCCCGGCTACTGTTGATCTCTGGGCTTCCGCAATGTCCTCAGGGACCCCTTCCCTGCCTCTCGGTATTTCTGACCTTTGGCCTCAGTGCCTGGCAGGCAGCTGTCCAAAGCTGGCTCACAAAAAAAAAAAAAAAAAAGGTTGACCTCAAGGGTTCCCCACCCTTCTTGTCACTTGCTGGCCCTGGTGGCCTTCATGGGGCCAGGACCCTGGTCTGTCTGGCTATTCTTCAGTGAGCAGCAATCTGAAGGGTAGGGCGTGGGGGTGAAACCCTGTCCCAGGCATTGGATTTCACACACACACCCTATCCCCAGGGGCCAGACAGGTTCTGGACCCTAGCTGGGATGGTTGCTGTGTGGAAGACGGCACAGCCCTCTCTCCCCGAGGCCACCAGTGCCACGTGTCTTGCCCTGCCCACATGGGGCTCCCCCGCGATTCTCCAGGCCACGGAATTCTGGGTTCTTGTCTCAACGGCAATTATGCTTTATTTTTTAAAAAGATGGGTCACGTCTCTGAATGTTAATATGAGGGGACTGAGCATGGTGGTAACTTCCCAGGCCTACCAAAGAGACGGTGGCCTTGGGACCGTCACCTCCGGGGAGACGTGCTGGGGTCTCTTGCCCAACTGGACTTGGTAGGCCCAGTCCTGGGCGTGCTCTTCTGCGGTGAAGCAGGCCGCTCTGGTCTTGGAGCTGTTGTTACAGAGTCTCCATGGAGGCATGGCGGGCCCCGAACCCAGGGACGGCCACCTCCATATCCCCCTCACAGGGCTCTAGGTGGTAGCAAGAAGGCCAGACACAGGTGTGTGGAGCCTTAGTGTCCGGTCGTGTATGACATCCCCATGGTCCCAGGGTGGGGGCAGTAAGCATTTGCGGGAATAAACTCTCAGTACCGCTCCTGGCCTTTGGCCTGGCCTCTTCTTTATATGTTGCTACCTTGAGCGAGGGTGGCATTTAGGGCATCCATGTACCCCACCCCACAAGGTTTGGATGAGATGGGCTCCACACTGCACCTGGGTCTTGGGTCGGACACAGAATAATGGCCTGAAGTTCTGGCACCTGCCAAGGTGGTGACCCCCCCCCCAAAGCAGTACCCATGAGCGTCCAGGGCCTGTCCCTCTCATCCGCCAGCCCAGCCCTCTGTCCCTTTCAGACACCAGGGGCTCTGAGTGCCGGGGACCTCACAGGTATTTCCTGGTGCTCATGCTCTGCCTGGAATTCTGGGCCCTGGAGACATGGCTCTCCACAGCTGTGATCTGTCACCCTGCCCACAGGTGCAAACGACCCCAGGCCTGGAGGCTTGGCGTGGGAGGCTGTGGGTGGGTCGGCTGCCGTCTCCTGCTTCAGAAGAAACAGGTTGTGCTCCAGACACTCTTGGAGGCTAGATGTGGTAGGCTGTGTCTGTTAATACCCGTACTTGGGAGGCAGAAGCTAGAGGGTTAGGAGTTCAAAGCCACTCTTGGCTATGCGGTGAGTTCTAGGGCAGCCTGCCCTATGGGATTGACACCGGTTCTCAAAAAGGACTCAGACTCAAAGCGAGCTGTGATGTGAAGGGGTCTTCTTTTGTTGTTGCTGTTTTGAGACAAGGTTTCTGTGTCACTGTGGTTGTCCTGGAACTCGCTCTTGTAGACCAGGCTGGCCTCGAACTCACAGAGATCCGCCTGCCTCTGCCTCCCGAGTGCTGGGATTAAAGGCGTGCGCCACCACCGCCCGGCTTACCACATGGCTTTTTAGCTGTGTCTGGTAAGTAACTCAGGTGAGGCTGGATCCCACTGTGGTGACAAGTCACCCCCACTTCAGTGACAAAACACCTGTGACCCTGTGTGAGGTCTGTGGGAGAGGTTTTGGTGCCCCAGAATGACAGATTGCGTTGATCTATAGCACAGTCATATTGACTCGGGCCTCCAGAATAAGCTAGGGTGGGAAGAGCATGCCACCATTCAGAGATGGCATAGGTGACGTTTCCATGTCATTATCTAAGGTCCCATGGCCAAGCCCTGCCTCAAAGTGATGCGGGAAGGGAACCCTGGTGAGCATCTGGGATGAATGGAGTTCTAGGAATACAGTGGGCAACCACACCTTCTCCTGCACCTTGCCCTGGTTTCTGGGGACCAGGTTGCCAGGCAGTCTCCTCGGCCAAGGGCAGTGAGACTCCTGAGAACTGAGGCAGGAGGACTGAGCCCAGAAGTCTGAGGCTGGTCTACAGCACAGACCTTGTTTCAAAGTGAATACAGTAGTGTGTGTGTGTGTGTGTGTGTGTGTGTGTGTGTGTGCGTGCGTGCGTGCGTGCGCGCGCGTGCACACACGCATGCGTGAGTACTAACATGAGCTTGTAGAGATCAGAGGATGGCCTCCAGTGTCCGTTTTCATGTTTATTGGGAAGAAGGATTTCTTGTTTCTCCACTTGGTAGGCCAGGCTAACTGGCCTCTAGGCTTCCAAGTGTTCTTATACCATTATCTCCCATTTCCCCACGGAGCTGCTGGGGCTTCAGGTTCGAGTACTGTGCCCAGCTCCACGTGGGTTCTGCACTTTACCTACTGAGTCGCTGTCTCAGTGAGGGTTGGTTTCTATTGCTGTGACCAAATACCATAACCAAAGAGCAAGTTGGGGAGGGAAAGGTCTATTTGGCTTACACTTCCAGATCATAGATTGAAGGAAGCCAGGGCAGGGACTCAAGCGGGGCAGGAACCTGGAGGCGGGAGCCGGTACAGAGGCCATGGAGGGGGTGCTGCTTACTGGCTCACTCCCCATGGCTTGCTCAGTCTGCCCCTTATAGTACCCAGGACCAGCAGCCCAGGGACGGCTCCACCCACCATGGGCCGGGCCCTCCCCCACTGATCACTAATTGAGAAAATGCCTCACATCTGGATCTCAGGGCGACATTTCCTCAGCGGAGGCTCCTTCCTCGGATGACTCTGGCTTGTGTAAGGCTGACACAAAGCCACCCAGTGCAGAGCACAAATTCATGCATGAACATGTGTGTGCAAGCTCACACACACAGTGTAGCTGACACAACCTTGGGCTTCTTGTTCGCCTCCCGCCCCCCCCCCCGTCTCCCCCATGCTGGCATGGTGGGCATGTACCACCACTCTGAGTTATATGCAGCCCTGGAGATCCAACCCGAGGCCTTGTGCAAGCTATGTCCCGACCCGGGTTGCAGCTTGTTTTCAGGGTGGGAGTGTAAAATATAAAGTGTGGAGAGGGTCTGTGATAAAACCCAACAGCAGCATCGCCAAGGCCTTGTCGGGAGGTGGGAGAAACCTGTTAGATGTCCACAGGTGGTCTTTGGGGCCTGAGAGATTGGGGAGCACAGGCCCCATCCCGTCTCCAGGAGCAGCTGAGCAGACGCCACCTTGAACTCTTCTCTGCGCCCTTGCCTAGCGCCCATGCCTCCCAGGGGCATCTGGGTAAAAACAGAGTTTTCAAGCTCTCTGCAGCTCCCTGAAGCTGCCCAGCCCGCGGGCTTCTGCAGTGCTGGAGACGTGAAGAGACAGACTGTGTGAGCAGACTCTAATCCACACGGGAGTTAGATCCCAGGTCCGTGCGAGTCCAAGCCACTTGCTGTGTAAATACCGCACCATACCTCTTCTGCCCTCAGAGGTAGGCACAGGTCTGCCAGTGGCGAACGGAAGAACCTGCTCTCTCTAAAGCAGAGAGCGGCTGAGCTCAAGGACACTAGCTAAGTCTCCAGAAGAACCGGATTCCACTAGAAAGAAGCAAACCCAGCCTTGTCCAAGGGAGGGTGATGGCTGTTCCATCCTCTGTGGAACCTGGAGTGTGATTACAGATGTTTTCTCTGGCTCTGGAGATGGCCGCATGTTTTTACCCCTAAAGTTCGGTTTTGCAGTTTAGCTGTTCAGGCTCCCCTTCTATGTGTCTTGTTGAAGCTGAGGGCTCAACTCTGATCCAAAATGCCTAAGATACTCTCCCGCGTCTCCCCAAACACTCACAGCCCCCCCCCCCCCGGTGCTTACATTACCAAGTCACGTTCATTTATTCCCTGAGAGTCAAATCGAGTCTCGGGGCGCCAAGGCACTCTCTCTGCCCCGCCAGCCCTCGCCATGTATGCACATGTATAAGCGTGTTTAGTGATGATGAAACACATGCAAGAGTTGTAATTGTGTGTGTGCGTGTGCGTGTGCGTGAGTCAAGGCTGCTGTGAGTGTGTCACAGTGTACCTGAGGAGGACAGGGCGTCAGTCATTACTTTCTACTGTGTTTGGGACAGGGTCTTGTTTTTCTGATGCAGATTCCAGGCCAGCTGCCTCTCTGGGGATCCTCCCATCTCCCTCTCCGGTCTTCCTGGTAGCATGTGAGTTACAGACAGCTACACTGTTGCATCTGGCTGTGACGTGGACTTCGGCACAGGTCTTCAGCCTTTTGTGCCTGGTGATTAACTGCTGAGCAGACCAGCCCCAAAGTTCTGCATTTTTTTAACCACTGTCAAGCAATACGGACAAGCATCGTCAAACCTGCTCTGTGTGCGGTCACCCACCTCCACAACTCCTCACCTTCCCAAGCTGAACCCCTCCCAGTCCTTCCTCCAGAACCCTGGCAACCGCCTCTCCACTTACTGCCTCTGAGAACTAACTCGAACAGATGTGGCTCATACAAAAGGGGTCACACAGTATTTATTTCATTCAGCATATTGTCTTCAGGGTTCATCCATGCTACAGCAGATGTCAGAATTTAAAGAGTGAACAAAATTACGCGTGTATTTTTGGAGATATTTTTACATTTTATTTATTCGAGGTCTCCCCCTTCCCCCCTCCTCCCTCCCTCCTTCCCTCCCTCCCCCCCCCCCTCTCTCTCTCTCTCTCTCTCTCTCTCTCTCTCTCGCTTGTGTTTCCAAATACACCTGCCACAAAGAACACGTGGACGGACATCAGAGAACAGTTTGTGGGAGCCTGTTCTCTCCCTCTGCAACGTCAGTTCTTGGGATGATTCTCAGGTCATCAGGGCGTGGCAGGAAGCTCCTCTACCCGTTAGCCCAACTCACTATTCCTGGTTTGGGGATGGGATCGCTCCACGGCAACACATGTAACCCAGAAGACAATCCGGGAAGGGTCTATTCTCTCCTCTGCCACGCGGGACCCAGAGTCACACCTAGGTCCTCAGGCTTAACGGCCTTTATCTCCTGAGCCTAACCGCTGACCTCTGTTTCCGGGTTTTTAGAAAGCTGACTCCTGGGCTAGCGAGGTGGCTCAGGAGTTAAGAGCACTGGCTGCTCTTCCAGAAGACCTGGGTTCAATTCCCAGCATCCACATGGTGGCTCACAGCCATCTAGAGTGGGCTTTGATGCCCTCTGCTGGGAAGCAGAGGAGCATGCAGACATTGCACTCTTAACATAAATACTTTTTAAATTTTATTTACTTATTTTTTATTACATATACAGTGTTCTGTCTTCATATTTGCCGCCACACCAGAAGAGGGCACCAGATCTCATTACAGATGGCTGTGAGCCACCATGTGGTTGCTGGGAATTGAACTCAGGACCTCTGGAAGAGCAGCCAGTGCTCTTAACTGCTGAGCCGTCTCTCCAGTCCATAAATAAATATTTAAACAACAAAAAAGTTGACTTCCTGGGATTCTTTCCCGGACAGTTTCACTGGGTAACGAGCCCATGATTGATGGGTTTTTGAGGCTTAAAAAAAAAGTGTCAGTTCCCGTGGCTCCCATAACTTCTGATGAGAGGACACTGTTACTCAAACGGCCGCCCTATGTGTGTTTGTCTTCATTTTGGTTTTAAATTTTTTCAGTAGGATACATTTAAGCACAATTTCTCTGCATCTGTCCTGTTTGTGACTTGCTTAGCTTCTTCAGTCTGTTGGTTTGGGTCTTAATTTTTTTTTTACATTTTAACTTACTGATGTGTGTGTGATATGGTGTGGTGTATGTGATGTGTGGTGTACGTGTGGTGTGTGTGTGATGTGTGTGTGTGGTGTGTGTGTGTATGTGGTGTGTGTGTATGTGGTGTGTATGTGGTGTGTGTGTATGTGGTGTGTATATGATGTGTGGTGTGTGTGTGTGTGTGTGTGTGTGTGTGTGTATGTGGTGTGGTGTCCACTGTGTCCTTGTGAGACCCAGTTGTCTTTCCACCATGAGGGTTCCAGGTGTCAAACCTCAGACACCTTTGTCCTTGAGCCAACTTGCCTCTCCTGGTTTGTCTTACTAAATTTGGGGATTTTTAGACATTGTTACTGGACTAACCTTTTGACCTGTTCCCCCCTCCTCCTCTTTTTTTTATTTATTTATTTATTTATTTATTTATTTATTTATTTATTTATTTGGTTTATGAGACAGGGTTTCTCTGTATTGTTTTGGAGGATGTCCTGGGTTTCTCTGTATTGTTTTGGAGGCTGTCCTGGAACTCGCTCTGTAGACCAGCCTGGCCTCGAACTCACAGAGATCCTCCTGCCTCTGCCTCCCGAGTGCTGGGACTAAAGGTGTGTGCCACCAACGCCCGGCTGCTCCTTGTCTTTCTTGAATTATTTTTCCCAGTTCAGGGATAAGTACTCTACTCAAAGCCCCCTCCCCCAGCCTGGCCCTGCTCCCAGCCTGGCCCCACCCCAGCCTGGCCCAGGTCAGCTTCTGTGAATTCAGTTCAGAGCACAGTGTAGCCGGCAGAGGCTGTGTGGAGCTTTAAGTCTAACTCTTGCTGCCTGGGGGCGGAGAGACTTCCCCAGGCCAGCCTTCTGTCTCTGCGTGGGAAAATGAGCTTCAGGCCCAGGACACGGCGCTTGGATGCTTGCTGGTCATGCTGTCCTGCTTCATCTTCCTGTGGCAGTCCATGTGTGTGGACTTGGGGAGGCATGTGGGTCAGTTTGTGACAGCAATGATGCTCCCCGCACTGCCTTGTTGCTGGGTAGGGTCAGGAACCAGCAGGCGTGGGATGGCGTCTCCCATTGGAGGCTGGGTAGAACAAATCCACTTAATTCCGTTGTCCACCCCCCTGTCTCCTGACTCTGTGGCACTCACGATCACCGGCTGTCCCCCTGAGGTACTTGTGGCTCCCCCTCCATGATGCCCACCCCAGCAGATGTAGGCTCCATAGGAAGGTGTTCAAAACTGACGCCGCTAAACTCTGTTAACTGCAGCACACAGTAGGCTCGGGGTGGGGGAGTGAGCCTCATTGAAACACCCCACTGGGAAGCCTGGTAGGGACCAGCACCGCAGAACCCGTCATAAACTTAAAATATGACATTAAGTCATCTGGTGGCTATAAATTAATTTTTACTCAGTGTCTTCTTCTATTTGGGTCTTTAGAGAGTGAGGCTGTGATCGAGGACATTTTTTATCCACTTGGGGAGGGGGTCTCCACGTTGTCAGAGGTGGGCGTGTCTGCTCTGGCTCAGCCGTGTGGCAGCTGTGAGACCCAGCGATTATTGGCAATGTTGTCTAGAAATGCCCAGAGCTGGGATAGAAGCCCCCCTTGCCCCTGCAGACTGCCCCAAGATAGCCCTTGAAGTTGCTGAAAGGCCCACCTTTGGCCTGTCCAGGTACGTGCCACTGAGTGACGGTCAGCTTCACTACTCATGAGGTGACTCAGCCCACCCCCCGTCTTTTCTCCTATCCCCCCACAAGCTCAAGGTTAAAAACAAGTGACTCAGAGGCATGGGGGGGTGCTCTATTACACCTCCTACCAGTGTCCCAGGGCTAAATTTAACACACAGCTGCAGCCTTTGGAGCTCAGGGAATGCATTAATCTTGGAGGCTGAAGCCCGTGTGCGGGTGAGGGGGTGGACAGGAGTCCAGGGCAAGGTGTGTATCGAGATTGGCTATGCTTGGTTGCAACCCAGCTCCTCAAGGTACAGAGAGGGCCAGGCAGAAGCACCGTAAGCCTAAAGGAGACCACAGACAGGGCCACAGACGGGCAACGTCCCTGAGCACGACACGGACTCTGGGAAATGCCGCTATTTGGGACTCTACAGTCCCAAACATGGTTCCCTGGAATATTAAGGATCCTAAGAAACTATTTTCTCGCAGACCTGACACTTCGGAGTCCTCCCTGGAGAATGCCGCCCCAGGAGCTCGAGCTGAGGCCCTCATTGGATGGGAGGGGAAACTGAGGCTCAACAGAGAAACGCCTACCCTTATTGATGTAGGGGGTTCCTTAAGGAAAGGAAAGGTCTCTGAGCTGGAACAGAAAGGAACCCCTTCCCATTTTGAACGTGGGCACCAAGGTCTCTAAACAGTGATTGCCAAAGACATGTTCACCAAGCAGGAAGTGAAAACATACTGTAACCAGGGGTGGTCACTGTGAGATAGCTCTGTGAGGAAGGCTGTGAGCCCACAGCCCCGGAAGGAGTCTGGGAAGAGGGGCTTCCGGCTCTGTGAACTTCTGCCTGGGACCACAGTTCCCTCCACAGGCAGCGGCATGTCTATACCCAGAGATCCAGAAACAAGGCTTCCCTGGGTTCTGGTGGCAAGTAGTGCCAGTTCTGGAAAGGTCCAGACATACCCCCCACCCTCGCCCCATGAGCCCCAGCGCTGAGTCAAGGCTGCTCGGGGAGACGGCCTCTGCCCAGCTGTCCCCTGTGCGTCATGTGCAGGAGGCCGAGCGGCTCCTCTTACAGGGTCCGGCATCCTCTATATATAGCCCAGCGCAGACAGCTGCGCAGTTAGTGCGCGACCCCACAGGACAGTAGAGGTGTGCGGAGCAGCCCTTGTCACACAGGCTTACTGGGTTCTAAGGGAGCCGCACTATGACGCTGGGTTTGGAGCAGGCGGAGGAGCAGAGGCTGTACCAGCAGACGCTCCTTCAGGACGGCCTCAAGGACATGCTGGACCACGGCAAGTTCCTGGACTGCGTGGTGCGCGTGGGCGAGCGCGAGTTCCCGTGCCACCGCCTGGTGCTGGCCGCCTGCAGCCCCTACTTCCGCGCGCGCTTTCTGGCAGAGCCCGATGGAGCCGGAGAGCTGCGCCTGGAGGAGGTGTCGCCCGAGGTGGTGTCCCAGGTGCTGCACTACCTGTACACATCGGAGATCGCGCTGGACGAGGCAAGCGTGCAGGACCTGTTCGCCGCGGCGCACCGGTTCCAGATCCCGTCCATCTTCACCATCTGCGTGTCCTTCCTGCAGAAGCGCCTGTGCTTGGCCAATTGCCTGGCTGTCTTCCGCCTAGGCCTCCTACTAGACTGCGCGCGCCTGGCGGTGGCAGCGCGCGACTTCATCTGCTCGCGCTTCCCGCTGGTGGCGCGTGACAACGATTTCCTGGGGCTCTCGGCCGACGAGCTGATCGCCATCATCTCCAGCGACGGCCTCAACGTGGAGAAGGAGGAGGCGGTGTTCGAGGCGGTGATGCGCTGGGCCGGCAGCGGCGATGCGGAGGCACAGGCCGAGCGCCAGCGTGCACTGCCTACAGTCTTCGAGAGCATTCGCTGCCGCCTGCTGCCTCGCGCCTTCCTGGAGAGCCGCGTGGAGCGCCACCCACTCGTGCGCGCCCAGCCCGAGTTGTTGCGCAAGGTTCAGATGGTGAAGGACGCTCACGAGGGCCGCCTCACTACGCTGCGCAAGAAGAAGAAGGAGAAGGGTGAGGAAGCTACCAAGGCCAAGGAGGCCAACCAGGGCGCGGCAGACGCCAAGGCTGAGGACGATGAGGAACGTGTGCTGCCTGGGATCCTCAACGACACCCTGCGCTTCGGCATGTTCCTGCAAGACCTCATCTTCATGATCAGCGAGGACGGTGCTGTGGCCTACGACCCAGCCGCCAACGAGTGCTACTGCGCGTCCCTGTCCACCCAGATCCCCAAGAACCACGTCAGCTTGGTGACCAAGGAGAACCAGGTCTTCGTGGCCGGTGGCCTCTTCTACAATGAGGACAACAAGGAGGACCCCATGAGTGCTTACTTCCTGCAGGTGATTGGTCAGCCTTGGGAGGGAGGGAGCAGTGCTGGGTTCCTGTGCTAGGAGGCAGTCTTGGGGGTGGTGGTGGGAGGGGCCTGCGTCTACTTGAGCAAGGCCATTGGGTCTAGGACCTTTGATTAGCAGCCACTTGCTTGAAGGGAGGAAGAGTTAAAGGCAGTTTCCAAAGAGCTGTGTTAAGTCTGGTGACTGAGTTTGGGGGTCGCACAGCAATCTGGGGAGCTGGAGGCCCTGGCCCTGCTTGGGGGGGGGGTTGAAGGTCAGGGACAGAGAGAAGAATAGTGAGCCGGGCTTTGGCAGGAGTGGGAAACACATAGAACACCACGCGCTCCTTTCACCGTCCAGGGGAGGAAACTGAGGCTCAGGAGGGACTGGGTGAGGGGAAAGCCTGGTCCAGGCTGGTCGTGTAACCGTGGGACCTTGGAGAATTTACAGCCTGACCCTGTGGTTTTTGAGTCTTGCCGGTTGGGTGAAATCTGGAGATGTGAAGGGCGAGGGACTAATGCTGTCGGTGACCTGGATTGGTAATTGTGTAAGAGCAGAGCCAGAAGAGCTGTAAGGAGTCGCTGGGCATCTGGGTGCCGGGGTTAAGTTCATGGGCCTCCAGGCTGGAGCAGCCGAAGGGCAGCTCCCCCAGGCTGACTTACTGTGTGGAGTTTCGTCTCTCTGGGCCTCTGTACACGGGATGCCCACTGCCCTTCCCGCTTGGCAAAGCAAATGTCCACCCACACACGATTCAGAGCCCCCGTGCCTGTACCCATGGGGTTAGGCAGTTGCAGAAGGTGGGATGGAAGGCTTGTAGATTTTAAGGGGTGGGAAGCCTGGGACAGAGGGTCACCGGAGAGTCGGGCGCATAGGACGACCTCCCTCTTACAGGGAAGAACTCCTCTCTGTCGGAGTTGGCAGAGCTGGGCCAGGGTCAGTATAGAGGTCGGTGGTAGCTGACCCAAGGACACTGCCCGCCCACACAGTTCGACCACTTGGACTCCGAGTGGCTGGGAATGCCGCCACTCCCCTCACCGCGCTGCCTCTTCGGCCTGGGGGAGGCTCTCAACGCCATCTACGTGGTCGGTGGCCGGGAGCTCAAGGACAGCGAGGACAGCCTGGACTCAGTGCTGTGCTACGACAGGCTGTAAGTGGGTGTGGCGAGGCTGCCTTGGGGGCGGGGTGGTCTGGGGGCAGGGCCCTGGGGAGGGGCTAGGACCACTGGAGGAGCCAGGAGGCCTGCACAGGTGGAGACCTGAAAATGAACCCTCGGGCAGCTAGGCGGGTGCAAAGGCCCCGGGAACGTCCTGGATTCACTTTGAACGTGTGCTGTGGGTGTGGATGCCAAGAACCAGACTCCACATAGGCTTGTGCGCCACGCTCCAGTCCCCCCTGTCCCCTCCAGGTCATTCAAATGGGGTGAATCGGACTCACTGCCCTACGCAGTATATGGCCACGCGGTCCTTTCCCACATGGACCTCGTCTATGTCATTGGAGGCAAAGGCAAGGACAGGTGAGCCTCAGGCCGGTGGGGAGGAGCCTCGATGTGGCTGAGGGGGCAGGCAGTTGTCCCCGGCCTCTCTCTCTCTCCACTCACTCTGTCCACCCACAGGAAATGTTTAAGCACGATGTGTGTCTACGACCCCAAGAAATTTGAGTGGAAGGAGCTGGCACCCATGCAGACGGCCCGCTCACTCTTCGGGGCCACCGTCCATGATGGCCGCATCTTTGTGGCTGCAGGGGTGACAGACGCAGGACTTACCAGCTCCACAGAGGTGTACAGCATTGCAGACAACAAGTAGGTCCCTTTCCCTGCCCCTCCCTCCTCTGCAGCTGCTCGCCAGAGTCAGCCCCGTCCGCCCTGCTGAGGGTCATAGACCAGGTCCTCGTGTTGATTTGAAACACGGCCATAGAAGTAACCCCTCTCCCCTGAGGCCTCCCTGCAGGAGAGTCTGCAGAGGGGCTCCCAGGGTGGGGTCTGGGGGTAACAGTTCCTCATCTGGGGACTGCTACCACGACACGGGCTGACTCTGAGGTTGCAGCATCGGGCCGGGAGGTCAGGGAAGAGAAGCTGTCTGGACACGTCCAGCAAAGATGGCGGTTAGTGGTTACCCATCACCAAAAGGTGGGGCTCCCAGAAGCAGCTCGGGGGAATGGAGGCTGGTGGGTGAAGGGATACGGGAAGGTTCTGGGAGGGGAGAGGTGAAGGGTTAAGGCCAGTGAGATGTCTCCTGTGAGTTTAAGCTCCGTGACTCACTGGCTGTCACAGGACGGCAGATTAGGGAATTTCTCAGAGAGAGAGAGAGAGAGACAGAGGGGTCCGGTTGCAGCTGCGAAGGGGGTAACAGGATCCTAGAGCTGGGGATGGGTTAGGGAAAGGGCCAGGGAGAGGGAGTGGAGCGTGGCTTCGGAGGAAGGAGAAGCATTTCCACAGACGTTCTCTGAGGTTAGTGGTGGGTAGGATGCAGGATGGGAAAGAGGGTAGATCGCATGCTTTCCAGTCAGTCTACGGGGGCAGTTGTTGAGGGAAACCCTGGGCGTTAGGGGGCAAACTGAAGATCCGTTCAGGAAATGTACGTTCAGGGTACCTGGGGGCGTGTGTAGGAGGAGCTCCCTGCAGCAGAAATCCAGGAAGCAGACACCAGGAGAACCGGCGAGATGTCACAGAGAAGAAGGGTGGGGGGGCATTCAAAGGAACAGGACTGTCAGGGTCAACCACAACCTGAGTTCACGGGCATAGAGATAGACACACAGTAGGCCTATCCATTCACGGGCATAGGGATAGACACACAGTAGGCCTATCCATTCACGGTGCGGGATGGATGGGACTGCAAAGAGACGGGGGAGGGGAGGAGGGAGGTAAAGGAAAGGTCAGAGTGAACGGGGTCATGGCTGGGATGGCCAAGCATCCTAGGTGGCTGAAGCTCAGGAAACAGGATCTTATCCAGAGAGGGCTGCAAACTGGAATTCAGATTCCCGGGGGGGGGGGGTGATGGACGCCATGACGGTGGGAACAGTGACCCTGCTTGCCTAAGCCCTGGATCACCGACCTCTCCCCTGTCCCTAGGTGGTCCTCCTTTGAGGCCTTCCCGCAGGAGCGCAGCTCACTCAGCCTGGTCAGCCTAGCCGGCACTCTCTATGCCCTGGGCGGCTTTGCCACGCTGGAGACAGAGTCTGGAGAGCTGGTCCCCACGGAGCTCAATGACATATGGAGGTGAGCCCCGCCTTGGGGAGCTGGGGGGATCCTGAGTGTCCCAAGCCAAGGACAGCAAGCACGGCTGCTCCACCCCAGCTTCTCACAAGCTCAGGGAGGAGGGTGGCCGGTTCCATGCCACGGTGAAGTGCCAGTAGGGCACCAGAAGGAGCCAACCCTAAGCTTCGGGCACAGACCCGGAATCTGTTCTCCCCCCTTTTCTGGGGTGCCTTGTCTGGAGGAAGGATGACACTAGGAGCGGGTGGTGGCTGGGTCCAGGCTCCAGGAGCTGGTTTTTTGTTTGTTTGTTTGTTTGTTTGTTTTTTGTTTTACGAGACAGGGTTTCTCTGTATTGTTTTGGAGGCTGTCGGTCCAGCCCGGCCTCGAACTCACAGAGATCCGCCTGCCTCTTCTGCCTCCCGAGTGCTGGGATTAAAGGCGTGTACCACCACCGCCTGGCTCAGGAGCTGGGTTTTTTGTTTTGTTTAGTTTTTTCCATACCCCTTCATCTCAGGGATTTCTTCAATGTTGCACAAGTCTCAGGGGGAGAGACTTGACTTTGGGGACTGGAAGCCTTTCCCAAAGGGCAATGAACTTTGAGGAGTGTGGAGGCCTTGGGGGTGGCTTTTCTCGGGAGGGGGCTGATTTACACTGCAGGGTGTCTCCTTATGGTTTGTTGTGTGTGTGTGTGGGTGTCCCACTTTCCAGTCTGTTTGGACACAGACATACTTGGAGGTGGGCCTAGGGCACCGGCCACCCCTCCTTGCAGGGTCCCTGCCTGGCCTCGAGGGATAAAGCTCCCATGCTTGTCCCCCATGGTCCCTTCCCCTCAGATTCAATGAGGATGAGAAGAAGTGGGAGGGGGTCCTACGGGAGATCGCCTACGCAGCCGGTGCCACCTTCCTCCCTGTACGCCTCAACGTGCTTCGCCTGACCAAGATGTGAGCCTCCTTCCTGTCCTGTGGCCTCAAAGCAAATGCCTTGTGGGATCCGGAGAGGAGCCGGGAGAGGCCGCCTCAGTGAGGAACGGGAACAAAGGGACTTCTCCATGTCCCTCTGGGCGTTACCATGTCTCCTCAAGGACTACAAAGCTAGGCAGGCGTCCCAGGCTGTGTTCTGGCCTTGCCTAGGCTGGCTGTGTGTGCCCGTTATGTCTCCTAAGGGACTCAGTGTCTATGCCTGTCATATGCGAGCATCTCTGTCAACGGCACCTTCTGGTGCTATCCCAGACCTCCCTTTGGAAGCTCTGGGGGGGCAATGAATTGTCCTCACAGGACGCCCCATCATGTCCTATGAATGACGTTCCCCCAAAGCCTGGAGCGATCAACCCCCTGCCCAGAGTGGACAAGAAGCCAGTAGAATACTGTGGTAGAAAAGTCTTTTATTCTATTGGCCAAGCCGCATGGCCGGGGCCTGGGGCCCAGAAGCAGCTGAGCTGAGCTCGGTCCTCTGTCCCCCAGACCCTACTCTGGCTTCTCTTTGTCCTGCTTCTGCTCTTCCTCCAGTGCCAAGGTTCGCTCACGCTCCTTTACCAGCTGGACCCCACAGTAGGTGACAAACAAGACGGCCAGCGTGGTCTGGGGGAAGCCTGTTAGAGAAGGAACCATGCTACCCGAAACATCCCGTCCCAGAGACCCTGCATCCTGTCCCACACCCCTGCTGAGTCCCTTGGGTGCTGGGGTGTTGTGTGTGTGTGTGTGGGGGTAGATCAGAGGTTCCTGTCCTCGTGTGAGGTTGGGCACACGCCGTATCCTCTCGCACGGTCCCTTACCTTTAAGTATCAGGCGTCGGGCAACCAGCTCTGTGAACTCAAGGCTGTTCAAACTCACAAGGTTGTACATGATGATAGCCCAGAAGTTTACAGCCCCGCAGAGGGCCCGGACCCTCCGAGACATCTGCTCCGATAGCCGTGCCTGCTGCCCAAGAATGTGTTGGCAAGAGGGCCAGGAAGGGGGGACATGGTCAGTCAGTGTCACCCAGGCCCAGAGGAGCAACGAGAGCTGATAATGCAGCCAAGCCAGGCAGACCCAGTTTCCCCCTAGGTGGAGCATGGCCCTGGCAAACGAGAGAGGTTAGGGAGAAAGTTCTGGGCCAGGGACCACGCATGCCTGGGTGACTCCAGGAAGCAGCAGTGCCACCCACCTCGTGTGACCCCCCAACTGATCCCAGCCAGTCCCCCGGCCCGGGACCTTTGTACCCCACCTCAATTTGTGCCAATGGCCCGTGCTCCGCCAGCTTCTGCACCCAGAGCTCGAAATTGAGGCCGAAGCAGTTAAGGACGGACCACAGGTAGACGATGTCACAAGGCCCAAGCCACAGGGTGGTGATCACAAACGTGGCCACGGAGGCAGCCAGCTCTGGGATCACGGCGGAATGATCCCCACCAACGCGGTCGTACACATATCTGCAGAGAAAGAAGGAAGGAGGGCCCTGCGGGGACGTGGGGGCGGACAGCAGACGCATGGTGGGGCGGCATGCGGTACGTCGCCCCCCCACCACCCCAGGAGTGCCTGTCCTCTGCCCAGCTCTGAACTGTGGAGGGGGTGGGGCTTGGGCCGGAGATTTTCAAAACAGTCCGTGGATGACCAAGCCGGTGTCTTTGACTCAGTCTCCTTGCTCAGATAACTCGCCGCCTGCTGCATGATGCCTTGCTCCGGAGAATGCTGCTCCCGGCCCCACTCAAGTCCCGTGTTAGTGGGAGGCGCGGCTGCTCAGCCTTAGGTTGTAGTCAGGATTCTGGATTCCCCTCATCCCCAACATCCGAGCCACAGATTCTATCAGCTCTGCTGGGGCTTGACTCGGCTCACCCCCTGCACCAGCCCTGCCCTAGTGGAGGGGCTCCTCCACGGCGGGAGCCTCTTAGTCCCGCTTTTGCCTTTAACCCCCGCTCCATTCGCCACCGACGCTTTAAGAGAGCTGGAGGAATGTCTCAGCAGTTAGGAGTGTACCGCGCCTACAGAGGACCCAGGTTCATTTCCCAGCACCCTCATCGGGTGGCTCACAACTGCCTGTAACTCCGGTTCTGGGATATCCGGTGCTCCCTTCTGGCCTCTGTAGGCACGTGCAGGCATGCGGCATACGTACACAGTCTAGCCCTGCCCCCCACTCGTACTTTAAATAATAAAACAAGTATTATTTTAACCTGCGGCTCAGACCGCGTCGGTCCACAATCCACCCTCTCAATGATAAAGTAAGCTCTTTCTGGCGTGAAGACACCATGCAGCCCTGGGTCTGCCTCCTTCCTGACCTCATCCCCTACACTCCTCCCCCCTGCCGTGCGTGCCTGCCACACTGGCCCTTCCGGTCTCCAGACACGATTGGTCCACGCCTTAGAGTACACCTTTTTTCTCACACAAGCCTGACTTCAGGCATTCTTACACAGGCCTGCCCAGACTCCAGCCTAAAGAAACTTCCGGCCAGGGGCCAAGTGCCCACCTGCCACACCGTTTCCTTTCCCACAGTTTCTACTCTCTAGACTGGTGTGTGCGTTTCTTCAACTACGTATGGCCTGTTTCCATCACGGGACTGTGAGCTCCGTGGGCTCACGGTCCCGGGCTTGTGCACTGCCGCATCTGGAGTGCCCGCCGCACGCCGGGTGCCGATACATGCCAGCCTTTCACCCCCTCCCCTAATTTTCAAGGCTTCTCCACTTTGTTTTATCCATCCACTCCCAGGGTCACGCCCCAGCTTGAAACCTCGCCCCTCCTGGATTCCTGCTCTGTCTCATCTGGTCACCACCGTTGGCCTTTAACCCTTGAATCTCTCCCGCCCTCCCCAACAGGCTCGCAGCCACCATTATCATTGCAGTCTCTTGCTTCTTCCTGCTCACCCACCCGGGAGACTCTAGTCACGTGCACGCATGCATGTGACACTCTCACACGCGCACACACACGCACACACACGCACGCACGCACACACACACCCTAAGTGCTCTCCTTCCCATTCCTTCCGGGCTGTCTCCAGTCAGCTTTCTCTCCCTACTTGGAGACGGATACCGTACCCCTGGCCTCCTGCAAGGGGGCCTGCAGGGGTGATGCTCCCCCTACCCCGTGTCTCGCGGCTGTACTTGCCTACTTCAGCATCTGTGACTCACCTGGCCATCCCCCCCTTTCCCCGTTCTCCCTCCTGTCCCTCTGTCCCTCCCTCCTCCTGCGGCTTCTCAAGGCAGACCCCTGTCCTTGGGGACCTGGATCCGCCCATCGCCCCTCTGCCCTGCGTCGCCCTCAATGTCCCCGTCATGTCCCATTCCTCCCCGAAGCTGCTCTCCTGTTTCCCAGGCTGCCCCAGGACCTGCTGCGCACGCTCCCCGTGCAAGTCCTCAGCTGCTCTCCCTGCCGTCTCCCCGGGGAAGGGGAGGCCCTCCTCGGCTGTGGCAGCACGGCTTGGAGCCTCTATGCTTGCACACTCTCCTTTGTGGGACTCACACAGACACGTGTCCTTTTTTTTCATGTCTTTCTGCTGGGTCTTCAGTCCCTGTGGGAGCATCCGTGGGCCCGGTTTCGGAACTCCTTGCTCTTCTGGCCTCGCTTTCCCTCCTTAGGACTCAGGCCCCCTGAGGTCTGGTCCAGGAGACCCCTCTGCCCAACTCATGACTCCCCCGACTCCAGACTCTCAGGCCTAAAATGCTTCCCCAAGCCTCTACAAGGATGTCAGCTAGACATTTCTGTATGGAAAATGTCCTGTCCAGCTTCCCAAGAGACAGATGGGAATTTGGGTGCCACCATACTCCCTGGAGACCCCCCCAGACATGACCCCCTACCAAGACGTCAGCCGTGTTTCTCTGCTCCCACCATCTCCGGGACCCCCACAAAGTCCAAAGCTCAACGTCTGTCACCCGTGCAGACGCACAGCCTCCTCCCAGCCTCCTGCTGGCTCCATCCCAGAAGCAGTCTCTGAAACAACCAATGCTCCCCCCTCCCCGCCCATTTGACAGCCTAGCCGGAAGGCTGCTGCCATTCCCCAACTCACTTGCAAAGCCAGTCATTGATGCCACGGTCGAAGTGCCTGTGGGGAGAGTGTGCAAGCGTTGAGTCCTCCAGACGCAGAGCCTTTTGACACGGGGGACAACGCTAAGGAAAGGTGGGGGGCCGATGACGGGCCGCCCTCTTCACTCACGTTTCCCCGAAGACGTAGAGAGCGGTAATGCACTTGGGAGGCTGAGGAGGGTCCAGGTGGTCCAGGCGTGCCACGGTGTTAACCACACCAAAGAGGACTGCTGCCTTCACCCAGTCATACACCAGGTTTGAGTAGGCCAGGCCAGCTGGGGACAGGTGACATCACTCTTTTGGGGTCGGGGCACTGATGGCATCCCACATCCTGAGCCTCCCCTCCCCCACGGGCAGAGTCTGGCTTCTGTCTCACCCCTACCCCCATGGGGACCCTGTGCCTCCCTAGAGGTGTGCGACAGGCCCCAGTGACCCATGAAAATCAGCCACGCCCCTCTAGTGGCTCCTGTAGTTTGCGGGGACTAAGGGCTTTATGTGCTGAAACAAATAACGAGTCCTGCACGTTTCAAATCTTGGGTGCTACACGCACGGGGCTGTTTGCCGGTGGCGGCCCTGCCTCCGTCCGTCCCGTTGTGGGGACCCACCGAGAGCACTGTCCGGGAGGCGGCTGGCAAACTTCAGGTCGCCAGGGATCGTGAGGATGTAGAAGAAGTGGAAGAAGATGTCCACAGCCACGACGGCTGCCGCGCTGAGCCCCGCCTGGGCCTGGATGCGCCACAGCTCCCCTTCTGGCCTCACTGGGTCCTGGCTCACCTGGAGGGGCAGAACCCTGTCTGAGAGGGGAGCCGTAACCGGCCTGAGGAGAGGAGACACAGCTTCCCGGGCATGCGGGGCGGGGGTGCCCACGCTTGGGGAGTTATGTCTGGGACAGGAGCCGTTGTCGGGGCGGGGGAGGGGGTGGGGCGAAGGAGACCCAGCCATGCCCGCGGGGTTCCCCTCACCTGAGCATGGAAGCGGTCGAAGGTCATGACGGGCCCGAAGAAGAAGAAGGGCAGGTAGAAATTGTACTTGATCAGGTCAGCGAGGGAGTAGCGGCGGTCAGGGCGGGCGCAGCTCTCCAGCGCGAAGCTGGTGCAGCGGAGCACCGTGAAGCCGCTGCCCCCGTGGAAAAGCACGTCTTGAAGATCAAAGGTGCCCGTTACAAACCCACTCTGGAAGGAGACAGCAAGCCTCCGGCTCACTCGTGGGCCCACGCTTCCGGGGGGAGGGGGAGAGGGAGGGGGAGAGGGAGGGGCCCTCCCCACCTTCCCAACTTCCCACAGGCCCAGGGCCTGGTCTTGCGGGGGGGGGGGGGGCGGCTTTAGTTCAGCAACGCAGCAGAGCAAGGGACAAACTGCGGTGCAGCGGGCCGCCCTACTCAAAGGCTTCAAGACGGGTGGGAAAATTGCGGAGATGCTTGGGAGGACTCAGGAGACGAGGCCTTTGGTGTCATGTACCTGCCAAGAGATCAGGGGCTCCATCTTGAGGGAGGCCAGGCTGCCTAGACCAAGGGCGAGACACAGCCAGGGCTGGCCCACAAGCGAGGCCACATAGAGGCTCGCACAGTGGCCAAGCAGCAGCAGCAGGTACCACGGGCCCATTGTGCCCACCACGGCCAGGACCCCGTACACGGCGTACATCCAGGAGCGGAGCTGCGGACGCGAGCGGGCCTCAGTTAACCCCCGTGTGCGAACCCGGGATGGATGAGTTCCCCCACAGGCTTCAGGGGGGCTAAGGAGGGGCAGGCAGCAGGAGGCCAAGGGCCCCGGACCGGCTCACCTGGGGGGCCACCATCGTGCAGAGTTTGGCAAACAGCACATGTCCTGAGAGGGCGAAGACGATGATGTTTCGGAAGCTGGTGAACCACATCACCCACTCGAAGTCGGCCACGTCCTGGACAACCCAAGCAGGAGGAAGCGGGCAGGTAAGGGCCGTGGAGAGGGTAGGGTCAGGAGCTCCTGCCTGTGCTCTGAGGACAGATACCTGAGGTTGCAGGTGCCTGCTCTCGCCCCGAGGGAGGTGCCCGGGAACACGGGAGGGAGGCATGGATGAGGGGCCCCAAGGAGGAGCCTGCTCCCCAAAGCTTTGCGGCTCTGCACGGAGCAGACACTCTACCCCTGCTGCCTAGTTCTGGACGGCAGCACCAGAGGACCAGCCTATTTTGTCCTCGGGGACCCATTTCCTACAGGAGCCCAGAGGTCCCAAAGTTAGGCAGAGCCCTCCCTGCCACAAGGCATGAAAACAGGGGTGAGGTGTGTCGAGGTCAGGGACCTGAGAGGTTTGGGAAACCTACCATCTTCCGGCCCAGGTACTCCCAGCCAGGGCGGACGGACTCCCGGAAGGCCTTCCTGTGGGCCCCATCTGAGAACAAAGCGTGGCCTCTGAGTGGCCTCTCATATGCCTTCCCTGGGCCATCCCACCCAGGGGAGAGGGGCAAGGGCTCAGGGCCGCAGGACCCTTAGGCAGAAAGCAGTGGCTGAGACGGATGTAAGGTGTACTTAGCACCTACAGCTTCCTGGGTTCAGGACTGGGTGTTCTGCACGTCTGGGTCTAGGTCAGGCACTCTCTCTATTCTCTCTTCTCCCTTGGCCTCTGCGTGTGTATGTGTGTGTGCGCGTGTGTGTGCGCGTGTGTATGTGTGCATGTGTGTGCATGCATATGCATGTGTGGATGTGTGTGCATGAGTATGTGTGCATGTATGTGTACATGTGTGCATGTGTGTCTAAAATGGTGTTCAGGACTATGCCCAACCCAGGGCCTAGAGGATACTTGTGGTCGGCAGCCTCTGAGTTTCTGGCCCTGTTGGTCAGAACCCAACTGTTACCTTGCGATGCCTCCAGGAGACCTCGGCCAGCATAAGCCAGGGATCCGCTCAGCACCAGGGAGTAGAGCCCGAGCTCAGCTGCAGGCAGTGCTGTCTTGATGCCCATTGCTTGGGCAGGGCTGGAGGAGAAGCATGGGTGAGGGTCCCCAGTCCTCAGCCGTGCCTGACCTCACCTCATGCACTCTCACTGGGGTGGTGGAGCCTCTGCTCCACTCAGCCCTCGGGGACTCCCTCAGTCACTCTTCCCACCCAGGGGCCTCCTTTCTTCTGCAGCAGCAGCCAACCCTGCCCCCTTTGAAGGTTCTTAAAGTCCAGACCTCACACAGCCCAGTTTCCGGTCCTTCATCCCTCTCGGATGGACTTGTCGAAAACTGCCCCTCCCCGACCTTGGGGGTCTTTCCCACGGGGGAGACCCTGTCTCTAGCCCACCAGCCTGTTTTCCCATCTCTCAGCAAGCCTCCCTTAGCTCCAGGAAAGTTCTACCCACAAACCTTCTTCCCTGAGATCCTGGGCTCCCCCCCACCCACCTCCCCTGCACCGAACCTCCAGCCTCACGCAGCTCCAGGTCCTGCCTGGCCCCCTTCCTCCACCAAGCCCCTGACCAAGAGTTTGTGTTATCCCGGATCCCTGCCTGTGTTCACCCACTGCCCCCCCCTGACTGGAGGCTGTGCTATTTGAGGACCTGGAGAAGTTGGAGCTGGGCCACGCCCAGGGTCAGGCAGGAACTGGGAGGGCTCTGGCTGCTGTCCAGGGTACTGACCAGTGTCAGGGGCCCAGGATGAGTCTAGTCACCCTCTCCTGCTACCCTACTGGGTCATCCATCCCTGAGGCCTGGGCCACCACCTAATCCCCTCCCGCCCTCTTCAGCCTGCAGTCTCCCCAGTGGCTGCGTAGGTTCAGATCTGGAACTGCGTGAAAGAGGGACATGGTGCGGTGCCCTTTTGGAGATGGCTGGGGCCACTCTGTCTCCCTGGCCCGTGATCTCCCTCAGACCTGCAGCCAGGGTCCTGAGATCCCACAGCTTGTTATACGGGCAGAGCGTGTGGGCCAGGAAGGGCCAGGCACCCAGTGAAGCCACCCAGGGAACTTCTCTAAGGGGCAGGTGCTCTTGGTGAGCCCCTTCCGGAGTGCCGGCTCAGACCGGACAGACCGCTGCCGCCGGCCCTGACCCTCCCGGCCAGCCTCTGCGCTGTGGCCTGCGAGCTGAGACACCTCTTCATCAGGGGCGGGGTGGGGGAGGGAAGCATGGGATCAGGTTAGTGGAGCAGGAGCGTGAAACCCGAGCGGGTGAAGAGAGCACAAAATAGCTTTGTCAGCTGCCTCCCACTCGACACTTTCCAATTTTAGCTCCCCACGGCCGGTGGGGAGTGTCCCCAGTGAGCCCTCGGCGGGCAGCTGCCCCCAGCCTGGGACCCCTCCTGATAGCCCCCTGGACCCGTGCTGCCCGTGGGGCCCGTGGGGCCTTTGCCCGCCGCCGCTTGGCTCAGGTGCACCTGGAACGAAGCCCACCTTGGGGCTCTTGGTCTAGGATAGGGGCTCTCTAGGGTGGGACCCTCTGGCCTCAGGGCCCCAGAAGGGCTGCACGCCGAGCTTGCACTGACCTTGAAGAAGCTTCGAGGTACCCTGGCGCACTGCCCACCTCGGGGCTCCCGGGTCCTGCGTCCCGACTGTGAGTCTGTCCGGCTGGCCGGGCTGTGGGGCCAAGGTGGGGTGTGTCCAGCTCTGGGGTCCCCACCCCCTCGAGGATAGAGCCGTGAGTGGTGACAGCAAGAGGAGGAGGGGGGGGGAGGAGGAGGTGGCCTTCTTCCCGGAGTGGAGCAGACCGTTTGTGGAGCTGAGCAGAGTGCTGCATTGCTGTTGGCCACAGGGAGAGGCAGTGAGAGGGAGCGGCGGGGGGAGGGGGGATGGGATGGGGGGAGTGATGGGAGATGGAAGGGGGTTTCTGGAGATACAGGCTCTCAGATAGGGGCACCTGGGCCTTACTTGACCTCCCTGTCCTCGGGCCAGGGAAGCCAATGCGTCCCTTTGCTCTCCTCGGGCCAGGGAAGCCAATGCGTCTCTTTGCGCTCTATGCCAGGACCTCCTCTTCCAGGAAGCTCTCCAGGCAGTGTCTGCAGACTGGCGAGCCCTGCCCCCAGTGTCTGCAGACTGGCGAGCCCTGCCCCCACCGCAGGCCTCACAACCAGCACGCTGTCTGTGCAGTCTTGCGTGCTGTGGACTCCAGATGCCACCTTTACCTGTGACCTCTCAAGGGTGTCCGGGGCGAGCCCATCTAGTCTTCATCCTGACGAGAGTCTGGCCTGGATGGGCGTTGCTGTTAGGTGGGGAGGGTTGGCTTTTCTGGTAGAATTGGAACTGCCAAGGACTATGGTGCTGAGGTGCTCCAGTACGCCAGCCTTGAGCTCACAGAGTTGTCTGCCACCAGGGACACCTGGGTAGGCAGTGTCCTCTTATTGGCAGGCAGGAAACTCTAATGTAATGTCCCTAAGCAGGCGAGGCACCCAGGGGTCCCTGGAGAAGTCCACTTGAATGCTCCCCTGGACATTCAGTTGGGGGCAGGGGCTCGATGGGTGCCTCCTGTCTCCATGGGCCAGCGCTTGTGCACTGGGGCCCGAGGAAATGTCCTGGGAGCTTTGTGACTATGGTCAATCTCCCATCCTAAGCTCAGCCGAGGGAGCAATAGGAGTCTCTACCCAGCAGGGTCCTGCACAAACCCTGGGAAGTTAGGTCACCAGCTTCCTCCCAGGAATTCAGACACTTGGGCCCGGAGGATGCAGCTGGGAGGGACCCACACATGACCCTGCCCTTTGACCCTCAACAGTGTGTTGGGCGGGGGGGGGTTACAGTAGGGGGCTGTCTGGGGATGCGATTGCTATCCGGGCTAGGGGATGAGAGCGTCCAAGGAAGAGGAGAGGTTGAGCCAGGCTCCGGCTCTCTGGGCAGCTGTGGGTGACACTAGGGCAGTGTGTTGAGGCACACTCCGTGATTACTGGAAATGGTAAATAAAAGCTAGGATGCATGCAGAGAGATTTTTTTTTTTTTTGGTTTTATGAGACAGGGTTTCTCTGTATTGTTTTGGAGGCTGTTGGTCCAGCCCGGCCTTGAACTCACAGAGATCCACCTGCCTCTGCCTGGGATTAAAGGCGTGCACCACCACCGCCCGGCTGAGAGATTCTTTTTAATGTCCCCACAATCCACAAGGACCACCCTCAGTGGGTGGAAGAGAAAACTGAGGAATAAGGTGGGCGGCGGTGAGGGTCAGCTCCACAAACTTCTGGAAGAGACTGCATCGTGGTGAGAACTCAGTCCGTTCACAGCAGACAAGGTGAGACCGCCATGGGCGGCCACGGGCTTGGCGTGTTGTGCAGCAGACTCCTCTGAGATGAAACACTCCATCCCCCAGGGAGGCTCCTCACCACCAAGGAAGTAGACAGCTCGGGGGCTCAGCAAGTCCCTGAAACTGACCACGTGACACTAGGTCCCTCCCTCCCCAACTTATGAAAACACGGAGGACTGCCGAGACACCCCCAAAGCCACCAAGATGCCTGGAAGGGACGCTCCAGCCTGCTGAGCTGCCTGCAGGCTGTGCCATGTGAGCTCCAGGCTCCCAGATTTTGTGAGCTGTCGCCTGTGCAGATATCTTAGAGTCATCTCTGCCCCTGTAAGTGCCCCCCCTCACCTATGCTCCTGGAGAAGCCCAATACAATTCACTAGTTCGCCAGGTTGGACTTTGGTGGTACCCTCACTTTGGTTGTTGTCAGTTCCCTATCTGGAGTGGGTAGCCGTGCGCTTTTATGTCCCCAGGAATAGTGTCACACAACATGGTGCCCTCGGGACGTGCCAAGGGGGCTGAAGAGTTGTAGCCACTGGGCCTCCAAAGTTTATTTGTTAAGTGGGTGCATTATGCATGGGGGGGGGTCCAGCGACTCACTCCATGTGCACGAGAGCCAGACACCGAGACAGGGCCCGTTCAGCAGTGGCACACTCCCTGGTGACCCTGACGCTGTGGCATGTGGGGACATGGCTTGCAGGAGGGCAGAGGGGTAGAGATTAGAGGTGAGTCCCTCCACCTGGGACACCAGCCCAACAAGGGACAGGAAGCTGGCTGGGCTGAGAGCTACTTCCTGATGCCTCAGGGGTCCCTGGGGAAGTTATGAAGAGGGGAACCCCAGTTTTAGCAAATCCCAGAGGCTCTTTGACTTGGCCTTTTGTGTGTTGCTTAAAGTAAAAATGGGGGCCAAGCGCCCTGAATGTGCGTGGTTCTGCGTGCTGTGTGGAGTCTGGGTGTGGCAGTTACATGCGTGCTGTGCGGCATGTGTGCGTGATGTGAGCCGTGTGCATGTGAAGACTCAGGGATGGCAGGAGACACTGCTTGTGCGAGGCTCACTGGCCCTGTGCTGGGGGCCAGCTGTTGGCTCACTGGGGTTTGGGGATATGAGGCCGGCTGCTTTGGGGCTCTCAGATGGAGGCCACCTGCCTTGAGCCCTCGAGGATGGGGAAAGGGCCTGGTGACAGTGGAGTTTGTTTGGGTTAGCCAGACCAAGCTCGCTCCCTGCCCAGCTGCTATGTCCCAGAGGCCACGGTAGGGACAGTGGCCCAACCACTTCCATGACAAACTTGGTGTCCCAGCAGTGTAGGAGCCTGAGTCTCAGACCCCTGAGGTCATCAGCTTCTTTGCTCTTTACTCTTCCAAGGCACGACGTGCACGCCTCCCTTCTTACCTGGCCCCCTTGCTGATGGCTGTGCATCCTCAGGGCCCCGGGGACAGGCTGCACCCAGGGCGGGCGGCACTAATGCACACAGACCAGGCTGCCTGCCTGCCATCCTCCCCACCTGACCTGACTGAGCCCTCCGCCCCCGAAGACCCTGCCTTCCCTTGAGAGTGCTTCTGTCTGCGCGTCCCAGCCCCCTCACCTCAGAGCTCTGCCCCGCCTGGCTGGGGAGGACCCTCCATCCTCTCTGCCTGCCCCATCACCACCTCTGACTGGGCCAGCCTCCCCTCAGGCTCTCTCCAGGCCTTGCAAGGCAGTGACTCTTGATGTTTGAGTGTAAGGCAACCTGTTGGGAGCCTGTCACCCATCTGGCTGGGGAATTCTTGGTACCCAGGGAGCTCAGCACCTGGGGATGCTGCTCAGAAAGTGTGTACTGACTCAACAGGGAGCCTGCAAAGAGTGAGCATTTATTGTGTGCCTGCTCTAACACTGTATGAGCGCCTGCTGTATGCTTGTTGCTGCTCTACACACACTGTATGAGCGCCTGCTGTATGCTTGTTGCTGCTCTACACACACTGTAGGTTCTAGCTCAGTGAGTGCTGAGGGAGCTACAGTGAGGGACACTGGGAATATGTGGGGGATGGGCCCTGGCACAGAGTCCTGGAGCTTTTATAAACTAAACACACTGGCCTTTAAAGCCCGTGCCTGCAGGAGCTGGCTTATGTCTGGACTGCCCGTGCAAACCAACCTCTGTAAGAGCCAGCTCACCCCACAGGGTACAAACAGGACTCACTGTGGCACCAGGCAGCAGAGGCGTGAGGGGAAACTAGCCTGTGGACACAGGGTCCTTGCATGGAGTTATGGGCTACATGTCTTATTCTATGAATGGCCCTTCTGAAGAAGGTTTCTAGTGTTGTCCCATTTCACAGATGGAGACATGGAGGTTGTCGAGTGGGATGCAGACCTGCTGGGGTGGACAAGCCAGGGCTCTTTCCTTCAGTTCAGCCCAGGCTGGGGGCCACACGGACGGCTGCAGTGGACACGGAAGGGTCCAGTCCTACTGCACTTCCCTGCATGCCTCTGAGGGAGGCTGGATGGTCCTTGCCTGCTCCTCACTTCCAGGGGTTCTGCCGAGGCCTGGCACCCGCATCCCCATGCCCAGACTTCTGCCAGGGCTCCCCGGTGCCTCAAGAAGGT